CGCACCAGCGGGAGGTGACCGCAGGATGAGAGGCTTCTCCGTCTCGCTTGCATGCCTGACCTGCAATGGGGTGCCCGAGGTGCATGGCGCCCACGCCGGACTGACGTTGGCCGCAGATCGCTCTGTGATTTCACCATGATATCACCCGCCCGCCCCCCGGGGGGCGTCTTCTCACGCTTGGGAGACTTTGAGGAGAAAACACGAGGAGAAAAAGTAAAACACCAAAGTGTTCCTCCTCATCGCTTGGTGTGCCAATGACAGAACCCGGAGCCAAAGTTCCGGCGTCAGCTTTGGATATCGCCTCTTACAGTCTGGCCCGGCTGAGAGAGGGGGTGATGGGGAACTCTGCCGGTACTACCGACCGTGTTGGGTATCCTCTTAGCAACTGAGTAGCTGGGGAGGCGCAACGCTGGGAGCTAACAAGGGAAGGGGTTATGGCACTAGCAAAGCGTATCACCAACGGCTTGGAGAATGGAGTACTTTTTCACACCAGGAAGAATGGAATACTCTGACTCGGATCGTCTCGACCAGGTGCCAGTCCTTCTCAGAAGCAGGAAGTCCACACAGTACGCAACGGAGAGTACATCAAAACATTTCTGCCTAAGTGCAGAGAAAGAGGCAGCCAATATCACATATTCTGTCTGCGTCCCCACACCTTCGTACCAAGGACAGAGGAGCATCCTACGAAGATTCGGACACAACCCGTCTCCCTGATACGCCCAGTTGACGTAGCTGGCGGAATCGGCACCCGGGTCCATGACTTGTTGCTTGAAACCAGACTCGCAGCCTTTGAGGACTTGCAGATATTCAGAGTAGACCTGTGTAGGAGTCCGCTTTCCATTCTTGGGGTTTCAGGTATCCAACCCAAGTAACGAAGGCTAAACTGTGGGGAAGCTCAAGTGATGTTGCAGCCCAATGATACATAATCTTCAACGAGTTGCAGATAAGACAGGCAACCAAACTCATGCACCAGCCATCAAGTAAGTGGGGGAAGCCCCTTGAATTCCAGGTTTCTATGGATAACCGGTCCTTTGGGAGTCTTCAAGGATTGACAAAGAATGACAATCTTGCTGTCAGCTTTGCTTCAGGCTATGGTAAAGCCCATTGCTGACGACAACAATCAAATCTTCATTTAAGCAAAGTTGAGCCGGCCACGCCGCGGTCGGTCGGGCAACGGGCTCTGATCCTGGAAGGAAGCGTGTTTTCCGGGGAAAACCAAGATGGCCAGGCCGCCCTGACCATAATGACTTCATTGTGGACATTGCGGCCTCGCAAATGTGGAAACGGCCTGGTACCCAACGTGCTCCCGTGTCCAGGACAAAACAGTTACCGACATGGCAAACATGTTGCAACGGTCACAAATACCTAGGTTCGAAAGGCTGCCGGCAGGGCGATCCCAAGACGTCAGGATAGACTAGGCGACGTATCGAGAAACAAGCCCCCATGTGTCCTCCCTCGGTGGATGCCTCGTACCACACAAACGGCCATCCGAGAACTTGAACCGAGGCGACTCGTCTGAGACGGCAGTGACCAATAGAAACGAGGTCATGATGACAATCCACGTGCCGATTAGGCCCTAGGTCACCAATCATTGGCAGCGCGTGGGAAGACATGCTGGTCAAACAGTGGAATGACGTCAAGGGGGGTTTTGCATCGTTGGAACTGGTAGGGGATGCTCTCGCAATTCGGCGCGCGCTTACAGCTTGCAGGGCTAGCAGCAAAGTTGGTTGCATCAAATTTCCAGGGGCCGACCCATCGGGATGACGATCATTTCAAGATGGAAATCCGGCGTGCCGACGACGAGCCGCAGGTTTGATGGTATTGATGGCGGCAGCAACGTCTAACGGCTGGGTCCCTGGAGAAAGGCCGTAGGTCCGGGCGAGGTTATCTGGCTTTGGGTTTGCAGAGCGCGTCAAGACGAGCTGAAAAACAGGCGAGCGCTGGTTCCGTGTCATGTACATGCCGACAGAGCACAACGTCAAGCTCGTGGTGCGATGCCCTGGCGCAGTGAGATTACGCTCTCTGCTCCCCGGGTCTGCGTTGTTCGTCACACGCATAGGGCCAACCAAAGTAAGCCAAGACTAGGTCCAGCACCAGAGAATCTGGAATTAGTGGCAGTCGATCTGAGCGACCTTTTTCGGCGCAGCGAGGCACCCTGGGTCATGTAAGTCGTGCTATGGGTCTCATCACAGAACGCGGGTAACAGATGGTGAGTCCAAGAATGTTCAGATGTCTAATCGCATAGCATTCCTGAACCATGTCTCGCCGCGGGACGGGATTCGACGTTTGGAGAAGCGAGACAAGATGCATTCAGAGGCGTGGCTGGTGGCGCTGGCAAGGGAGGAAGAGGGGGTTTGGTGTGGCTGGTGGTACTGCAAAAGGGGTCCAAGGAATGAATCTGGTTTCTTGCCCGGCGGCGGCGGCGCGAGACAAGGGCCACGGAGAATGACGAAAGGGGTGGTTCGTGCGTAGGCGGAGTCTGGACCAGTCCATAAGGCACTCACTCCTGGCCTTTTTGAGTTTTCGTCCGCGTGCGGAATGCTGAAAGCGCAATCTTTCTGTGATAAGCGTATCGAGCTAGGGGGTAGGTAAGTAGGGTTTGGAGAGGTACAGTAGAGCCACGATATAGGCAAGTGGTAAAGCTAGTACTATTTGCCGGAGCGTCGTCTCCAGCCGCTGTGAGCGAGCTGAGCCGCAGCCAAAGTGATTCGAGTAGCCGACTTGACCGTGAAAAGACAACGTATGAGACGATTGCTGATGCGTGTCTAGTGAGGCAGGCAATCGCATGCAAAAGGAACGGGGACCGAACCCTTGGTAATCTAAGCCTTAGACTCGGCCGCGTTGCCGCGTCGCGTGAATCGTGGAAGGGATAGGGATGCCATAGATTGGCGAACACTCCTAGCAAGGAGTGCACCGCACTCAGACAAACGCGACGCAGACGCAGACGCAGACGTATCGAGCGTCGTCAGTAAAATGACAGTGGCGTATGTGGCTTGCGCATCGTCGCCCATCATCATTTGAGTGCGGTACATCGTAGACGTGTGGTTCGTCGCGGGGTGTCTCGGTACGTAGTAGCGAAAAGAAGAAAATCGCCTGATTGGCCGGGTCGGTGCGGAATAGGCAAGCAATGGGCGCCGTGATGCGGATAGATGCGAGGCGGAGACGACGGGAATCCGCGCCTCGGAGGGGGAGCCGGGACAAGGACAATATTAACAACAGCAGCAGCAACAGACAGGCTGGACGAGCGACTCGATCTGTTCGAGTGCCTAGTTGTGGGAAGGGGGAAGAGCGGGGTGAGAGACGGAGCACGGGATCCCTGCAGAGGCACTTTGGCGATGGACATGGCATAACTGTGTACAGGATACAGCATGGTATGTACTGTGTATGAATGAACGAGGGGCATTTGGGGCCAAGTCAGGTGGCATGTCCCGGTACTCCTGGCAAAGGAATGAATCATGGGCCCAACCCGCGCTGCACCATTGGGCCCGGACGCCTCAGGCAGACGAGGCGTCTCCATAACTTCTCCCCCAATGGCGCGCCTGCTTCCAACGATGTCATCCCTGCCAAGAATGCGGATATGACGATGAGGCAGACGTCATAACGGGGGCCCCGCCATCCAAACGAGTGGAACAGGCTCCGATCCCTCCTGGGATGGGAAGCGGCCGAGCCCTGCTCCTGTGGCTGCTCTGCTGGTTCTTGCTCTTTTTGTAAGCGGGTTGGAGCTGCTGCCCTGACTGCAGCCAGGCGGCGTAAATCATGGAAATGGGAGAATGCGAGTTTTGCATCGCTGCATCCTGAAAGTCGGGCTTCTTACGCCTCGTCTCGTCTTGCCCGGCTTTCGAGTGTTGTTGCTTTTGTAGAAACCCGCCCACCTCGCTTCGGGCGGGCCAGCCCTCCCCTGGACGGGCGATGGATGGTATAGGTGGCCACGAGTCTATTCTTGAACGGACCTGAAGACGATTGATGGCAGGGGTTCCCGTCGCTGGCTGTCATCACGACACAGTGCCGCTACCGTCCCTATCGTGCATCGTTCCTAAGCAAGCGGCCGGCTTTAGCGCCATGGACGCCTCTAGGTGTCGCTCTCTTGGCATGATGATTGCGGCAACCCGTGGCTAAAACACAGTTCGCCTAGCACGGTACGTCGATGCGCTTGCTCGATTCTTATGTCATCACTCTCGACGGCCCTGGCCCCGCGAACTGGATGAGGTGCAGGAACAAAAGGTCGAATGGCCTTGATTCCCGCGGAAACCCTTGATGCCCCCCCCTGCTTGCTTCTAGTGCAGTCGCCGTCTTCCTGGCTACCCCGTCGAACCGTGCCTAACCTTGGATCCGATGCATGTCGAACGGGTTCGGGGTTGCGATGGGCGCCTTGTGATGAAAGCAACCATGTGAAACGACGGGGTTGGCTGAAAACATCATGATCGCAAGTGACCTCGAAGTTGGGAAAGAATAAGAAATGGAGGCCACGGCAGGATGGTTGGGGAAGGCGCTACGTACACCTACGTATGTGTATACGTACTTGCATTGGGCAGGTGGGATAGAGAAAGAAAGTAGAAAGAAAAATATGGTAGGTATCATTCCTTCCTCAGTCTTCTGAGGCAAGAGAGGTGCGGTGCAGGACGGCGAGGGAAGGAAAGGTTGGGTCTGCTCCGTGCTTGCCCGCCGTCCTCGTTCAACATGACGAGAGAGGTGCCAAACTCCAATCCAATCCAACATGGCCCCTACTACAGCCAGTCAGTCATCAGAGTATTCCATGGAACGCCCCGCTTTGGGGCGCAAGTGCGAGCTTGGTACTCCTGCGCAGCCCACCACACTGCATTACAACTGAGTGAGGAACAGGTGCACAAAAAAAAAAAAAAAAAAAAAAAGGGTTTCCCGGCTTTCCTGCCTTTGCTTGCCCCTCCTCCTCCTGCTCCCGAGTATCACAAGCACCGTGTTGTGTGTGTGGTGCTTCCGGCTGTCCATGTCGTCGACGTCGTCACTGTCCCGCTCTTCCTCTCTTACTCTCCCCTGTGCTGTCTGTGCGCTCGCTGCTCGCTCGTGTTCTGCGGCGTCCAAATCCACTGTGTTGTTGCCATTGAGGACTGGCCTTCCCAGTCGCTGCTGCTGCCGTTGCTGTAGCTGTCGCGGTTCATGACTGCTGCTCTTGAGTCCTGCCGTCGCTTCACTCCTCGCTTGCCATTTGCTCCCACGATCTTGCTCTCGCTGTCGTTTCCGTGCTCTCCTTCTTTTCCACTTTCCACTGTTCTTGTCGTCTTCCGCTTCCACCCTCGCCCATTTGCAAGGTACATCGGTCGAATGCTTCCCTAGCCAGCTCCATCCCCAGCACTACCAGCTGTGCTCCAAAGTACACTACTGCACCTGTCCGGCCTGCAACCTCTCACTCACACATACCACCCACGCCATTCACACTGCTCGCACACACCTCCCTCCCCTTCTGATGCCTACCTCGTCTTACGCCCTCCCACCTCTGTCATCATCGTTTTGCCCGTACTGGAGCAGAGAAAGAGGCCGACAAGACGCGATCCGGTCCCTGCGTGCGCACAGTACACGCTACGCACTGCTACACGCCGTCATCGTCTGCCAATTCTTCGCCTGGCCCTGTCGACCTGAACCTTCCACGCCCCCGGTTCATTCCCATCTCCCCCCCATTTTCCTCACACCTTGCTTTGGTACCTAGCGTCGTCGCTTTTTGTCTTGGTCCCCCGGCTCTCTACCCAGCCTACCCAGCCTACCCGGTCGCCCAGTTGAGACAACCGTGCCGTGTGTGGTGCTTGCTTGCTTGCCTGACGGTCTACTTGCTTGCTTGCTGGCTGCGTTCCCGCCCGATCTTCAGTTGGCTTGTTCCTCCAACTTCCGTCATCCGAGTCCACGTTGCCCCTCCGCCAACATCACCACCACTACTACCACCACCACCACCACCACCATCCGCCCGCAGTCCACAAATTCCTCCTCCTCGCAACAATTTCTCCCTTTCAGCCGTCTCGTCCCCCCTCCCGATTTTACAAAGAAACCAACCTTGCATTTCTCTCCCGTCGACTCGACACATATTTTCATCCTTCTTCCGTGATACAACCCACTACGTCGTCTTTCGCCCAGTGTTTCCTCGCAGCAGATCGCACTCGCCCCGAAAGCGTATTCTCCACGACTCGTGCCTCGCCGTCTCCGCATTACCAATCACAGAAAGAGCAACATTCCCCTCAACCCGGGGCAGGCCGACTGAATCAGCCACCGTCCATTGAATTGCGACTTGCGCTTCGTACCGTAGATACCAGCTTGCGATTAACCTTAGAATCTCGCCGCTGCTCGCAGCGACCCCAACCATCACCATGTCGACGATACAGCAGCTTAAGAACTTCATCCGACACGGTACGATAATCCCTCGCCTGGTCCAGCTTCCTATAACCCTTATTCTACCCCTCCGCACTTGGTCGCCCATGCCGTGCTCCGTTGCCTGGTTCTGCTTATTTCTGTCCTTCATTTTCTTCGCACAATGCTAACGTATTCGTCGCCGTTAGGAAAGCAAGCCCGGGTCACAAACCCTGACGAGCCGGTACCCAAGCAGCAACACTCGCCCCCTCAGAAGGCGCAGTTGGGCGTCTCCGAGCCTGCGTATCCCGCTGCCAACCCTGTCCAAGCACTCCCTGAAGCGTACTCAGTCGCCGGCGATGGCCAGCAGAACCGTGCCGCTCAAGCTGGCCACGCTGCCGCCCACGCCGTCGAGCCGAACCAGCACAAGACCTCCAAGGCGGGCAAGAATATCGATAACACCCACATCGCGAAGCTCATTGCCGAGGAGAACGAAAGCAAAAGCAAGTTCCCGAGATACCCTGGTTTGGAGAGATGGGAGCTGCTCGAGAAGATGGGCGATGGCGCCTTCAGCAACGTCTATCGCGCGCGCGATACCACGGGCGAACAGGCCGGCGAGTGTGCCATCAAGGTCGTCCGCAAGTATGAAATGAACAGCATGCAGGTGAGTTGATGCTTGGGTGGTTTACGACCGCGACCATGATTTCTTCGTTATTGTTTTTGAGCATTCTATTTGTTGTTGCCTTATCCATGCGGTCCCATACCAACAAGGTCGATCTTAGGGAAACAAGCATTTACATCCGGACTTCAAGAAGGTTCCCAAGGCTGCAGAGGTGCGAAAACTTTTCAATATTTCATTTGTCTTCTCTCGTCGGGCCATCCTCACTTTCGGACTTACATGTTGCTCTGCTGTCATTGTTGCATCGAGGATGGCTCTCCATTTACTTTGTGGACAACCCTACTGACGCCATGATAGAGAGCCAACATCTTGAAAGAGGTTCAAATTATGCGCCAGCTTGACCACCCGAACATTATCAAGCTCATCGACTTTTCAGAGTCGAGGCAATACTATTACATCATCCTCGAGTTGGCCCCCGGTGGCGAGCTTTTCCACCAGATCGTCCGTCTTACATACTTCAGCGAGGAGCTCTCGAGGCATGTCATTGTACAAGTCGCGCAGGCTCTGGAATACCTGCATGAGGAGAGAGGTGTTGTCCATCGGTAGGTTTTTCCATCAGTTGCAGACAGTGTGTTCTAGTGAAGCGCCGTTCTGAGCACCCCTCGACACCTGAGCAGCTGAAGAGGCAAAACTCCTTCAACTAGCCTCATGACGTCATCATACTGTAGCTTTGATTCGCTAACGTGCCATTTTACAGTGACATCAAGCCGGAAAACATTCTTTTCAGCCCGATTCCCATCGTACCATCCAAAAACCCCAAGCCCAAGCAGCCCGGTGATGAAGATAAGGTCGACGAGGGCGAGTTTATCCCTGGTGTTGGGGCGGGCGGTATCGGCCAGATCAAGATCGCCGATTTTGGACTCTCAAAGATTGTCTGGGACAACCAAACCATGACGCCTTGCGGTACCGTCGGGTACACAGCTCCCGAGATTGTCAAGGATGAGCGATACTCCAAGTCTGTCGACATGTGGGCCTTGGGCTGTGTTCTCTACACGCTCTTGTGCGGTTTCCCCCCATTTTACGACGAGAGCATTGAGGTTTTGACGGAGAAGGTTGCCAAGGGGCAGTACACATTCTTGTCTCCCTGGTGGGACGACATTTCCAAGTCGGCACAGGATCTCATTTCTCACCTTCTGACCGTGGACCCTGAGAAGCGATATACCATTACCGAGTTCTTGGCCCACCCGTGGGTCAAGGGTTCCGGCCCGACACCCCGGGACGAGAAGAAGAACCAGGATATGCTCCGCGCATTCGATGCTTCGAGGATCGTCGACGGTGACCGCCGCTATGACTTCCGCTCCCCCGGGGCGGTCAACCTGCGTGAGGTGTTTGATGTCGGTTACGCTGTGCACAGACAAGAGGAGGAGGCCAAGCGTCGGAAGCAGGTCGGATCCAAGGGTGGTGTTCCTGCTCGCTTCCTCAACAACCTTAATGAGGAGTCGGAGGACGAGGATCAGGAAATGGCTGAGAACAAGGAGGCCGAATACGTCCACAAGCCGTCCCAGGGTACGCAAGCGCTTGAGCAAAGCATGCGTAATGCGCAGATTAAAGATCAGCAAGAGCAGCAGCGCGGTCGTGAACGCGAGCGACAAGCACCCATCAATGACAAAGGCTATGGTCAGCACTCGGCAGCTGTTACCGCCGCGGCCCGCCAACAGGTTAGAGACCGCAACAGGCAGAAGGGTGCTTTTGAGCTTAGCCTCGACGGTGCCACCCTGCTGGGCAGGCGGAACAAGCAACCTCTCGCGGCTCGGGCTGGCGGGGCATAGCAGCCTCGAACCCCGAGCTGCACTCCTCCGGGGAGTGAGATCAATCTTACAAAAAGCCTCGGCACTACGATGTAGACCTAGAAGGCCTAGAAGGAGGTACTATGATCCAATGTGGGTTTTCTGGCGTATGGTTTAAAGGGATGGCATATCTTGGCCAAGTGGCCGAGGACATTAGCGCAAGTCATGAGACGGACGTCGTGGATATCCAATTGTGTGTGTCAAACTCGGGTTTTGTTTTTGTGATTTGTTACCGGGACGGATTAGCTACGACTCATCTCCTTTTCGCGGCATCATACATAGGCTTGGAGTTCATTGGCAACGGGAACCCTAATTCCTCATTGCGACTCACAATAAATGATATTTGCAATTTGAATTCACTTTCAACTTTTGCTGTCATGCTACTCCCTCTAGTACTGTAAATAGAGGCTTGCCAACTAACTCTCTTGGTGATTTCATTATGCTCTCCATTCGAATAGGCCCGTGGTACCAACTGTAGTTTAGTACCTGTCATTGCCCATGACTATAAGAGCTATGCCTCTGACAAAACGCTCGACATTGGAGCTCGCCCAAATTCATTCGGACTCGACACATGGAAACACAGCGCTGATCCCAACGCCACGCCACAACCACCCTCGTACACAAGACCTCATGGGGATCATGTCAGTATCCAACATCCTTGAACAGGACTAGACAAGACAAATTCAGACCTAACCTTACGCATTACCGTCCCAGGGGCCGGGGGGTTCTTTGTTCCGCCTGGGGCGGTGCAGGTTACGTGCTAGAGCGCTTCTTGCATCTAACCAGTGGCATCCGAGTTGCGCCTGGTCAAACTCTGAGGAGGGCAGGAAATACGGGGTCTGCAATGAGGATGGCACTCATATGCGATCGATATCTGCGTGCTAACCGGACGATGGCAGGTCTTGTGCAGGTACCCGGCGTCGGGCACCTACCTGGATGTTGGCAAGAAAGAAGGGGGCATAGGGTCGTCGTGGTTTCGTATAAGTATTGTCGATCTTGGTGTCCACTCCACATAGAAAGACCGTGGCCAGCCTACGTTCCGCGTATTATTGGGACCGCACCTTCTTGGTCGTTTCACAGTTCAATGATTCACCGACTTCGACGAGGCCAACTTTCGCCGCAACAGTCTGCTGGGAGGTGAACCTTGACTTGGGTGCCCTCATGGTGCAGTTTGTCAGCCACCCACTGTTGTTGACTCGACACTGGTCCATGGCCGTTCCTATGGCGCCCGCGCCCGAGACCACGAGCAGTAGGCCGTTTCCCTACAGTATGTCTCGTGGCTGTTTCCAAAAAACGCCTGTTTCCCTCTATCATTGTGGGATTTCTTCTCTTCTTCTAGGCTGGACCGCACAGCTATTCAACAGTGGACCGCCAGACCATCGACCGTGACCCAGGTGTGCATCGGCGGACGCCTCGTCTTTCGTGTCTTGCTAGATTCGGGGATCCCTATCGTTGTTAGTGAGGGACGAAGGCATAGTTCTCTCGCTCGATGTTTGGGGGTCGATGTTGTTAACAGCAGCTGTCGACGATCGTACCTTGGCGCTTGACACAGACGAGTATTGTACAAAACTGCAGGTCGGGTTCACCACTCGACTGGTTTAGACGAGGCACACTGATCCTGGGGACGATCGTCGCAAAGGGCATGTGACAACGACAGACAAACCTCTAGGACGGTTCACGCAGGTATCTTCACCCGTGTGGTGTACCTATTGCAAAAGTTGGTATCGCCATGAAGCGACACGTTGGGGTTCGGCACAGCTCAACAAACAGACGACTGAATCAATAACAAGCATGGCGACCTTCCACGTTCGGTCTGCTCCTTGGATGACCCCACGCCCAACACACTGCCCTCCGGTGCAGATGCACACACCAAGACATAGTCCATTCTTCGTCATCCGGGACCAATGCCGCTTCGTGCTGCACGGCTGCTGAACGACGAGCGGGACGGCCCGCGAACGGCCACATATGCATAGCGGAGCTCACCGCGGTCGTTAATGGGGTTTGATGGATCCAGGGTCCGATCGGATCTGAGAGTCACGGTCTCGGAAAGGCGCCTGCCCCAGATGGCGCAATTATGGGGTCCTTGGCGCCATTCCCTTGGAGTTCCGCGACGACGAGTCTTGGGAAGGATTTCGGAATGTTGTCGTCCACGGCGTAACAGGAGATTAGTACTTGCAACGGAGACTTGCAAAGAAGAATTGCGGGATGCCTTGGCGTTTGGGAAAACGCATCGCCGACATGTCGGCACCTTCACGAACCGCATCGAACAATATCAGCATTTTACCTTTTCATGGATATACTGATATTTTGAACTAAACCAAATCTTTCGGTTCTGGCCAAAGGACTTTGTCGCACTCTGGAGTCTCGCTTCTCACCAAAGCAACAAACCGTTCTGCAATCCACGTCGTCACCAGCTTCGCAGAGTACTCGACGGAAGTTGCTGTGGAAAGAGTCTCCTGTAGCCTTCGTCCGTTGGCCAGGCACAATGATATGTGATTGGCGAGTGATCCATTCGGGTTTATGACCGAACGTGACCGAACGTGCTATCTCGCATGGGTGACATCGGTCTTGGGCTTGCGCGTTTCTAGCCACTATACTGTGTAGGCTTGAACCGCGGCAAATGGTGTATATAAACTCCACGACGCAGAATCGGATGTGCAGCGACACAAGGGAACCTCAAAGTTTCCTACGGACCTCGATGGCCAAGGCTCTGTTTCGATACACTGTTAGCAAAGAACGCTCCACGAATTGGTTGAAACCGAACGTATTGGAGACTCGAGTTTCGCCAGATTGGACGGCCTTCCCAATTTCGAAACGACCACAACCCTCATAACTAGCTTCTGGGAGAAAAGAATGGCGCATCGATTGGACACTGTCTGGCAAACAAGCCGTCTCTTCTCATTCAACGACGAGGAGAGCACCCGGCGCGAAGGTGCGAGTAGCTTACAACCAAGACTCGAGAACCCTGATGGCCTGCATTGATAAGACCCGAACCGGGCATGTCTTAGGAACCCGGATGGCCAACCTTGATGGCCTCTCCTCGCACACAAAATCAGTCTCCGCCACCGTTTTCTCACCAACCATGGCCCGCGATGCTGATGCGTTTGAGCAAGATAGCCAGCGCACCCATGAGCCATGTTCTGGGTCAGGCGGCAGGCTCAACATCGACAACGGGCAACGGGCGACGGACGTTGATAGACCGCTGGTTTTGATGAGACAATTTCGACCAGCTGGTTCTCGCTGCGTCCCGTCCCAATCTGGGGCATGCCGTTTCTCTATTCCACCGCCATTGTGAGGCCCCTGGGGAATGGAGCTTGTGAACACATATAAGGATGCCGTCTGTCCTGCCTGCCTCCCGGTCCTGGCACACTTCTTTACCATTTCTTCATTTGAGCGCCAGCGACGCATCCAGGTTGACCGAACCGGTAACAGACATTGACCGACCAAAGGAGGGGTAGACGAGAGGCTTGAGTTGCAGAGACTGAAGAGAGGCGAGAGAAGACCTGCACACAGTATGAGTCTGGCTCGCTCCTGGTCTCTCCCTATGCCGACGATTCATCTCTCAGATAGTGGCTCTCAGCTGGGCAGAGACTGCGAGAAACCCCCCACGGTAATGAGCCACAGTTTCTCCTTTTCCTCATTCCTCTTGTTTCTCCCCTCTCGTCTCTATCATCCCCCCAGTCTCACTGGTCTCCTCACCTCAAGTCCCGAGGTATCAGCTGATTGGGCAAGCTGGCTCCATCACGAGTTGTCCAGCGTCGCCGCCGGCCATTCTCGATGATTGGACAACCCACGCCTTTTAGCTAAGAGTTATCGCTTTCCTGTGTTCACGCATCGTCCGATAGGGATTTTACCAGGATTCTCTCCCCTGGCAAGGTTCTCCTGATGCTCCCCCAAAGGAGCGGAGCCGAGGCAGAGCTGAAGTTTAGTCTCGCTGGTGAGACCCCGTCTCTGTGTTGTCCTCATCTTCCTGAGGCTTTTCTTTTACTCCATGACGATAGATGACAAGGTCATCTGGCGTGGTTTCGATTGCTCGCTGTCCATCTTTCTACTTTCTTGTGTCTAATTATGCTGTCCGCCGTTTGGTCAATGCTGCCTAGTAAGCAGACGGATCCCGTTTGGCCCAACTGTTAGTCCCGACTCTGGCCAATACGGGATGGCTGGGTCGCATCACCTGGAGTCCTTGGTGTGGGATGGCACAAACTCTGTTTCGCGCGGGTGCCGCTGCCAAGCGCGTCACAATCAGATTTCCCACTCTGTCGTCCTACATACATTGTCATGCATACACCAACGGATACACACTAGGTGCATCCAACCACGACGAGCAACGCCGCCGTCGGTTTCCTCGATCTGGAGCGGTGCCTCTAGTCGTCCACTGCGGATGCTCGTTAACCCCCCGGACCATCCTTCGCCCATTCGAAAGTTCACAATGCAGCCCGGATCTACCCACCCTCTTACGCTCTCCTAGGACCGAATGTCTGACCGACGATGGGGCGGGGCGACCCCCATCGGGCACTCCTCATCCAGTCGCCGTCGACGATCCCTCTAGGCTCGCCATCGACATCCCATTCACGCGACCACGGCAGCCATGCATGCTCCATCCTGCTCGCCGCCTTGCCGTGGTTTGCCATTAGCATCGAATCCTCGCGTGTCGAAGCCCAGTAGTCCGTCCCGGTTGGCCCAATCACAACACCCCAGCTCCTCGTCCTCGGGTGGGCCCAGACCCGAACGTGGCACCCTGCTCCGAGCCTGCAACCGACCACACGTCTCGAAGCCTGCATACTATGTAGCTATGCACCCGTAGACTCGGTCCCAAACCCCGCTCCGTAACGGTTCGATCCCACCTTTTCGAGGCGCAAAAGAGCTATTATGGAGCAAAACATGGGAGTGCCAGCCTGATGCAGTATCACACAGCTGCCATGTCAGCCTCTACACCAAAGAAGCTCGCGCGGCACTCGCGGTCTACTCCTCCGACTATCCCAGTATGGGCATGCACACTTTCCCGGCCACGCCCGTTGCTTACACGTAACTGCGAATGAAACCGCGCCATCTCATCAGATAACCGCCTGATGTCTAGCTGACTGATACGTGGGGGAAATGGCTCGACGATGGCTATATAAACCGCAGGACATCTCTGATTAGTTTCAGCCTTTTTTTCTCTTCATCCGACTCATCAGCTTCAATCTTCAAATCTCAACTACAAACACTCAAGCCTTTTCGCTTCAACCCAACAAACTATCAAAATGGCCCCCTGGTGAGCAGCATGCTTCCCCCGACCTCTACAACCGAGAGCTCAAGGACTTGCAAGTTGTTCTTTTGAGCTTCGTAGTCTTTGAGCTTCCGAGGCTGTAGATGGTCAGCTTAGTGAAGCGGCTTCGAGACTAACCTCTTTCACACAGCTCTTGCTCCTCTTGCGGCTCCAGCTGTGCTGGCTCTTGCACCGCCTGCTCTTGCGGCTCTTGCTCCGTAAGATGGCCCCGAGCAGCTTACCCTCAGACTTCCAAACACTGACATTGTGATCACCAGCACTAAATTCAGCATGACGCTTCTGCCCCATCATATCTGACAGCCCGAAAGAGGCTCGCTTGCCAATATTCAGTATCCACCACGAGCTGTGTGCCCTCCATTCGAAGCATGGATCGTCGTTTCCGGGTGGAACGGTTGGAGGATATCGAGCTGGAGCGGACTTGGACTTGCTAGAACAGTCTGTACATGTAGCTGCCGAGACGGGCTTTCCCTTACTGCGGAGAACGGCGCGGCATCCGCGCAGGGGAGCCTGTTTGCACCGTCGACAACCCCGGCGGCTACCGTGGGCGGACTGGCTCGAGATGGAAAGAACTGTTTTTTTGTTTTTTTCTCTTCTCGTGGTGTGCTATGATAGTTTTCTGTTTTGATGAGATTTGTCAATACGATTCGAACTGCCTGATTCCCGGGATCTACGCGGTGTCTCTCTATGATTATTGTGAGTGATTAAAAACGTTCGCGACTCGAGTAGTGTGGTGTGGGGGTTGGCCTTGTTTGGAGAGCGAGCCACTCCGAGCTTCTCCAAGAATCACCGTCGTCCCGAAAGTGGGTGGGAACCGAGCCCATGAGGGTTTCTCCAATGGGAAACAGACATACACAAGCTTTGGGAGAGCTGGAGAATGTTGAAGACCCCCCCACCTTGTCGGGATGAAGGTTCATGCGCGTGTGCTGGTGGTGGGTTGCCAGGTGGAGAGGCCCGGTTGGAGACGGTGGTATGTCCGCGTCTTGGCCAGCAATGGGTGGGAAGTAGTTATCTGCTGACTGGTTTTGCTGATCTGCATGTGTTGTTTGTTTGGTAGCGTGGGTTGGAGGGCGTTGGTGTGACTGGACCTGTCGCCCGAGGCTTCTGCACCCTCCCTTTGGGACGACGATGGATGTGATAGGATGGCTGAACGGCGCTAGGTGATAGGAGATAGCTTGCGGTTGCTGGCTTGGGCGTGGCGGCGGGCGAGAGCTCGAGGTGTGACTTAGTGAGTTGTCTCCGATGGCTGTTGGAGGCTGGGCTTTGGACTAGTTGTTGAGCTGCGCCAGGCTTCCGACGGTCTGAGGGTAGTTATCGTGCGGTCTGTCAAGGCTGAACTTACGGCGGCGATCTACTCGAGGCTAAAGGGTTGGATTTGCATCTGGAGGATTTGAGTATGTGTGGAAAGTAGCTGTTTACGCTTGTGTGTAAATGCAGGCAAGCAGAAAGGCTTGAAGGGATATGCAATGTACCTTGATGGTCATAATACCTGATAGACTTGTACGTACTAATTGGCTGACTCTATGAAACTAGATCATGCACTGTATCGTCACGATGTTTTTGGGTGAATAGGACAGTGTTGGATGTATACTAGCTTGCTTGCACACTGTATTGTCAGTTAGGGTGATCCCCCCATCACTCTATTTTCCGTTTAGGTAGTTGAAAAATCATCAACTCCGTATCGCGTAACACGTCAACTGTAAACCCCGATTCTGCAGCAAGACGTTTCACCTGGGGCCTTGAACAACGGTGAGTCGTTCCCGGAAAGTTCAAAGAAGTCCTTCGCCATCTTCTTAGCTGGCAGCTAGACGAAGACTGGGTTTCAACGTAACTAAGAATTGCTAACTTTTGACATTAGCTGACAGCGTAGCCCACAAAGTCCGGTCCAGCTCGATGATACGATCCGCTTCGAATCAAACTCCTCGGAGAATAATCAGCCTTGATTGCGACCGTCGCGTAGAGAGAACATGCAGAATACTATCCGACTTGCTTAAACAGTCAGATCAAGTGTAGAAGCATAGATACCTGCGGGAGGGTACGAAGAAGACGCAGTAACACGAGCGAGCACCAACATCAGCGATGACCGCTGATGTACGACCGGTGAGCGATGAAGAACAACACACTCATCTCCATCAGTAGCAAAATAAGCCTTTGGCCTCTCTGGGGTAGAGCCTGCGGTCCCGCGCGGGGCCACCATCATCTGTCAATCTTGCGATGATCCACACGCATTAACCTCGTTGGCAGGGAAGATGCTCGCAACAGCGGAGGGAGGCAAGCAACAAAAACAATAAGATGGCAGAGAAACCTAACACAAATGCCGACAAGTTTGGAGCGGGCTGGGGAATGACGCGACCGCACGTTCATCCAGTCGCCGGCCGTCTCTGAGTTGCCTCGAAGTTTGTGGTTAACATGTCGACATGCCAAGGTGATCCTGGGTAAGACAGATGTGACAGAAAGGCTGGTTTGAGCCATCGTGTAGGTCGAGGGATTACCCGGTAATTTACTCGACTTGTCAGCGTCCGACACGCCAGCCCGCATCCCGTAGGATCGCGGGCTGGCGATTGCTGATAGGCGGCAGATTGTGCACTCCTTACTCCAACCGTCAACTACGCTGCAATAATGGGACATCATGGGCGAATTCGGACCCAATCAGTAGATAGGACCGGTTAGAAAAGCCTCCGACGGCACGGTACGGCTCGTTCGTTAGTTCCCCGTTTGGGGAGGCGCTGGTGGTACCATCCGTCAGTGGTGCCCAGTCTGACAGACGAGCGGCGATGCATCGGGTGTGGCAGACGTGGCTCAATTTCGTCTCGTGAAGGACCTGGCGGCAGAAAATTCCGCATTTGAAATTCTTGTTCAGCATTGCATGCAACGAACCTTGGATCTGCAACTACTTTCAACATTTCAAAGCTCCATGGTGAAAGGCGTCATGGTTTCCCTAGTGCCCTGCCGAGTGTTCACAAGAACGCGCTTATTGATGAGTGCCAATAAGATGTGCTCAGCTTGGCAGAACAAGAAGCCGCCACGAACCCATCCAGGTGTTACCCAGGCTGCAGTATCTGTTGAGATGAATATCTCGGAGTTAGAGTGCCAGTTTGTCAACGCATTCTGTATCGCTTCCAGGGTAAGCATGTACATGTTGAGAAATCTAGTTGTTTTCTTGGAGTGTCTAAGCTTAGAATCTTCTCTGTTGCGAGATTAACACCCTCTATCTGTATCTTGCAAGTCTCTTTGATAGTGTGATGATTTTTGAGTGTCAGGCCTTGCCACAATCCGCTCAAGTGCGGCTGGATCGCTCGTCGTCCTGGGAAGGGAGATTATGATGCCTGGGACGAGATCGTGTACGAGTAACAACGCACCTGAGTGGGAGAGCTAGGCTTCAGGGTACATACGCGCGCCGTTTGCGAGGTTAGACGTCTCGCCAACGAAACATGGATTCCCAGACTAGGCGGAATGAGTCTGCATGGGTGTGCTGATGTTGTCTGCTTCCATTTTTTCCTTTTCGACCGACCGAGTAGCCGATACGTGTCAAGATGGGTATTGCGGACTCATCATGAATACAGAAGCGCCGAGGAACGAAAAGTTCCCCAAGGGAACTCGCGCACGATTGATATCAGCCGCCTTTCCTGATGGCTAGATGTCTCAGGAGCGCTACATGCTGCTTGTCTAGATCAAACTTTATGGCTGTCGCCATCTACCACACCAATATTCTGCACAGTCAACACGCATCTTTTCTCAAGAACATCTACTTCCCAATAAATGGCACGTGTAACTATGAATTTTAAGAACTTAATGAACAAGGAAACAATCCATGATAATTATAAGATATAACTAGCTATTAATAAAAAAACCCTAGTACACCCCTTCCGCGTAGTCCAAATATCGGAAGAAAACAGAATGATAACATGCAATAAAAGATTAAAATCTTTGGACCTCGAGTATACATTTGTCAATTCTCCACATTTTCGCAGTCTACCTTTACAAACATCTTGGGGGTGGATATTGATCAACATCCAATAATGTCATAAGGTGCTCATGTTGCAGCTAGCGAACAGCCATGTGACAAATCTTTGCTGCATTATTGGCAATTTTATTCGCCTTCGAGGCTAGTATTTACATGCGGGTTCAACCGCTATTAGTCTCGAATTGGGTTACACGGTAGTTTTCAACGAAGTGCTTACGCAGTAACAGTGCCAATATTGAAGCTATCAGCATGAAATAAGCCGCCAGACTTCTTAAACTGGGAAGCACTGAACTAAAGAAAGCGTTAAATTATGGCCAATATCGCACTCATGTTTAGGCTTAAAACATAAACAGAGACACTTTCCTATCCTTCCAGTCACAGCAATCTCGCAGACCCTGGCATGCATTAAAGCTTTGATGAAAATAGCTACCAGAGGCTAGTTAATACCACTAATCAACGTCTTCATGTCTCCACACAGTTACTTAACCAGAGGCTACCAGCATGCTGCGCACACCCTTTGCCTTTAAATGGTCACTATCGCAGCATATTCACAGTAACTGTCCAGTTCCGCCAAGACAACAGCCATTTTCTTCTTGTGTTCTAGTTACCATATAGTCACATATGCAGCGAGCAACTTTTATATGTGTTTCCAAGCAGGTCGACCAATCTTTTCGGAATCTTTAAGTCAGACCCGAACATGGTTGCATAGAGCAGCACAGCACTTGCCCATTGAATGTCGGTTTCAAGTTTCAGACCCATAAAACCGTAAAAAGGACCTTACCATGCTTCTTTACAACAGCCTAATAACCAAAAACGAATTACTAGTAGCTATCTTAGCCACCTTAAACGAATTACTAGAAATAATAAAATGTCAATAAGAAACACATATATAATAGTAGATTGCTTAAAATAGCGGATAATGCCCTTTTGTATGAAGACAAAGTCCTGATGGTGCATCAAGAACATACATACATCGTTTTGCGGAATCATGAAGTGATCAGTCTGTCGGCTTCGACTTGAGGGTGGCTACAACGGTGTTTGTTATACGAGGCTGTTCCAGGGGCTAGTTGCACAGGAACACTTGACTTAAGACCCTTGTTGCAACCTGTCACACAACACTCGGCCTAGAACCCACCCTGAGACTCAACTTAGGACCGGTCTTGAAATCTTACTATTGGATTATGTTGCCCATCGAATAAATGTCATCGCCTCTTTTTGAACCTTCATGGAACGCTCGAATAAAAGCAGGTAGTGCTTTACATTTTGCTTCTACATTTCCGAATGGCTTTCTTGGGTTGCAGCTTTCACTTCAGACTCACACTTTGCCTTCTGGTATGATTATCCACACCGGAAAAAGGGTTGGTCGAAGCCTTAAAATTATTATGGCTTTGGAGCCATGAACGCAACCTTGCCGGTAAGTTTTGAGGTAGACAAAGGAAGAAACGGACTTTTCTAGGCTAAACTCTCCAGCAGATCCGGTCTTTTGGCTTGACCACGGCATGATCGACCGCACCTAATGGATTTGGCAAATGCAGCACCTAGACACGCGGCTGAAGGCAGTCTCTGGAAGTACAAGCCTGGGGGTTTTGGAGGGCCACACGACACGCTCAATGATGACATTAATTTGTCGGACATTGCGCCAAAGGTGAAGCTGGGCGATATACTCGACACAATGAGTGGCCCTTTCTGCTAAATCTATGTGTTATGTAACATCTTGATGATCCTGTCAATCAAGAATCAGTGTTTGTTTTCTCAGTATAATTCTGTAATCTTATCTTTTCTTATCTCTGGTTTTTGAGAGATGCAGTCATGGCACTCGATAGGTGATTTCGTTTCTTCGTAGGAGGGTTAGAATGTCTCATCCAGAATACAGATATGAAATTAGCCTCGTCTGCATATCCAGTCATCCCAATAAAATTCTTGACATCTTCTCCCTAAGGTAGAAAGTTAGCGTCTACCCTTTAGATGCACTAGGAGCAAAGGCGAGCATAATGCATCGAAGCAAATGACCAACAGTGCCCGGACAATGTAATGAGAACAATTAAGACCTGAAGAAAGCCTGCAGCCACCCCCAAAACTTGCACATAACGTGCATGGCTAAACCCACATCTTGATACGACCAAGAGTTCTCAGCACACCTAATCAAGGTGTCACATCGATGCAGGAAGTGGTACCTGGAACTTCACCGATGTGAGACCCCTGATTGACCGAGTCAAAAACACCGAGGCCAATCAACCTTCTGCGACGGATTGGAAAACACGCAATCCAAATTGACTTCACTTTACTCGCCTGGATAGACTCCGGCTAAGTTTAGGGCGATTTCGGAAGCATGAGTGGAACTTTTGCTTCCGGCCCTAACCGTAACTGTGACACATGCCTGTGGCAGTGTAATTGGGAGACATATTAAAAGTTCTGAATTGGCCGATCAGGACGCGCAAGACAGAATGCCTGGGGTGCTCGATCGCCGTCAAGTTATGGTTAGAAACTCACGGTTGCTTGATATGATGTGTCTGTGAGCCAGAAAAAACAATCTCTTACTGACAGAGGCGGCTTGGCTTTGCTACGTACAACCCCCTTTTACCGGCGTCTTTCGGCTGTGGGAGGTCAAGTGGCGAGAGATACGCCTTGAAAAGTGCAGCAATGCTGACAATACTTCTTCACATTGTGAAGGAACTCGTCAATTTCCCGGCTGGAGCTGATCAGGGCCAACCGATGAGACGTGTCAGAAAACCCAGCCTCACTTCACTCTGGGTTATCCAAACAGTCCACCTCTTACATCACCAAATGACGACATCAACATAAAGACCTGACTTGCAAACTGCATCTCCAAAGCCTTCAAAATTCAAAAGGGTTTGATGGAGTCGGCGTCTTAAAGCAAAGGCATGGTAAAGCTCAGACAATGGGAAACCATCAACCGCAGATTTTCGCTTGAGAGTAAATTGTCTTACTCAGTGGCTGTTTTCCGGATCACGTTGCGGTGCCAGAGAGGACATGAGAAGTCGCAACAAGACAGTAACCTGACTTTGAGCCGCCAAGCGCGAAGCGCCGAGGCTCACCAAGAAGCGCCAAGCGCCTGGTGGTCCCGACGTCAGTCAACAATCCCTGTTGGCCAAGGAGCACCAAGAACACACAAGAACAAAGGGGCCCTATGACAATGTCCGACCAAGACAATCATGCCTTGGCCGGCTCAGCGGTTGTCGTCACGCCGCCCCTGCGGCCCCTTTGCTCCACACAGCGGAAAACATCAATAAGACCCAACGAAACATGCTCCCTCCGCTTGGCGCCGAGGCCGCGGTGACATCGCCGCGAAATACGGGCCCCTCCGCCGAGAGTCTGAGGGCGGGCCACAAGCATACTTGAACAACATTGTATCCAATGATCGCTCCGCTGTCCGATAGCGGCCCTGGACGCCCAGTCACCTTGTTAAGACACTAACATCTTGTCCTATCTCGCGGTTCTGGGCAATCCACTCTGGTTCTCTGGGCAGGTTTTGGCTACTGCCTCCCTAAAGATGACTACTTGTTTACACACGGAGTTCAATGCTGCTCCCGTCCCCAGTAGTTCTGACCCCCTCCCTCCTCCGAAGGTGCTGGCCTCTGTCCCCCCAGGTTTCCCTTTCGTCCTGTCTTCCTCCCGTTATCGTCCTCCCCGCCGCCAAACCCAACTCTTGGCACTCCTGGGAAACAACGTCGTCTCACGTCGTCAAAGTCAACGACATTTACAGAAGCGGTCAACAGAAGACAATTTCAAATAATGTTTAGTCTTCTCAGGCTGAGATTGATGCCGGGTTACTTGCCTTCTCATAAGTATTCTGGGCACTCCGGCAAAAGAGTTGACTCAGCATCAAATTTCACTAGACACGAGTCTCTCAGGAGATCGTTCCTCCATGACACATGACAAACTATCATGGGAAATTCTCTGAGGAACGTGTCACGGACTACTCTGGAGAAGTTCCCAGATGTAAACCTCGTCCCCAGGCCATTGACAGACTGGCCCGCTCTGGCCAAGTTCATGCAGTTCCCGCGGTTCCCCTGCCTTCAACCTAATAAGTTTCACATTATTCAAGGTCTACCATCAAGAAGGAACAAGACGCGTCGCCAGCTCCCCACAGATGTTTTTGCCAGAAACACGAACTATGGTAAGAGCCTCCTTGACAAGACTGCTCGATGTAAGACATTCTAGCCAAGTGGCCGAGATTGACCAGAAGCCTCGAAGATCCAACCCTTGCCTCGTCATCGGCGACGTTTTGTTATGATATGTTGCATTTTGGATGTACCCGACACTGCCGCCCTTGGCTTCTTCCCCCCCCCCCCCCCCCCCCCCTCCTTTGTCCTCTTTTCCGGTGCCAGGAAGGGTAACGGCTCTTCAATCCAAATCCTCTCCCGTAGGACCGTTCTTGCCGTGCTTCTCCGTAGGTTCTATTCATAGCTACTAAGGGTAGCAACAATCCCCTATCGGGATCTACGGGGCGTGCTTGGCCATGAAGCAGAAGCGTTTGTGATCCATATTCATTCCCAAAAAACACTGGCTGCCCGTGATCTGCGGCCAAGACACCCCCATTTAGTCCGAGGCCAGTATTTCCCTGGTAAACACACCACCGTTAAATAGTCTGACTCTCGGCGCTGAGAAAAAACTACTTGCATTTCCAGCTGCTCACCAGACCATTATCCATCAGCAGCGCTGGGGTACCGGGTGACCGTCATACCACAAGAGGCAACGGAATCGTTTTCTGCAGCTCGTCATTTCAAGTTCTTGCTTGCCAGTTCATCTCTTGCGGGATATTCTTCACTGTTTTAGACGCAATTTTGTTTACTTTATCTTTCCTCACGAGTCCTGTTGATATCCTCCGTTATTCTCCTTTCCTCATATCAGTTTGTCAATCATCGTACGAGCAGTATCTAAAGCGATCTTCCCCCTACACAAAGCCCTTGCCGGCCAAGGCAGCCTTCCTTATCACACGCGTACTACCAGCCTCTGGGTACACTAAGACTCCCAAATCTTGGAGTTGAAGCCACATCCAACGAGCCAAGATGCCTACTCTTGATCCCAGCGAACTGAATATCGTGCTGGCCGTCTTTGGTGGGTCCCCCCAAGACTTGGGCCGTTTGACCCTGACTAACTGTTATCTTTTTCTCCTGCAGGGGCGTTCATCATTCTCTTCGGAATACTTTCTGTAAAGATCAAGAATGTCTGGTACCTGGGCGAGGCCTGTAAGTCATGCATGCTTTGATCTTTTGATCTGCCCCATCTTGCATCCGGCATGCAGACCGGTAATTAGTATGATATGTAACATGAGCTAACATATTGATTTTTCCACAGTACCGGCCGTCGTGTTAGGCATATGCCTTGGTCCATTAGCGGCCAAATTCCTCGACAGTGAACGGTGGGGGTCGGCTGTTGAGGGTCAGACCAATGACATTACTCTCGTGCGTATGCCCTCATTAGGTCCTCTAACACGGGAACGTGTTCGCTGGGTGTTTTGCTGATCAGCGATTTTCATCATAGGGTGTCATGAGAGTGATGATTGGTATTCAACTGGTCATGGCCGGCTACCAGCTCCCGGCAAGATACCAAAAGAATAGATGGAAGGACATGCTCGTTCTCATGATCCCCATCATGACTTTGATGTGGCTGGCTACAACCATCTGCATTCTTGCAACGATCCCCAAAGTGACGCTTCTGGGAGCTATGGTCATCGCTTCCTGCGTTACCTCGACAGACCCGGTTTTGTCACAGGCAGTTGCAAAGGGACCGTTCTCCGACAAGTTTGTCAGGCGTTCGCTACGTGAAATCATCTCTTCTGAAGCCGGAGCCAACGACGGATTCGGATTTCCGTTTTTGATGCTGGCTACGTACCTCATGCGGCATGCTGAGGGTTCCGATGTACCCGGGGGTGCTTCGACGGTGCAAACTGTTACTCGAGCACTTCTTCCCCGTGCAGGGGATGTCGCCCGTCAGGGTGGAAGTGTCGGTGTTGCGCTGCAGAACTGGTTCCTTGAGACTTGGCTCTACTTTGTTCTGATGAGCATCATTTACGGTGCCGTTGTTGGAACACTGATCAGACTTGCTCTTAAGTACTCTGTCAGGAAGTAAGTCGCCCACTCTTGAGTCGAGAAAAGGAGAACAAAAACACAACTCCGTTGGGACATAATAGCTGACAGCATTACAGGAAATGGATTGACTCGGAGAGCTATGTGCTTGTGCCAACTGCAATTGGTGTAGGTTGAAACCGTGGTTCTGGTGATTCAAACGACTGACAACAATGATAGCTCTTTCTGATGGGAACATCTGGGGCCATTGGAACCGACGATCTCCTATCTTGCTTCGTCGCTGGCAGTGCACTCAATTGGGACGGCGAGTACCTAGCTGAGGCCCAAAAGCGACATGACGAAGTCAACGCTAGCATCGACGTTCTTCTTAACTTCGGTGGTTTCATCTACCTCGGCACCATCATCCCTTGGAGCGAATTCAACTCCGACATCACCGGCATCACCCCCGGCCGACTTTTCGGCCTCGGCGCTCTTGTACTCGCCTTCCGTCGGATTCCTGCCGTTCTCCTCACCTATAAGCTTATGCCCAACACTATTAAGGACTGGAAGGAAGCCCTTTTTATGGGATATTTTGGTCCCATTGGTGTTGGTGCGGCTTTCTACGTGGAGCATGCCCGTCACCTGTTTCCTAAGATAACCGAAGCGGTAGGCGACAATGAGGTTACTGACATGCTCCGAGCTATTGGACCAGTTGTTTATTGGCTCGCGTTGTTCTCCATCATAGTTCACGGGCTATCCATCCCTACCCTCAATCTCATCTACGAGTACATGGGCGTGCAGCCCATTCAAGAGGACGCTGTCGCAGTCAGACGCAGGTCTGTCCGCGTACCTCCGCCTTCGAACGCTGTTGAGGGCGACAAAGAAACATTCATCGCGTTCAACCGCTTCTCACGACCCAACCTGTCTGCAGAGTCGCTTTCTCATTTGCGCGACGACGACTCGTCTGTTACAGACGAGAAGGTTAGGTACCCAGACCTAGAGTCGGGTCTGGAGGAAGCTAAGCAGAATGCGCAATTGTCGCCAAAACGGAGCTTCAACGTCCCACGAATGAGCCCACCTCGCAGCCTTAGTCGACCACGCACGAGCGCTAGTCAAGTCAAATGGGATCAACCTCATGTCATGCAAGATTGATATGCATGACGGCGGATCTTGCTTCAACGAAATGAAAGACGAATTAAAAGATTTTTATCGGATACCCTTGCCGCACGGATTGCGACAGCAATGATTTTGTGTGTGTTGGGCTCGGTTAGAACTTCGAGACATACAACAAGCTCATTACTGTCATTACCGGACACCGCCCTAAGTCACTCACTAGACATTCTCGATAGAGACTTTGATCAGCCGCCGCGCAGTCTGGAACGCCGCGATGAAGATAGAAGTCAATTAGAAAGATACCGCAAAGAGAACACTGCCTAGACTGTGATTACATCATATCTCTATCCAAATATTGACTGTGAACATGATCACATAATTACTCATAGCTTTTACCTTCTGTGATCTATCTCCCACCCCTTTTGCGTTCAGGATTGCCTGATACTTTGATTGTTAATGATCATGGGCTGTATCTGATTGTGTACGCAACATTGCTTACCTTCCATTGTTCGCAGTTCTCATTTTCTTAACTTCACGATGGCCAGTCTTTGACCCTGAGAGCTGCTGTGGTGTACAGTGAGAGGAAAGGTGTATGAATATCACATCACACCCAAAACCATCGTTCATGGAATACTAGCATGGAATTCTGACTACTGCTGTCCCGATCTTCGACTCCATGCAAAGATAGCATAAATAAACCCAATTCGCTTCGCTTAGTCTCTTCCAAAGTATTCATTCAGAGAGACATAGAGTATTGCTCTATGTTGAAGCGTTCTTGATGTCTAGCACCTGCCTGTGCGTACGGATGCTGTTTACACACGCAAGCATAGTCTAAGCACGATAGACGTTTTATCTGCCAAACTGCAAACTCCAGGAGTTTAGCCAAGAAAACATCGCGATTCTCAACATCAGATTTTGAATTTTGAGGGCACAATCACACAGTCAGGGGCTGCTGTCACTCCTCTGGCGAAAGCGGTACGGTGGCAGCAACTATTAAGTGGCCGCCACAGAATCTTAACACCTGCGTGAATCGCACTATAAGTGAGAGAAAAAACGCCTTTGAAATCCAGGTTGAGAACTTGAGACACATCAGTAATTCATGCATCAAATAGTTGCGTATTTACAAGGCGCGGCAGTGCTCTTTCGGATGTAAAATCTACGAGTGAGCACCAAATGAAATATTCATGGCGTATCTTTCATACCCGCTATTTTCTAGACGCAATGTTTATAATCATTAGTTCATCTTGAAGATGTACGTAAAAATGATAAACAGATCCTTGAGTGGACGTTATGATAGCATTCGGATTTGAGCGGATCACGAGCCCGGAGCGAGCATTCTCATATCGGCCGACCTGTACAGGACCAGATTAACACCCATGTGCTCCATCTCTTAAGGTCATATTTGATGCAAGGTAAAAGTCGCATAAACAAAGAACCTAAAAGGAATCTAACGTCGCTACACCGGGATTGACACTCGTGATGATTTGCAGCCATCATCAGACCAGCCTGCAGGTCGACGTCGGTCACATTTGGCCCTTTTGTACATGCACCTAATCTTATCACTGCATAAGAATGATGATCCCTAGGCGTAGAATCGCGACGATCCCCCAGCAAAAATGATCAATTGCCGAATGTTAGAGCCAGAACCTCAGCTAATCATGCGGTCGGACGACGTAACGGTGCGGGGAACGGACGCTACCGGCGACGATCCGGGAGCATTACCCCGCTGGACTTGGCGTATGTCATTCGCTGAAGGCGGCTGTAACCCCTTTTTGAGCTCCATCACCTGATGCAGTAATCAGTTTCACGGAAACAAACCTCCATCTACACACGAGCGACTTCATATGTGAGCCATTAGCAGCTCGGAGACCATTCCTGGCTTGTGCTTTGAGAACGCCACAGCCTCATTCCAATACCTCTGCTTTGTTACAGAACACATACTTGCTAGTATACTTCCAGAAGCGTCTGTTCGCGAGTATCAAAGCTCGCAACATTTGATTCATCCCTTGATTGGGTTTCAAGGCTCTAGCACCCGTCCATCATGCGTGGCTTGGCAATCGTCGTATCGCTAGCCGCAAGCCTAGCCTTTGGACTGGACGTCTCCCAGACTTCTAGCGACGCCTATCTTTTGGCGGATACGGATAAACCAAGCCCCAGCGACTGGGCTGAAAAGGCGGAGAAAGAAGGTCGGAGTATCTGCATCCTCGAACCGGATGCCAACGGCGGGGACGATGCGCCAGCGCTGCTTTCCGTGCTGAACGACAAATGTCGGATCAAGAGCATCATTGTGCTGCCGGGCCCTGTCTACCACATCAACTCGCCCATGGTGACTACCGAGTTAGACGATGTGATTATTGATCAGAGGGGCAGACTGCTCTGGAGCAATGACACCACCTACTGGCTCTCTGTATCGATGCCCGTAGATTTCCAAAACCAGAGCACGGTATGGCACTTTGGCGGCGACCGTGTTGTGTGGGAAGGCCATGGGGTAGGCACGCTCGACGGCAACGGCCAGGTTTGGTACGACCTGAACAAGGGAGGGTCTAACATGCCTCATCGACCGATGAACATCAACTTCCGAGACTTTTCGAACTCCGTTGTCAAAGGGCTTCGCTTCGTCCAGAGCCAGATGTGGACGATGAACATCATGTACTCGAAAAACCTTGTCTTCGAGGATATCTACGTGAACAGCACATCCTCCACCGAGAATAACTCGCTCAACACGGACGGCGCCGACACCATGTATTCAGATAATATCACCTTCCGACGGTGGGTTGTGGTGAACGGTGACGATGCTATTGCCGTTAAAGCCAACTCTAGTAACATTTACATTTACGACAGTGAGTTCTTTGGCAGCACTGGCATTGCGATGGGGTCCATCGGACAATTCATCGGCCAGTTCGAGTATATCGAGAACTTCTTGGCAAGGAATGTAACCTTGCACGATACACTCCGGGGTTGCTACTTCAAAACATGGAGCGGCATCCAGATCGGGTATCCGCCAAACGGAGGCGGCGGTGGGACGGGGTACGCTCGCAACATCGTTCTGGAGGATATCAAGCTTGACCGCACCCGCGGGGAACCACTCTTCATTACTCAATGTGAGTCTTTCTCCGGCCATGCGGGTGAGTCTTGCGACACATCGACCTTTAAGATCTCGGACGTCGTTTGGAAAGACTTCAGCGGGACCATCACGGACGACGTTCCCAGCTCAGGGTTCTTTCGGTGCAGTGCGGGTGCAGGCGGGTGCAGCAACCTAACGGTCGAGAACTTCACCGTAAAGCCTGCCAGCCAGGATGATATCTTGGATAAGTGGCTTTGCAAGAATGTCCAAGGCGACGAGGGATTTAGTTGCCAAGATATAGAAGAGACTGTCGATGAGCTCTGAACAATATTTTGTAGTGTTGCAACGCAGATCCGGCGTATCCGCGTTCTTGTTTTGATCCTGGACTGGTCCGAACGGCAAAATGTCGGAAAGCTCCACGTCAGCATTCAATGAAACTGGGGATTTTCATCAGTGGCCACTCACTTTTGATAACATGCTTTGATCCGAGTGGACACGCCGTCGCCAAGGGCTATGTAATCGCCTAATACCTAGGCCTTTCCATCTCATCGGACTGCGACACAATGCCGCACTTCTGGAGAGAACCTCGGCCGACCCCGGGGAACTAAGACTCCGCACGCCGATGTCCAAACTCCAACGGCCCGATGGAGATTGGATTCTCCCGCGAAGACCAAAAACTCCGATGTCCGACGCCTCCCCAGGCAAAGTCTAGCCCATCTGTGCATTCGCTAGGTATTCTCTCCTTTAAGCGCCCAAGCAAGTGTTATATTGATTCTCAGACTGATGATCCACACCCTGAAGATCCGCAGAAATTGAGCATGGCGACGAATCTTGACTGAGCTAAGGGCTAAGAAGATGATGCTGTTATGTTAGCGGCTCCCACTGACCTCATCAACCGCACAAGAACCGTAGCGTCACGGCAGTGGTCCTATCAAACGCCCGAGCCTGTCACCCCTGGTGTGCTGGCTGGCTAGCCCTGAGTGTGACTGCATATGAAGATTCTGACTTTGGCTGCACATCCTGCAGTTTGTTGCTAGCAAGCCTAGGCAGTCAGCTCGTCTATTGACCCCAGCAATGTGCGGGCTTGCCGCGTTCATAAGGACGTGGATTTGGTGGCAAGATAAGCAGTGAAAAGTGAGACACGTTGTGAGCTAGCAAAAGCTTACTACTTTGTCCCTCTCTATCGGGTGTTGGCAGCGGAAGGTTTTCGCACGCTCGGACGCGTCTTTGTGCTGATGTTTGGTCATGGAATTGGAGACCAACTGCATGTTCCCGTGCGAACCTACTATTATTGGAAAAGACTTTGAAAGGCATGAACGGACTAGAGCAAGCTTCGGAAAAAGATCGATTAAATTTTGTCTATTAATCGTGACATGTCAAAAGACTTTCAGTTTCGAACACTTGGCAGAAGAATTGTGAGTCCGTCATCAATCTGAAAAAGCTTTTCCAAAGAAGCCGAAAACGCTCTGTGGATTTCCAGACTCTAAATTTGATTACAATACTCGTTCTTACTCGGGCGCGACTTGGCATCTGAGTATAAACCCCTGGCATCGATTCCGGTCGTTCCGGCTGCCGAGAAGAGCATGCGAAGCAACTCGGTGCGTCCAATAGATGAGTGGGCAGAGGGCCTCGCGAAATGATTGGAAGATCCACCGCAATTGCTCCAAGCTTCTCCCACATCCCATCCCGTTGCCCACCGGTCAGTTCACACACTGGATTGCAGTGGTTCAACGTGGGGTTTGGGTTAGCAGGGAGGTGGAATGAAAACTGGGTTCCGCTCACCTTGTTGCATGTTGCCGGGCGCAATCACACGCGTCAAAGAGGGCTTAGGTCGCGTGCCCACCTTCCTACGGCGAGCCATTCGGCAGGGGGAAGAGCTAAACGGATCGGGTGTGGGACGTCAGTCGTGTCTCCAATCCCGCTCCGCCTCTCCTTGGCGACGACGCCCCCAAGCCTCCTATCAGACGGCTCTGTGCGGCTGCACCACAACGTGTGTTCAAGGCTGACGGGAGAATCAATGTCTGGGCGCCGATCTGACAATGCCTGGCTACAGTTCGATGGTTGGCCTGGTGCAACTTCTTCCGCCCGAGTGGGTTTCCTCCGCTGTGCGGTCTACACTATGTGGTTTTTCTGTTGTTTGCCTAGCAAATGCTTATTAGCTTTGTCGTCCCTCTCCTTTTCTCCTTTTACGGTTCTGGGAGGATTTGGCATTTTCTTGTATTAACTTCACGTCGCTCACTCCATTCTCCTGTCTGCCTATAGGAGACAAAAGATTGTTTACTCTGCTTCTCATAGACGGCGCGGACTTCGGCACGCGTCTTCATTTCTGGATACCCGTTAAGACTTCCTCTCTCTTCCATATACAAAGCCAATCATGGCTTCGGCACTCGGTGCTCTGAGAAATGTTGTTGAACCAGCTTGTAAGTTCTCGATACTGAGTCGAAGCGAAACTCAGGTCTGGCAAAACAACTTTTCTCTTGTTCCCCAACTAACCATAGGCGTTTTCCAGTCATTGTCTTTGCCTTTACCGTTGGCGCCCTCATCAACCGCCGCAGACCAGATCACGACGATGACGTAGACTCCTGCGAGCGTGGGTCAGAGGATTCCTGCTCACGCCCCACCTCTCCGCTCCTCAAGCCGGGGATGCGTGCCGAGTCGGGTGAGGTGTCCCGCATCAACAAGAAGCTTCTCGTGCGGTTCTATCGCACTTTTCCTTTCCTCGCCGAGATTTGGTACTGGAACGCAACATACTGGTATGGCTTGGCCTTCTTGACTCTCCTCTTAGCAAGATCAGCGCTGACGGATTATTGTGCCTGATAGGGTGTATCAACTCCTCCGTGCCTTCTCGGCGCGCATGATCGCCGGCAATGAAGCCGTGTTTGCACGAGCGCGAGACCACGCAATATCCATCCTGAAGCTTGAGCATTGCATCGGGCTTGATATCGAGCTCGGCGTACAGCAATATGTCCTCGACAACATGCCCTGGATGATGTCGTACCTGGCCAAGATCTACTACTTTCACATCAGCTTGGGCATCTGCTTCATCATCTACTGCTACACTTTCCTCCCGCCCAACACCTTTCAAAGGATCCGACGAACCATCGCTATGGACAACGTTATTGCCTTTGTGGTTGTAACAACTTACCGCTGCATGCCGCCACGCATGCTGCCAGCCGAGTATGGGTTCGAAGACGTGCTTCATGGAGCCAAGGGAGGAGGCAATGCATGGACTCACAATAAGTTTCAGTTGACTATCGCCGCGATGCCGAGCCTTCATTGCGGTACTGCATTGTTCCTAGCGTGGTGCATCTGCCGCTTCTCGCCTCATCGTCCTCTCCGACTCGTTGCTCCCTTGTGGCCTATGGCTATGCTCTTCACTATTGTTGCCACGGCAAACCACTTCATTCTCGACGCTGTGGTTGGTGCAATGGTTCCTCTTCTTGGGTGGAGGTTCAATCGGGCTGTTCTTGTTTTGTTACCATTGCAAAACAAGGTGCTTGAGGGATTAGGCCTGAAAGACACGGAAGAAGAGAACACCCCGACATACATGCCCAAAGAGTGGTAATGTAGGATAAGAGGGAATGGCGACCACTGGACTTCGCTTTTCGATAATCTGATGAACAATAGATTAGGGTCCAATCCCATACAATACATCGCCATTGTCAAATATCATTATTCTATCTCACAGTGCAGTAACATGTACGCCTAAACAAAGCCTCCCAAGCACAGCAAGTGATTTGTCGTTATAGATGAACAGCAGGAGTCAACTTCTTTTTAAGTCTGATGCAGCAGCCTTTTGATTGAATAAATAAAAAACACCTCAAATGACTATGTGCTGATATAGAAACCGCAGGTATTGGACGCATTGACAGATAAGATTTGAAAAGGGCTACTGCACTACTAGTAATAACATGAATACACATTTCAGATGCGATTGATAGCCTTCGTAATGATAATGTATCTATGCCTTACGAGCATAGATCTAGCAGCCAAGGCACTCGAAACATATCATGCTCCTCATGAGTATCTTAGACGTAGACGCGGAAGGCGATGGACACCTTGTGACTGATCAATTTGAAGTATACCCAATCATCGCTAGAGTATCACCAATAGGCAGAGTCTACTAAATGGAATATAGATCGTACAGTCTGAAAGCAAATTCTTCGCTATGTACCGCTACCTCGAGCCAGAAGTGGCTACAGGGCGAGCTCCACTAATATACTTAATGTCAGCAATGAAATGTTCAACTGTGTTCATGCCAGTTGGATCAATTATATCCTCACAGGGCCCATAATCACTCATAAGTAGCTTCATATAATTATTCCCATGAAATTCACTTTTCTGATGATTTGGCTATTTGTAGCTGAATTCTCTGGGTTGCAGCTTGCGATCCGCGGAACACCGCGAAATTCTGTCTCAACCCAGCAAGGCCTTTTTCACAGTATCCACCTCCTCCGCCGTTCCGCAGATCAAGCCAGCCCTCCCGTCACAGTCTACCGATACTTTGTCAAGGAGAGGTTTGCCGTCGGCAGGATCAATGGCTTTTCCTCCCGAGCATTCCACAATTAGAGCAATCGGGTAGAGCTCGTACAAGAACCTAAGCTTGGGAAGAGTACCCGGCGAGACGGGTGAAACATAGATACCGTGTCCCTTCACCAGCGCATGCACGATATCAGGAACAAGACCTCCACAATAGCGCAGTGTGTACTTCTCCCGAATGAAGCGCGTGATGAGAGCATTGTATCTCTCATCATCCGCCGCATGACGGAGGTTTGCGGGGGCAAAATAGCGCGTCTTGAAAGGTCCATCAGCAAACTTGACGGAGGTGCGGATAATTTCGCAGTCCGCGACTCCGTTCGGGCCAAACCCGATCTCGAAGCATGCGGAGTCTGCACCGGGGATCCTCAGCGCCATAATGGCCGTAGTCCGAGGTCCGATCACACCCATGATAGCCGCAATCTGTTTCTCTGCCGGCGACTGGCCTACGGCTGTCCGCCCATCCCAGATACCAACAATAGTTCCGACTGTCCAATTTGGTGCAATGATGGAGCTGCCATCAAGAGGGTCGAAGGCGATGGTGTATTCTTCTGATGTCGCGGGGGTGCCGGTTGCTTCGCTAGTTGGTCTTGCCGGCTTCTCTACAGGATCCTCCTCACTGCTCGCTGTGAGAATCGAAGGGCATCTTGCAATGGCCTCCCGCATGACATTTTCGGACAGAACATCAACGTTCAATTGATCATCTCCAAAGGCATTCGAGGTTCCAGCCAGGGAGACGTGTTGAGAGGCGTGCAGCGTCTTGGCGATGCCGGTGATGGCGTCAAGAACCGCTGGAATCACGCTCTCACGGAGCGACAAGCGATCACTTTGAGGAATGACGCTCTTTAAATGCTGGACGAGAGCTGTTGATGCTGACATGGTGGCTGATGGCTCTGATATGAAGTTGGCCGAAAGTGTTGAGTCAGGGCGAATTGAGCTATTTTAGGATGAAAGAGGTTGAGAGAATTTCAGGCCGGACGCCATCCGAGTGGCCCCCACACACTTATACTGGATTGTCCCTTGATCCACCAGTGAAAGATGCTGTCATCTTTGCTGTTTCAAACTCTATCTCACCGTTGTCCCACGTGGAAGTCGACACTCACAACAGGGTATTCCTAGTAGCTTTAGAACCACATTACAACTCATTCTTATTACATATCCCCATTTCCAACTTTCGAGGTGTCCAGATTGACATTGAGGTTTGATTCTCTTTTCGGCTGCATCCACGTGCCTTGAGGCTTAAGGCGGATTGGGTCCGGCATTAGCTCTTATCGCTGCCCCATTTCTGATTCGTTCGGCCATCTTAAAAAGCGTCGACCATTACGCTTGTGAGCTTTCCTCGCTATTATCTCGCCTCTGACGTTTGAGCCCATCGTAAAAATGTCTTTCTTCAAAAACCCTGATATCATCATCAAAGTTGACTTTCCCAAGCTTTCTCGCCTTCAAAATCTTTCTCCGGACTCTCATTACGTCGTACTCCGTGTTCCTTGTTAGCCACCACGTCCAAAGGTTGGCCAGAAAAGACGCAATGGTAGTGGCCGCTGCGATAGCAAAGCTAGTCTTGTAGCCATTGTATGCGAACTTTGACTGGAACAGTTGTGGTCCGATGACGCCACCAAGCTGGGCTATGCCGGATTGTAGACCGAGGGTGAAGGCAGTCCCCGTAGATCCCCAAAGCGTAGCGGACCTCCAAGCCCAGAACGGGATGAAATACGACTGATAGAACAAAGTGCCTAAGATGCACGAGATATAAATGCCATAACGATTGGTAATGGTAAAGAATAACACAAAGCAAACTACCATTCCAGACATAAGAATCCTGGAAACCATGGTTAGAATAAATGTAGTGAGAGATGACTAACCTGCCATTGACTTACATGATGTATGCTGGCCGCACGATGTATGCTCTAGACATGAACCATGCCGAAAACATCAGTCCGACAATAGCTGCAAATGCGGGCGGCATGTTGAGTAACTGGTTTCTTGGTAACCCTACGAAACCAAGATTTGTCACAATAGTTGGCAGATACCAAGTCAATGCGTACCCCCCAATGTTGATTAGGGTCTGTGAGAGCATGAACGACCAGATGAGAGGCGTTCGGAGTACGGCCCAGATCTCTTTGCCAGCAAAGTCGGGATCATTTGTTAACGGTGCATTCTCTGGCAGCCTTGCTTCCACAAACTCCATTTCTCGCTCTGTGAGGAAGCGACTGCTGCGAGGAGACTTTGGGTAGTCTGGCAAGAGCCAGAACACGACACCAGAGAAGACGATCGTCGCCAAGCCCTCTAGTAGATAGACCCATCTCCAAGCACTAAGGCCGCGAACACCATTCAGATAGCTTATACCATAGCAAAGAAGGGAGCCGATAATACCGGCAAGATTGGACATGGCGAAAAACCAAGTGACAGGCTTGCCGATTTCGTCGGTGCGATACCAACTTGAAAGTTGGGCCATGACACCTGGAAACATGCCAGCTTCGAACATCCTTTTGAAACCCATTTTTGGGTTAGTTTATCATGAAAGTGAGTGTTTTCAATAGTCTTTAGACATAAAAACCTACCCAAGAAGGAAACGCATGGCGTAGAGCTGATGTCGGTTTTGCGCTGCGGCTTGACAGGCGGTGATGATTCCCCAGGAAAGAAATATGCGAGATTGCCACAGATGCGGACTCAAACGCTTCAAGAGAAGATTACTGGGAGCTTCAAAGATTATATAAGCAATCTGAGGTTCGGTTAGCTTGCGAGGCAGCCCAAACATATCTCTTTCAGCTGTCAGAGCAATCAACTTACGCCGTAGATAGATCCCACCCAGTTGTATTGGTCGGAAGTCATATCGAGCTCTTTCATGATGTTGCCCGGTTCCCCAACTTGTAGAACTCTCACATTTGAAGCATTGGTTTGATCAATCTTGGAAATTGGTCAATTTGCGTCCTCTTCAATACGTCCGGCTATTGAAACGAAGTGTCTGACCTGTTTAATCATGTACATTACTCCGATAAGACCCAAAAATGCCTTGTCAATTTTGTTGATGACGGATCTCTCCTCTTCTGCAGAGAACGTTGAAAGAAACGCTGCTCTATCTTCAGGGTCGTCTCGCAGGTTGTCTACATTAGCCCTCGCGACGGCTGCGTTGGTTTGCAGCTTCCGGCTGGTGGCCGTGGCAGCGTGATTGACTCGGACCTCGTTTGGTTGGATTGGTGCACTCATGATGCTGTGAGTATTCTGATCTTCTTTTCAACAGTCATTTCAAACTTTTCGGATGATGAGAAAATGTCATTTTTATGATCGGCTAATCAATGTTACTGATAGGGAGCCATGCCGGGACCGGTCCGTAACCTTGTCAACTTCAACTTCACACTGGGACCCTTATCAGCGGGGATTCACCAGCGTCTGTATGGTGTGCTTAAAGTTGAGATGGCGATATGACGTTCGCATGCTGAGTGGTTGGCGCGAATCACTGCCGTGGAGGTGCTGCAGCTGTGTATCATTCGCTGAGGCACGTCGGGAGTGTATGGCGAAATCACGGCCCACCATTCCATCATCCCACTCGATGACATTCTATCAACTGTCCATCTCCTGGACCGGCTAAAACCCGTTACCATCGTAATAGCCGTAGGTAACAGGCCTCAAGTATCAAAGTTGATACTGACCAACTGTCGTTTTTGGGCTCCGTTACAGGACTATCGTAGTATCTATGCTAGCGCTAAGATGTTCCGCAGCACGTCTCTCGGAGATTATGCTGGAGGATTTCCGCACGCAAGATGCAAGCAGTATGACGTGAAATTTATGAAGATGTGTTATAAAGAGACCTTCTGCCTGATTGATTTGGCATGGAACTATCTTAGCGCGATATTTTGACACCTCAATGAACCCGGCCGATTCTTCCTTGCTAGCTGCGTATCTCAACTGCATTGTTCATCATGTCCTCAGAGAAACAGAACAATTATATAGGTACAAGACCAAAGAAGCAAATTCTTCTTAATGCTTTCGACATGTTTACCGTTGGACACTTGTCCTTCGGCCAATGGAGAAACCCAAAAGACAGAGCCAAAGACAAGCGTCGGGATCTCACATACTGGACCGATCTTGCTAAGCTACTCGACAAAGGAGGCTTTGTGGGCCTCTTCCTGGCCGACACTTTTGGGCCATATGATACGTAAGTTTCATCATGTTGCATCTATGCGATCGAAGATTTTGCTCACGAATACAACGATCTAGATACAAGGGCAGCGCAGAGCCCTCAGTACGGACAGGCGCTCAATGGCCAATGGCTGATCCGGTCATCGTAAGTCTTTCCCCAAGTGTAATTGGGCAGCAATGAATTGATGTTGTCATAGCCCGTTTCGGCGATGGCTGCTGTGACCAAGAACTTAGGCTTTGCCATCACAACCTCAACTTCGTATGAACAAGCCTACGTTGTGGCGAAGCGGTTCAGTACTCTCGACCATTTGACGAAAGGCCGCTTCGGTTGGAACATTGTGACAAGTTGGAAGGAATCAGCATCTAAAGCAGTAAGTGTGCTACTCAATCCCTTTCATTCATTCCCATTCTAAGCTGAATAAAAAGGTTGGCTTGCCGTTGGTTGAGCATGACACTCGCTACGCCAACGCCGACGAGTACTTGCGGCTTTTATACAAGTAAGAACCATGCGTATCGTCTTATAGTAATGCAATCACTAACACTTTTTTAAAGACTTTGGGAAGGTTCTTGGTCGGACACAGCTTTGGTAGAGGATGCCGAACAGGGCATCTACTCCGACTATTCTCAGATTCGCCCAATCCACCACCATGGCAAATTCCATGTAGATGCACCTTTTCTGACTGATCCATCCCCTCAACGAACCCCTGTACTATTCCAAGCTGGAACGTCTCCGTAAGTCCAGCCACTTTCCAACGTCGGAAAATCAGCAGCTTACCTCTATTCCACATAAGCGCGGGAATCAAGTTTGGCTCAACCCATGCAGAAGGCATCTTTGTTGCTGGCCTCTCACCGCATGTCGTGGCACCGAGGGTAAAGGCCATCCGTGAAGGAGCGATTGCAGCCGGCAGAGACCCACACTCCGTCAAAGTCTTTGCAATGATTACTCCTATTATTGGCAAAGATGAGAAGGACGCCCAGAGCAAGTACGAAGAAGCTCTCAAATACGTACTCATCGAAGGTGGTCTCGCTCAATTCTCGGCGTCCACAGGTATCGATGTCTCCCAGTTTGACTTGGACCACGAGCTCACTGAGAAGGATGTCGCCAGCAACCTCCAGCGAATTCACTCTTCGCTGTACAACCTCCGCTACCGTGGTGAAGATGTACCTAAACTGACACCCCGTAACCTAGGCACAGTCGCAGCGATTGGCGGAAACGGTGCGATGCCTGTTGGAACAGCGTCTCAGGTCGCAGATGTGTTTCAAGAGTGGGTTGATATTGCTGATGTTGATGGCTTTAACATCGGCTATGTAATTACACCAGGCAGTTTTGAGGACGCTGTCGAGTATCTCGTTCCTGAGCTCCGAAGCAGGGGTCTTTTGCCAGAGCCAATCTCGGAGGATGATCCAGCGCCCACTTTTAGGGAGCAGATTTATGGGCTAGGTCAGAAGGGGTTGCGGTCAGATCATCCTGGCCACAAGTACAAGTACGACACTTATGAAGAGACCGTTGCTAAAGAAGAGGCGGCGAAGGCTACAATTGCGGAGCAGACGACATGAAAAGGACTATGGCAATTGCAAACCTAAGTTCTGAAAGGTTCCACAACGCTAAGGCTTAAAGAGATCAGTCGTTTGTTGTCCCAGGTGCAACTATCTTTGAGAATGTAAAACCATGAGATACATTCGTTGGGCGTATGCATTCATAGACCTCTGATGGACCATACTTTGGGCTATCGCCAATCTTGATCATCTCAAGAGTTGATATGACATTTGCAACTCTTGCACGTATGAGATGTCAAGACTAAGTCCAATTAAGCTTGATCAGATTAGTAAACCTTGACTTTTAGGGTTTCTGGCTGCAAATCTACTGACGAAGGTAACGTTGAAGTCAGGCAGAATGAAATACCAGGTCAATGAGCTTTGAAAGGGACCGAAGCTCGAGCAAAACGGGGATACACTCTATCTCGTGAAAGGTTATTCCCCATTATGCGTTGTTTTCCTTGTTTTACCCTAGCAATAGCTTGAGAGCTCGGGATAACCCGATGGTCCCATCCCATCTTGGGAGCTGGGAATGCCAATCCGTTCGCATGGAAAGTCTGGTATTAACCATAGGATGTATCTGGTATTAACCATAGGATGTATCTGGTCCTGGCCATGCAACAACCATTACGACGTAATAATTACCGACAAACACCTTGGAGAGGGGCATCAGGGTGTTAATCATTATGCCTTGCGCAAGAAGGTTGAGCAAATCACTAGTGACGACGCCTCGACAACTTGGCGAAATACCATTCCCGATGCTGGGACTTGGTTTCTGCTCATGGGGCCGGGCCCCACCGGCACCGAAAGGAGACACAAAAGCTTGCATTCTATGACAAGTCAAATCATTGAATGCTGCCAGCAGTGTGGTGGTAGAGAGTTGCCAAGACTTCAATACATGCCGAACGCAGAGCCGTCAAAGTGGGATAGACAGGTGACCACCGACCCGGTTCAACAAGGAAGCACAGTTGGATCCCCGCTTCCCGGCATCATCCACGCATCGCAGCATCAACAATAGGTACCACCACATCTCGTGCTCATGAGCCCCGGAATGACCACTTTGAAGTGATTAGAAATACTTACCGATTCCCCCAAACACGTGGCCCAGAACCATGGCGAGTACCCCAGCAATAGTCTAGCTTGCGGGGAAGAAACATCTGGAGTGCTTGGCAGCTTGTGAAACCCCGCTGCGTTCGAGGTAGGGCCGATTAAGAACCCCAACACAGCAGCCTAAGATCCCCATTTTATGGACGCAAGCGCCGATGGTGACCGTGATGGCTCGTGATGGTGGACATACCGTTGTGGAGAACAGGAAAAGTCTGGGGTCTCCGCATCAGTTCCATTGGGCTGGTGATCCGAACAATTTCCGGGTTTTCTCTACCATATGACTACCCTGTCCCTGCCGGCAACGCCTCCTCGTCATACCATCGTTGGCACGAACTAGGGCTTCATCTGAAAATTTTGCGATGTTCGTTATGCTGAATGTTCTAGAGCTGTATCGAATCTTGAGAGAAGACAGTATGAGGTTTGCCAAAGAGCTGATGAAATAGAGGAACGAAATGACTCTGATGTGTTAGTTGTGTGGTGAGAGTCGACAACTTTTGGTTCCCATGACAGATGATATCTTCAACCCCGGTCGTCTTGGTAGCTGCCAACAACATACTATTCGCATGGGCCCCCGACTTCCGAGCTGTGACTCGAATCAATGACATCGTCGCCTCACAGAGCCCGGCATTCCACCGAGCTCCATACTAATGGTTTCGACCGACACAAGGCCGCTGAATAGCTTGGCAAGAGAAACAATCCCCATGTTTCTTGTTATTTCCACTATGAAGAGGCCGAAGAAACATCCATTGCCAAGTCGATGATCAACGGCCATGTTCCGTCGACAGTGATGGCTGTCTAAGAATGCTCATAAATAGCCTTCTGCCTTTCCCAAACTACTTGGAGTGTTCAGAAAATCACAGTCAACACTTTATACATAGATTCCAGTGTTGGAGGCTCGTTGCCAGACCTTGACCCATCATGAGGACTGAACTGACAACCTTGGCTTTGGTCATCCTCCCCTTGGGAGCAAGCTGCACGTCCCTTCCTCCCGCAGCCGTTCTTCACACCCTGGCTCGCAGGAATGATTCTGTCCCAATCTACAAAAACTCCTCCTATTGCGTCGATGATCGCGTAGAGGACCTTCTCCAACGTATGACCATCGAAGAGAAAGCCGGCCAGCTCTTCCAGACTCAGCTTCAGCAGGGCCCAAATGGCACTCTCGACCCCGGCAATGCGACGGCCCGCCGCAACAGCACAGACAACATGATCGGCGAGAAGCACATGACGCACTTCAACCTTGTTGGGGACATCGTCGATGCAAAGGAGGTCGCTGAGTTTGTCAACCTCGTCCAGCAGCGCGCTTTGGACACCCGTCTCGGGATCCCTGTTACTCTGTCGACGGACCCGCGCCACAGTTTCACAGAGAACATCGGCACTGGCTTCCAGGCTGGAGTCTTCTCTCAGTGGCCTGAGTCCTTAGGTCTCGCTGCACTGCGGGACCCTTACTTGGTGAGGCAGTTTGCCGAAGTTGCCCGCGAAGAATACATCGCCGTTGGTATTCGGTCCGCGTTACACCCCCAGGTAGACCTCGCAACTGAGCCCCGATGGTCTCGACTGGGCAATACTTGGGGAGAGGACGCCAACCTTACTAGTGAGCTTCTTGTTGAGTACATCAAGGGCTTCCAAGGCAAAGAGCTAGGTCCTTACAGTGTGACTACGGTCACCAAACACTTCCCTGGCGGCGGTCCCATGGAAAATGGCGAGGACTCCCACTTCACCTACGGGAAGAACCAGACCTATCCCGGTAACAACTTTGAATACCATCTCATCCCCTTCAAGGCTGCTATCGCGGCAGGCGCGAGGCAGATGATGCCGTATTATTCGCGTCCAATCGGCACTGAGTACGACCCCGTTGGTTTTTCTTTCAACAAACAAATTGTCACCGATCTCTTGAGGGAAGAGCTCGGTTTCCAAGGAATCGTGGTTTCTGACTGGGGCTTGATTACGGACACAGTGATTCGTGGTCAGGACATGCCGGCCCGCGCATGGGGCGTGGAAAGTTTGACGGAGCTGCAGCGTGCCGCCCGAGTCCTTGACGCCGGTGTTGATCAGTTTGGTGGCGAGCAGCGTGTCGAGCTGATCGTTCAGTTGGTACAAGAAGGCAATATTACCGAAGACCGCATCGATGTTTCTGTCAGACGTCTCCTCCGTGAGAAATTCCTCCTTGGCCTCTTCGACAACCCTTTCGTCGACCCCGAGGCAGCTTCGAGAGTCGTCGGCAACGACTACTTCGCTCGCCTTGGCAACGATGCCCAGCGCCGGGCCTACACGCTCCTTACCAACAAGGACGAGATTCTTCCCCTCAAGCACCTCAGCTCTGATACCAAGTTCTACGTTGAGGGCTTTAATGCCACCTTACTTGAAGCCCGCAACTTCATTGTTGTTGAGACGCCCGAAGAGGCCGACTATGCGCTTCTGCGTCTCGAGGCGCCGTATGAGCCTCGACCTGGTGGCTTTGAAGCCGCTTACCATGCTGGATCACTGGAGTACTCCGATGAGGAGAAGGCGCGTCAGGCGGCCATATACGCAGCTGTGCCTACTATTGTTGACGTGATCTTGGACCGTCCTGCCGCCGTTCCTGAAGTGATCGAAACTGCTTCTGCCGTGTTTGGCAGCTTCGGTAGTGGAAGCGAGGCGTTTTTGGATGTTGTGTTTGGTATCGCGGCCCCCGAGGGAAAGTTGCCCTTTGATCTGCCGCGGTCACAACAGGCCGTGGAAGACGCGATGGAGGATGTTCCATTTGACACGGAAAACCCCGTGTTCGGATTTGGACACGGCTTGAGATACGCTGACAAGTGTGCGGCACAAGTCGGTGGAAGATGCTTTGATGAAGACATGAAACGTCTAGTAGGTCTGAATTCCGGAGTACAAGATGCATTGGCAGATAATCATGATGGCGTACGATGATGTAGTGTGCTTGCCGTTCCGGTGATTCGTTAGGGCCTAGTGCGTTGTGTTATAGAAACTTGATTAATAAGGAGTACAACAATGGCTAAGAAGCTCGAGTCTCTGGCCTAAAAACATTCCATGTTTACCCGAGCTGTACATGCTTTTGATGGCGTGAAGTTTGACGACGGTGAAGTGATCATTGCATAGGTCCTTCTGGAACATGACGCTTGTCACCTTGACGTCACGCTTCGAGCAGAACGAGTACTTAGCTGGGCTCTCACGACTCTTTCGTATCATCTGTGACCACCGCTAATATTTCTCTTCAAACAAATACTGTAAGAATAACTACACCGAATTAAATTTAAATAAAAATGGCCTCAGCAATTGTGACAGGAGCGACCGGTAAGTGTGCCCTTGACCACCTCCGGTCAAGCCCCGGATGACGCCCCACCTCCGGCCGATTCGGGTCTGATGTTGGCATTCAGCTCGGACGCTAACTGACCCAAAAAGGCATTCTCGGAAGAGAAATCGTCCGCCAACTCGGCCAGAGCCCGAAACAATGGAAGACCGTTTACGCCATGTCGCGCAGCAAAAAGGACAAGTGCCCGCCCAACGTCAAGCACAGCTTCATTGACCTGACCGGCACCGCCAACGAGATGGCCCAAAGTCTGGATGGTATCGAGGCGGAATATGTTTTCTTCGCTGCATACTTACAGAAGGATTCCGAAAAGGAGAACTGGGATGTGAACGGTATGCATGATCAGCAGCGACAACTGACCAAATCAGCCCGTTCTGACAGCCAACAGGCGACATGCTCCTAAATTTCCTCATAGCTCTCGAAAAGACCGGCGCCGCGAAGAAGATCAAGCGCATCCTCCTCGTCACCGGCGCAAAGCAATATGGCGTACACCTCGGCGCCCCAAAGAACCCAATGGAAGAGTCCGATCCCTGGCAGCGCGACGACCCGCCCTTCCCGCCCAACTTCTATTACCGCCAGCAGGACATCCTTCACGCATTTTGCAAGAAGCATGGGAACATCTCGTGGACGGTGACTTATCCCAATGACGTCATTGGCTTTGCAAAGGGCAACTTCATGAACCTTGCTACGTCGCTGGGCATCTACGCCATTATTGCTAAGGAGCTCGGGAAGGATCTCGAGTTCCCTGGTTCGGAGACGTTCTACACCAAGTTTGATTCTTTCACGTCTGCGAAGCTTCATGCCGAGTTCTGCGAATGGGCTGTGAAGGAGCCAAAGGCGGCTAATGAAGCATTCAACGTCGTGAATGGTGACGTTGAGAGCTGGCAAAATATGTGGCCCAAACTGGCCCGTCGCTTCGGGCTGAAGGTCAAGGCCGACCAGTTCTCAACAAAATCCGAGCTTGCAACCTCGACTATACTAAACGAGAAGCCGCCCATCAGCTTGATTGCTGAGCAGGCCGGTCTGGTGGGCAAGATTGAGCCGAGCAAGTTGGAACAGCGAATCAATCTGACCAAGTGGAGCCAGCAGGAGGACGTTAAGAAAACATGGGCGAAGCTCGCCGCGCGCGAAGGCCTCGAGAAAGATGCCCTCGAGAAAGCCACTTGGGCCTTCTTTGGTTTCGTTCTGGGTCGCAATTTTGACTTGGTCATTAGCATGAGCAAGGCGCGGGAGATTGGCTGGACAGGATACACTGACACCTGGCTGAATCTCCAAGACGTTTTCAGACAATTGGAAGCCGAGAAGGTCTTGCCCAAAATCCATTGAGATCTTATTGATGGGACGAAAAAGTTTGATGGGGATCTCTAGTCTTGGACAAAATAAAGACGAAATGAAAAGGGAATCTTTGGTTTAGCTAAATCAATCCGAGTCTATCATCAACGTCCTTTGCAGCCTCAATGCTCTGCTCCAAAACCCTTGTCTCGCGCTCCGACAACTCCCGTGGATGCTTCCCTACCATGCAGCTCATATCCTTCTTCCTCGCCCCCTTGACCCACTCCTGGTCAATCATCCAGTGCGTCGGCACCGCAAACTCTGTCGGATCCTCCATCTTGTTCTTCAACAGCCCGCCGTTGTACCACAGCAGGTTGTCTACCTCGTCTACATGCGCAATGACGAAGCTGCACACTTGCGTCTTGTCCGTCTGCACGCCTTCGAACGGCTTCCGCCAGCCGACCATGCCGCCGTAGTGCCTCGAGAACGAGTACGTCGAGCCCGTCGCCTCGAGCCCAATCCACCACGTCTCCTTATCGCCGTAGGTGATCCTGTACGTCCACGAGTTGCGGACCTCGTAGTTGTTTTGCCAGCAAATGTGTAACAGACCCATTAACACGTCTAAGCGACCCTTGTTGAGCACAACAATACCCGAATCCTCTTCCTCAGCATATCTTTCGGTCCATACTAGAGACTTCTGCAACTCCTCGCTCGGGTGTTTGAACGTCTCGTGGAACCACTCATGCCTCTCGGGAAACTGGTCCTTCCAGAGCAGTCGGTCGTGGAAGAGGAGTGCCCCCTTTTCCTGGTAGTCGCGTTGTTGCAACAGCTGTTCCGGAGACTGCAGGAAGACGACGTCGGCGTCCAGCAAGATAACCTCCTCGAACCGGCTACCCAGCGCAGCAAACGGTTTAATCGCCCACCCACCCTCCGCTAGTTTCAATGTGGTATCATTAAAGACTGTCAAAATATCCAAAAACTCGACATGGCCATTATCGCCCCCGGCAGCAGCTCGCATGACTGTAATGCGGTCCTCCTGGGAGAGGTCTTCGTCGCCGGCGTAAACAATTTGAATCGGCAGCGTAGTTCGATGGACGTGCGTCAAAGACGCCACCAAGTGGCACGTAAAGCGCAAGGTGCTGCGCCCTGTTGGAATGACGATGCCGGCATTTCGGCGCGTGTAGTCTATTGTGGCTTTCTCGCCGCCGCTCTCAACGCGCTGCTGCTGTGCCGGATTCCGCGCAGGGGTGCCAGCACCTCGAAAGCTTCGCCTGAGATCAGCCAACGGCGATTGGCTGTGGGCGTTCCTTGGCGGGGACTGTAAGTAAGGGAACAGGGATGCGCCGACTCGTTCGATCGTCGCGTCGAGGAACTGCCTCTCAGCCCCCACAACACGCAACCCCTCGCCGCCCTTCTTCTCCTCAAGAGCTTCGATCCACGACCGCAGCACCTTCGTCCGTTCGCCGAGCTCGCCAAAGACATTCTTGTAAGGGGGGCCAAGGGGGTAGTCGATGAAGTACTGGGCGGTTGTGTTGATGGCGTCGAGGTTGAGACCGGACGTCTTTGAAGTCGTCGACGTGAAGGTTGTTATGTGATCGTTGAAGCGGAGAAAGTAGACGATGGTAAGAGTGAGAAAGGCGGCGGCGGCAAGAATCGGTGTTGACGGAGCACCGTGTCGTGGTGAGACCAGTAGGCGACCCATCCTCCTCCAAATGCCCTTCGTGGTGAACTGTTGGCGAGGTTCTTTTGCGTCAAGCCTTTTGCGAAGTGATGAACTCAATTGCAATGCTTTCGAAGTGGGCGGACATCGCTTTAAAGAGCCACGGCTACAGGGCACAGAATGAACTTACTCTTGGAGATTGTACCTTTTCCTAGCGAAAGCTTATTCCACCGAATTCTCCCTTCCCGCGTCAACAGTCAATCTATCTTACTGGTGCGAATTGCATGGTGCGGCTGCCGTGTTCCGAGCCTCTGCGTACCTCAAACCAGGCCTATCCCGTATATCGTTAGCTTGGCCATGCCAGCATCCTAAGGATCTCAGTTTATTGGTGCCCTAGGCGTCGTGTTCACATTTCGCACCATAGCAGAGATGGACGGCGACAAGAACCAGGATCTCATTTCAATGCTAAGCCGCCGGGACGAACACGCGTCTTGAATAGCGTGGATCCACGGCCCCAGGACCCAGACAAACAAGCCTCCCCCGCATTCCGATTGCTGTCGACCCCTTTTTTTCTTTCTTCTCAGGCTCACGACAGGATCTCAGTTATATCAATTGCTGATTGCATCGTATCTGTCTGACATCTGTTTGTGGAAGCCCGCCGAATGGACCCGTTTCATATTCTGGCTGTGTATTAATTATCTCTGACCACAATTCGGGCTTTGAACGACCTGTGATGGGCTTACTCCCGTGTGACTGCTCGCTCCTGATATTAGATGTACCCTGGTTTGCGGGATTTGAAAGTGAAAGATACTTCTCAACGTTCTCGACTGGGTCACTGCACAAGGCGCAATTTTAAGGGCAAGTTACACTAGCGGCATTGCCCTCCTTCTCGTTTGAGTCGAAGCCGTGATTAGCCTCCGGAAGAACAGCAGGCCTGTGATTCGGCATTGACATGGTGTTCCAGGCAGTTGTCGTCAGAAGCGCTAAGGGGGCGCTGTCAGGACTCCTTTAGAAGGGGCATTAGTGCCATGAAACGCGGCTAGCGCCAATACCAGATGCTAGCCCCGAGAACGTACGTGTATCACATAGATATGAATGACTCGTTGCTCGGACTGCCTTCCGACTGGTCTCGTGCCCGTAGCCTACCGCTTACTGAGTGACTTAAGACACGATTGTGAACTCACACTGGGGTTTCGGGGGAAAGGCTAACGAAATCATATGGACTAATGGATCATAAACTTGTTCATGTCATTGGTGTGTAGCCAAATTTCGACATCTCAGGACACAACCTAATCAACGAAGCAGAAGAAATCGCCAAAAGGCTACATGCTACATTGCTCGGTTAGGGCTGCAAAACGTGCCCCTATGCTTAGAATAGGTGTGTATGCCCCAGGGGAAATTCTCTTTCTAGGTACCCAACTTGTACAAATGCAACTGCACGGTCCCTGCCGTCTGGTACTACCCCAGTCATATTATGTCTAGCTTTAGTGCGTTCCCTGAACTCTCATTTCTATGTAGCTGCGGCGAAAAGGACTTTGAGAAGCTCAAGCTTAGACACTTGGTGCCATTGGGGTTGATGTCTTCTTATCTGCGTCCACTGATGACGGAAAAGCGGATTGTTGAGATTGGGCATGAGTTAGACCATTTCCAAGCTACAGCGACTACTATTTTGCGAAACGACCCATTCGACACCTTACACCAAGGCGAACATGGACTGAGAGCGTCACACGATTCTTGCCTGATATACCGCGGAACAATATCAAGGTGATCGAAGAAGGAAGAGAAAGAAGTCTTACTATCTTGGTTTCAATAGGTATGTGTTCCCTTCAAATTCTACTTTCCACACACCAACCAAAGCAGTTCCACGTGTTCAGCAGACAAGCTTTTCGGTACCGACTGGCAGCAGCGATTTACCGAACGGTCACCTAAAAATATCATCACGCATGGTTGGGTATCATTCGGTTAAGCGCGATCGTCAACGGATTACCGGACTGGCATCCGCATATTGTCGTGCCTACATATGATTCGCCGGCACGCGCTACGAAACCACGCAAAGCTGGCGGCTAAGATGCCAACCACAAATTTTCGTCAGCATGGAGGAGTGGTGATTTTACGTTCACACGACTCCGCACGGCAAGCCTTCGACGACAGCACACTCACGGGCATCTACGAAACCCAATCCTCGCTTATCTTTGACAATTCGCAATGGTAATTTGGTCGCCACCTGCCCGTCTTGAAGACGTCCGCATCGCCGTAATATGCGCACTGCCTCGCGAATACGACGCCGCCATCTTGGCCTGCAACGAAACATGGAATGAAGGTGACCATATCCACAGGTCGACAAAAATGCAATATCAGAATCACAAGTTAGGTCGGATTGAAAGACACACTGTTGTTCTCGTACTTCTCCTCAATATAGGCAAGGTCAGCGTGGCGACTGAAACGGCTCGTCTTAAAGCCGTCTATTTGGGGCTTGAGCTGGCCTTGTTGAATGGCATTTGTGGTGGAGTGCCTAGCCTTGGGACCGACAACGAGATCTTGCTTGGGGATGTGGTTATCGGCAAGAGCGTTGTGCAGTACGACATAGGCCGTCAGTACCCGAGCAAATTTATACGAAAAGATACTGTCGATGACAGCCTTGGCCGACCAAACAAAGATGTCCGCACTCTGCTTGTTGGCTTGGAGACCCAACTTGGCTTGAGTGAGCTACAGCGTCGAGTCAATCACAACCTAGCGCACATTCAAAGGAAGGCCATCGACGCAAAATACCGAACGTGTTACGTACGGCCCACAAGTGCAGAAGATATACTTTTTGAGCCTACTTATCCTCACATACATCGAGGCCAGCCAGGATGCGGCTGTAGTGATTAGGCTGTCTATAACGAGGCAGTTGGTGCGTCCTGCGAACGACTTCAGTGTGAGATAAGCCATCGAGTTCCAAGAAGACCACTCGCACTTGGGAGAAAGTCGGAACTAGGAGAGCATAGGGACAGCACCAACACACCAGAATTTTGGATGCATATCGGGTGTATCGGCTCGGGTGACGTAGTGATGAAACCAGGCAAACACTGGGACAAGATTGCAAAAGCCCTCGACCTCATCGCCTGTGAGATGGAGGGGGCGGGTGTTTGGGATGAAACCCCATGCATCGTCGTCAAGGGGGTATGCGACTATGCCGACAGTCATAAGAACAAAACGTGGCAAGATTTCGCGGCTGCCGCAGCGGCTTCAGCGACGAGAGCGCTCCTCGAACGCTATCCTAAAAGGGACTGGCAAGGGTCCTTGGCTCATGGTTGTTGACAATGCAGACGACAAAGACATCTTGTATGGGGCATCCAAGAACCACTATGGGTTACACACTTATCTTCCACAAAGTGACAACGGTATTATGCTGTTTACTACACACTTAAGAGACCTAGCGTTATCAGTAGCAGATGATGCTCTGATAGAACTCCGGGAAATAAATCAAGACGAAGCTAAAAGTCTTCTTAAAAACTCACTTCACCGACAAGAGCTTCTTCGTGATTGCGAATCAGTACGGAGGCTTCTAGATTTCCTTACATATCTTCCCTTGGCAATCACCCAAGCCTCAGCGTATCTGAACCGAAACCAGCACATATCAATTGCAAAGTAACTACAACTTCTGCATAGTACAGAGCAAACCGGTATAAGTACACTGAGCCAAGAGTTCCTCGACAGAACTTGGTATCCAGACCCGCGAAAAGTTATTGCAACTACATGGCTAGTGTCATTCGACCAGGTTAAGCGATCAGATAGCTACGCTACTGAACTGCTGTACTTCATTTCACGTATCGAGCCAAAGTTTATACCACGTTCAACTCTACATTGCTCTGGTTCTGAAGAAGATACGGAGTACGCGATTGGCACTCTTTGTTCCTGTGCATTTCTGGTTCCGCAAGAAGAAACACAAACCTTCGATATGCACAGTCTTATGCATCTAGCAGCACGCATCTGGGTGAAGAATCAGTCAATCGATGGAAAAATCATGGCCGATGCGGTCAAGAATCTCTATGAGGTCTTCCCAACAGCCGGCCACAATAACCGTGCTGTCTGGAGACAGTATATACCACATGCACTCAAGCTTGGGAACGAAAGCAAGGGGATCGAGATAAAGCTGCGATTTTATTTGTTTCTGCGAGTTGGTCAGTGCTTGTTTAAAGACGGACGAATCAAGGAGGCAATCGAGCTACTAGAATATGCAGTAGCAGTGCGAGAGAGGATGCTTGATGAAGGGCATTAAGATAGGCTTACCTCATAATACGAGCTTGCACGGGTGTATCGAGCAGACGGGCGAGTACAGGAGGCTATCAAGCTATTAGAGCATGTGGCAAGAGTTGGAGAAACAACACTTGACGAAGGACACCCAGATTGACTTACATCACAGCATCAGCTCGCAGGGGTATATCAGGCAAATGGACAAGTAAAAGAGGCCATTAAGCTACTAGAACATCTGGTGGAAGTTAGAGGAGCAACACTTGACGAAGGACATCCAGATCGACTTGCCTCACAAAATGAGCTTGCACGAGCATATTGAACAGATGGACGGGTCCTGGAGGCCACCAAGATACTGGAGCACGTGGCACAAATCAAAGCAACACTTTACCGAGGACATCTAGATGAACTTACCTCACAACACGAGCTCGCGCGGGCATATCAGGCAAATGGACGAGTAAAGGAGGCCATTAAGCTACTAGAGCACGCGGTGGAAATTGAAGCAACAATACTGGACGACAAGAATCCATCTCGTCTTGCCTCACAACACGAGCTTGCGGTGGCATATCACACAGATGGGCAAGTTAAAGAGGCTATCGAGCTACTAGAGTACGTGGTAGAAGCTAGGGGGCGACAATGAACAAAGGGCAACACGAGCTTGCACGGGCGTACCAAGCATATGGACGAGTAAAGGAGGCCACTAAGCTACTAGAGCATGTAGTAGAACTCATAGCAACAATTAACGGAGGGCATCCGGATCGACTGGCCTCCCAGCACGCATTCTCACGGGCGTACCAAGCAGACAGACAGAGGAGATACTGTGAAGCGTTGTAAGGTTTCTTGAGACCTTCCACATCAATGAATGTAATACCAGCCATTACATCGAGATGCACCTATATGGACCTAATGAGTGCCAAAAGTAGTGGAGGATATGATTAGCGTCCCGAAAGTTGATATAAATACTGCGTTGATAGCATCATAACCATGAGATAGAAAGAGTGCAGACTCCGCTGCACTGGAACGCAATACATTCACACGCAAAGGTATCGGAGACTCCAGTCCTGGAATGAGTACTTTCGGTACTTCGTGTAAATCCATGCTTGTTATCGTGTGAAGACGGCCAAAAATTCCAAAAGCGGCAGTTTGGGACCGCTATGTATTGCAATAGCCGTTCTATCACCACACTCATGACTAGCAATAGAAAAAGTACCGTAGATTTCGATTGCTACTGGCCTTACTCTTACGCCTTGAAAATTTCTCTTTCATCCATTTGAATGCGGCCATACGTGTCAGCTGTGTTTCATTCTACGTGTGTATTAACTGAAGCTACAAAAGGCAGTATGAACTATGTGCAATGAAGCGTGATGGGTACGTTCGAGCAGTCTTGATGAAAATGAATGGTTGAGTTGTCTCCTCTAGTTCCAGTAAAACAGTGTTCACTTTGTTTGTTTGGTCCCCTATGAATTCTGTTAGCCCCACTGGTAAATCTCAATTAGGCGCAATTTCCCGGATCTGGCGGCGGCGGGATTTGACCGAGTCATAGATGCACAAGCCTCTGCCTCTCTACAGAAAGCTTAAAGCTCAAGGTTGTTTAAGATAGATTAAGTCTTTAATGGGATGCTGACATCACGTGAAGCACGTTTTTGATATTTGTTTGCATACCTTAATTGTGCTCAATCACGGGAGATATTTGTTGAAGCCTCATCAAATCTTCAACTCTCAGGCAAGGGCGGTGTCCAAAAGGTATGCCTTTGTGAACTTGGAGTTGTGAGACGGAAAGGCAGCAACTTGGATGGCACTGAATCAAAATAATTCTCAATCCCACCCCTAACCACCTCGAACCCAGAACACTTCTTGTGCCTGATATCGACCCCCGCCAGAGTCTAGACTTTGGCTTCAGCCTCAATTTCATGACAAAACTCATTTAGCGAAAGGGGCGATTTCGGAGTTGTCGGGCTCTGGGGTTGGCCATTCCGCAGGAACGACGCGAGTACCGGTGGGCTCCTAGTGCGCGGACTGTCTTGGCAAATAGTACTATCTGCCTGAATCGTTACCATGGTAAGGGTGACCCCTACGAGATTTAACTGCCGTACACGAAAACAGCTAGACGTGAGCACAGTGGAAGAATCACTGCGCTAAAAGTTGAAAGCCAACGCGTACTGGATGACTACTTTCTAATTCAGTTGCCAAACTATGTTAAAGAGAACCAAGACCTCTCATAGCAGCCTCGTTGCTGTAACAAAGTGCCAAGACGCTGCCACTTCGTGGCGTCATTGCATAGCTCAAATACGGACCCGAAAACTTGGGGGTCTTCAGATGCTTTATAAATCCATGTGATGGCCATGTTCGAATGATTTTGTCGATTGGACAATCTCCGGTAGCACCAGTCGCTCTTTTTGAGTTCGCAACCAACTTTTACACTCTTTTCCAACGTAAATACCACATTCGCTATGTTGCTGCTTCCAGCAATCGTCTCTTGCCTTTCCCTGGCCCTGGCGGCCAACATCTACGTTGCACCCAAGGGTAGTCCAACGCCAGATGGCACCCAGTCGAAGCCCTTCGGTGACATCCAGGCGGCCGTCAACATCTCCCTACCCGGCGACGTGATCATTCTTCGCGGCGGAACCTATGACCTCCTGAAGAACATTAACATCACCGTCAACGGCACGGCGCAGGCCCCCATCACCCTGCACGCCGCCAAGGACGAGGAGGTCATTATCGACGGCGAGGGTCTGCCCGACACGCCTGCTCCGGTTGGTGCGTCTGTCCCCAACAGGAACCGCGGAGTTCTTCACGTCGAGCGCATCCAGTACTGGAACTTTGCCCGTCTCACCTTCACCCACGGCCCCTACGGAGTCTACGTGAAGGACTCTAGCAACCTGCGCTTTAACCAGATCGTTACCCGCGACAACTACGAGAGCGGTTTCCACATGCAGGGCGCCCTTTCTAACAACGTCATCTCATACCTCGACTCGTACGGCAACCGTGACCCGAGGAACAACGGCGAGAACGCCGACGGTATTGCTATCAAGGAGGGCAAAGGAGAGGGCAACATTATTGTTGGCAGCAGATTCTGGGACAATTCCGACGACGGTGTCGACTTTTGGTGAGTAAAGTATTTGAGTGGAGGCGACTTGTTAAGTTGTGATGATGTACAAGCTAACAGTGCGTCTAGGGAGTTCCACTCCAAGCTGATTATCAAGGACAGCATTGCATGGGGTAACGGGTTCAACCGCTGGGTACGTTAGGTCTTAGAGCCATCAAGATTGATGTCATTTCCTCATGATCAAGGCTAACCATTGATAGAACATGCCCGACTTTACCGGCAACGGCAACGGCTTTAAGCTCGGCGGCGGCAGCGCCGGCGACATCCTGCCAGCAGCCCGCGACGTCATCAACTGCATCGCCTTCGGCAACAAGGCCAACGGCTTCACTGACAACTCGCAGACGGGCGACTTCGCCATCGAGGACAACACCTCGTGGATGAACGGGCGTGTCGGCTTCCGCAGCGTTAACGCGACGGGGGTGCTCAAACGCAACGTCGCCGCCGTGAATAACCCCACGGCCGCGGCCAATGCCACGTTCGGCGGACAGGTGACTCTGAGGGATGCGCAGACTTCCGTTGGGAACTCATGGGATATTGAGGGCGCTGTTCTTACCAACGCCAGTTTCAAGAGCGTTGACATCGGCCTTGTCGCCGGACCTCGTGGTAAGAACGGCAAGATCACTCCTAGTGATTTCTTGGTTCTCGTTGACGGGGCGAAGAGAGGAGCAACCACCAACTGGAAATAAGAACTCTCTTACCAAGGGGTCGATGCACTCTAGTTGCTCAAATCCATTCAATTCAAGCTACCTAGGCCGTTATTAATCAACCAAGACTTGACATCTTCTTCACTTATATAATCTCAGAGTCTTCAAGCCAATTTTGAGAACATTTTGCTGATAATGACAAACTGGGTGTTCAGCTAACAAAGTCGCTATGCCTCTGTCAGATTTTGTTCGAAAGGCCAGGTGATCATTGAGTCCTGATTGATAAGAAACGAAAGGAGGCCCACGTGCAATCCCGATCTGGGATGCTAGTGTCATCCGAAATGCGTGTCATTGCGGTTCCGCACCACTTCTCCACCGCGAGCGCTGTCGAGCGGACACGTTGGCGGCATTGTGGGGCCGAGACACCGGGCGGACGGCAGACTTTTGGCGAAAAATAGAAAGCTGCACATCCGCTCCAGAGGTGACCCTGTACTATAGCAGAGTCGGGACGAAAACAAGGCTGAGGTGGTGGATTATTAGATCGTGTGATATTGGTGAGATGCTACTGTGTGAGGGAAGATGCCTGATGAGATGGACCCTGAAGAGTGGTGCGTGACGTAATAAGGGTGTCAATGGGGGCGAGTCTCCCCGCCAAGCGAGTTCCAGGTCGTGATGTGATCATGCGCGTCAGACATGTCACGATCTCACCTCATCCCCTCTCTTTGCTCGCCTAGCTCATCTTGGAAGATTACCGAGGTGCACTTCAAGATTGATTGACGGACGAGATCGTCGTTTCCAATCGTCGTCGTCTAGCGCTCAACCACGCAAGCACTAAGCTCACAACATGAAGTCGATCGGCATCTTCCCGGGCTCTGGTGCCCTTGGCGGCAGCACTTACGACTACCTGTTGAAGCTTCTGCCCGCCGACCACATCATCTTGATCAACCGGCACCCAGAAAAGATCCCGCAAGAACACATCAAGAATGGCGTCCGGGCGCGCAAAGCCTCATACGAGTCGAGCCCCTCAGACCTTGAGGCCGTGTTCTCGGGAATCGAGGTGCTCTTCTTGATCTCCTACCCAAGCCATGTGCACGAGTACCGGAAAAAGGTAAGGCAGCGGACCTCATTCGCGTCAGTAGCTCGTCCGGGCTAACTGGTTGCTACCAGGTGCAACTGCCAGCAATCGACGCAGCGCGACGGGCGGGCGTGAAGCACATCTTCTACAGCTCACTAGCCTTCGGCGGCGACCTCGAGGATTCGTCCCTGGCGGAGGTGATGCAAGCCCACCTCGATTCGGAGCGCTACCTCGCCGAAGCCGCGGCGTCGGACCCGAGCTTCACGTACACCGCGGTGCGCGAGGGTCTCTACTCGGAATCGTACCCGATCTACACGGCCTTCTTCGACATCAACGCGCCGACCGACGAGATCCTCATCCCGCACGACGGGTCCGGACCGGGCGTCGCGTGGGTCAAGCGGACGGAACTCGGCGAGGCGACGGCGAAGCTCATTTCGCAATACTCGTGGGACCCCGACCACTTCCCGCACGTCAACAAGAAGGTCCTCCTTACGGGCCCGAGGGTGTGGTCACTCGAGGATACGGTCAAGGTCCTGAGCAGAGCTGCGGGGAAGGATGTTCGCATCCGCAAAGTGGACGTCGACGAGTATGTGAAATTGCCGCAGGTGCTCTCGCGGTTCGGATCACAGGACAAAGCGCGCACGTGGGCGACGGCATGGGAGGCCATCAGCGCCGGGGAGACTGCCGTCGTGACGGACACGCTCAAGGAGATTATTGGGCGGGACCCGGAGGAGTTCGAGGTGACCATCAAGCGCCTGACGCAGGCGTGAAACTGATTCATTAGCGGTGGGCGGGCTATTCATTCAAGCGGGGTGGAGGTAGGCTCTGGACAGGGCTTTGCAGCGCTGAAGCGAGCAACAGGTCGTTTCCAAACACCAGCGGCGGTTGCGGGCGAGATTCACCAGTGCAACCGACCACATCGGAGAAGACATTGTCAAAGTCGTGAAAAGGGATGATAATGCATTTTTATACGCTGAGAGATGTTCTGTTGTCGGATGAGTACAGGGCTCTTTGTTTGGGAATGATAGAGATGAACACGTCCCAGTTCGGCTTAGCTCGAGTCATGCATTGCGCTATCCAATATAGGACTCAGCTTTTCCGGTTCTTTCAACAATTGGGCGATTGGTTTAGTGGTATAATGACCGCTTAGCATGCGGTAGGTCCTGGGTTCGATTCCCAGATCGTCCATACTTTTTGCTTTTGCGGGCATCTGTCAAACTTGTCTTAAGCTCTTTTTTTTAGTCGCGGTCGCTCTTGAAACCTTGGATTAAAAGCACGACAAAAATTCGCAGCACGACATCAAAGGGCTGAGCGTGGCAGCTGATTCATAAATTGGAGTTTGTTGTTCACGATGTTCGCTGCGTTGTTCATGAAAACAAAATTCGACCGTCCGACCACATGCTACCGACTGAAGCGGTGCGAGGCAGAAGACCAAACAAAGCCCGGTGTTTCCTGGATGCTGTGTCTTCCACAGCATTCCTTTGAAATCATAATACAATACACCAATTTCGGAACTTGGGTTTGCAAACAAGGACGTCATATGGCGCTGCGTGGCATGGAAACATGTCTGCCTCTAGAAAGACCGCTAGGTGCATCCCGCTCCAAGCCTGAAACAGAAGCTCGTTGATACTTGCCCGAAAGCTATTTATCTACTGGATGGTGGCAGTGCATGACCACAACCGTGAACTACTCTAGTCCTTTGCGCTCAAAGATACATGGACTTGCCATTGTGTTCTCCAAAAGTCGAAGTCAGTGGCAGCGTCCCCTCAAGCCCTTGTGTTGACTGGCAAGGCCCCTCGTATCGATGCCGAGTCCGACTTAGCGCTACATCCACTCACTGGGGCAGCCGAACAAACGATTTAAACTTAAATCAACCCTCCCGCCGACGAACACTGTTCCTAGGTAGTGTCTGTCTTCCCTCACTGGCTGGTTCCTTGGAGTCGAACCACATAGTCCTGCCTCCAGACCGCAGGAACAAAGCATCGTCTCAATCAAGCTCTTATTGCAGGAGACAACTCATGTATCCAAGCCCAGCCTCGGCCCATTCCCTCCCCCAGCCCAACCCGCGATCGCCAACCCGGGGAGGGGTCCTTACCGCCACGCTACCCCAGTTCCGGCAGGTCGGCTGTGCGCAATCCGGCACTTGACCTTCTGGACCTGTCCAAGACACCGCTGGGGTCAGAAAGTTGAGGGTGACATCGGCCCAACCCTAGCTTACCAGTCAATCAGCTTTTGCTTTTCCGACTGCTTAATCTAGACGTGGCAGCCGAAGAACAAAAGATCCGTTAGGCGTTCTTGGTCTGATTGCTGATATCGTTGTTGTTGACACGCCCCTCATCCCGTCCCCGGTGAACTGCCAGAAGCCTAAGCGGTCTCGGTTGCGTGCTCGTCTGATGATTCGGTAGGTCCCTGGCCGACGCACCCATCTCCTCTTGAGTTTACAACCTTCCTTCTCCAGGTCCGTTTAAGCCCCCGGCGGCCCCAAACTCAGCACCGATGCGCCATTTAACGCAGAGCCGCCAGCCAGTAACACGGGTCTCGCGAAGCTCTTGTCATCTTACCTTCCCCCTGAGAACGGTTGGGGAGAGGCGGGCTGGGGTCACACAGCTTGTGGGTGCGCCAAGAAGCTACCCTGCGTCCCCTCGGAGCGGAACTTTTGTACAATCGACCGCATCGCGTCGTGTTTTGATCGGGCAGGTCTCTTGGCCATCTGCTGGAGATATGCCAGACTGTCGAGGGGTCAGTTGACAGCAGCGCACTTCGCCGCAGGTCGCAATGACCAAACGGGAAGGTTATTGGAGATTCTGCCCAGACACTCTCCGACGGTCCGATCCTCGTCACCCATTCATCCCCTCCTGACTTTGCGTTTGGCAGCTCTTGGGGAACATCTTTTCCCCTCATCTCGTCCCCTGTTTCCTCGCAACCGTCACCATACAAAAGAGGCACCTTGGCCCAGCTACGACAATGGCCCCTCCTGTGCACTCCCGTTGACATCCAGCTTCCAGCCCGTCCCCTCGTCGGCCCCTTCACGATGAAGTCCCTCGCTACCCTGTCCACCATCGTCGCCGCTGCCTCTGCCGCCTCTATTGCGGCAGAGGGCGCCAAGCGCGTGAGCTACGATGGCACCAAGGTCTTCCGCGTGTCGGTCGGAGATGAAGTCGACAGGATCAACGGCGTCGTCAACAAGCTCCAACTCAGCACCTGGAAGGGTGCCCCGAGAGCCGGCGCGTTTGCCGACATTGTGGTTCCTCCCACTGCGGTCAGCGCTTTTGAGGCTGAGATTGCCGGCCTGAACGTTACCACCATGCACGAGGATCTTGGCGCCTCGATCGCGGACGAGTCAAACTTCTCAGTCTATGCCGGTATGTGACCTGCCCATGTTTCTCCAGGATTGCAAACCACCTATGGTCTCTGCATCCCGCTGTGCAACCATGCCAATGATCACTGCTGACCTTGCGCAGTCGGCTCCGCCAACGCCACCTGGTTCAACTCGTATCACGCGTACGCCGACCATCTCAAATTCCTCAACGACTTGGTCGCCTCCTACCCCAACAACGCCGAGATCGTTACCTCGGGCAAGTCGCTCCAGGGAAATGCCATCACCGGCATCCACATCTACGGCTCCTCCAAGGGTACCAAGCCCGCCGTTGTCCTCCACAGCACCGTCCACGCGCGCGAGTGGATCAGCACCTTGGCCAACGAGTACATTGCCTGGAACCTCCTGAGCAAGTACTCCTCCAACACGGAGATCAAGGGCTTCGTCGACAAGTACGACTACTACATCTTCCCCGTCGTCAACCCTGACGGTAAGTGACCTTTTGATCCACGAAACCTTTTTGCAAAAGCCGCTTTCTCACGCGACGTCTAGGCTTCATCTACACCCAGACCACCAACCGTCTGTGGCGCAAGAACCGCCAGAGCACCTCCGGCAGCAGCTGCATCGGCCACGACATCAACCGCAACTGGCCCTTCCAGTGGTCCGTCACCGGCGGCGCCTCCACCGACCCTTGCGCCGAGGACTTCAAGGGCGCCTCCCAGGGCGATGCCCCCGAGACTGCCGCTCTCTCCGCCTGGCTTGCCAAGACCAAGGCCGCCCAGGGCCTGAAGCTCTTCATCGACTTCCACGCCTACTCCCAGCTGTTCATGACCCCCTACGGCTACTCCTGCACCGCCGTCACCGCCAAGAACTCGGAGCTGCAGTCTCTCGCCAAGGGCGCCGTGGCTGCTATCAAGGCCGTCCACGGCACTTCGTACCAGTACGGCCCCATCTGCACCACCATCTACAAGGCCACTGGCAGCAGCGTCGACTACGTCAACGACGTCGTCAAAGCCGACTATGTCTTCACCCAGGAACTTCGCGACACCGGCAACTACGGCTTCGTTCTGCCCGCCAACCAGATTTTGCCTACTAGCGAGGAAACCTACGCCGGTGTCCGCTACCTGCTCCAGAACATGAAGTAAAAGGAAGGGTTGGCAGTTGGCTCGACAGATTTTCCTATGAGACAGTGTTGGCCGCCTCTCCAAGCAGTTAGCTTTCATGACTTATGTACTTATTTTTCATGACCATGCACATATGAGACATCTACCCTAGCTGCATGCTTGACTGTTTTCCCTTTTCTGCCAATGAACCTAATTTGAATGATTAAAATAAGTGATTTGTAGCAAATTTCAACTACACATCTCATCTTGCAAGAACTCCAGAACACAACCCTAGCTAGATCGTAACACATCATATGTACCCACGTCGTCCCGCCGGAGGGCCTCCAAGCGCGGCCCATCGCACAATGACACGTCCTCGGTGCTAAGGTTGACGAAACGCCAGAACATCAGACGACGCCTTTCGGCTACATGTGCAAACAAGTTCTTGGCCGACGTCGCGCGAGTTCCTGGATCGAAGCGGCCCAAGCAAAGGGATCGGTGGGGAGGATCTCCCTACTTTAAGCTTAGTCTTTGTCCCCCATGCTGTCTGTTTCCCGAACGTGCATCGCGCCCGCCGGATTACTTCATCGTTGTCTCACATTCTTTCAACACTGTGAAACCACCCGCATCGAGAACAATCATCTTGAAATCCGCATCCCTCAAAGTCACCAGGGTCTTGGCCACTAGACCCTACCAACTCATCATGCGCCCACTATCAGGTTTATCGGCGCTGCTGACGGCGCTGGCACTCCCAGCTGCCGCTGTCGCAGAACTTTCACAGCGGGATCTCCAGCCTTTGCCACTATCCGTCCGAGACCAGTACATCGTCGACGCGAAGAATGCGACTGTTGCCATGGTCGGCGTCAACTGGGCGGGCCACGAACGCACCATGATTCCGGAGGGCCTGCAGTATCAATCCGTCGAGCACATCGTCAAGAAGATTGCTGAAACTGGCTTCAACTCTGTCCGCTTGACTTTTGCCAGTGAGATGGTGGACGACATTGTCGAAGGAGGAGGAGACGCCAATCTGAAGGCAACTTTGCAGAATGCCCTCGGTCCGGAAAATGGCACTGCCGTAATGAAGCAGATCATCAAGAATAACCCTGCTTTTAACGAAAGCACGAAGCGGCTCGAAATCTGGGACGCCGTTGCCGCTGAGCTTGGCCGCCAGAAGATCTACCTCCACCTAGATAACCATGTATCCAAGGCAGGATGGTGCTGCACCCCCTATGACGGAAACGGTTGGTTCGGCGACACAAACTTTAACACATCCAACTGGGTTCGAAGTCTGTCGTTCATGGCGGAGCACGTGAGTATCACACACACCTTCTCATCAGCATCATAACTGATGTACACCTTGTAGGGCAAAGCCGCCAACTGGTCTTCGTTCTCCAGCATGGGCCTCCGCAACGAACTGCGTGATCCCTTTTCCGCAGCTCCTCCCCCGAGTCTGGAGAACACGACGTGGGTGACATGGAAGACGCGCATGGTCCAAGGCGCCAACGCGATCCACAACGCCAATCCCGACGTCTTGATCTTCTTCGGCGGCCGCATCTTTGACTTTGACATCTCCGCGCCGGTCCAAGGCAAGTTCGGAAGCGAACCCGGCTTCAACTTCTCCATCGCCGAGTTCCCGTTCAAGAATAAGTTCGTCTTCGAGCAGCACCAGTACGACCAGGGGCTCGTCGACGACAGTTGCAATAACTACAGAGATATCCTCACGGCGTTCGGGTCCAACGTCATGACCATCAGTGACAACGGGACCAACCGCGCGCCGTTAGTCATGTCGGAATGGGGCCATGACCAAACTGACGAGAGTGGCATGTACAAGAACAAGTTTCGCAGATGCCTGATGGACTTCATGGTCGAAAAGCAGATCAGCTGGATGGTTTGGGTCTTGGGTGGAAGCTACTACACGCGCGAAGGCGTGCAAGACAAGGACGAGCCTTGGGGTAAGTCACTACCATGCCCCCTAACACAAAGCAAAGACGAGATATCTGACTTGGAGTGTAGCTCTGCTAGACCACAACTGGAGTTCATACCGAGGCAAGGCTTCCATCGTGCAGCTTCAGCGTGATATGGAGAAAACATACGAGGCCTTCAACCAGAGCATGCCGGCAGCGGGTAGAAGCCCAGGGAACCAGCCCAAGAGTGCCGCCACTAGCATCTCACGGAATTTGCCAGCGTCCGTGGTACTGGGCACTATTGCTGCCGTGTTTCTTCATATGGGAGCTTCTTGAATTTTGAGGGCATGGGGTAGTAATATTTAAAAAACACATAGCATCACGCTGCAGAAATTGTATGTTAGGCTTTTCGGGCACATGATTTTCACCATTTGATAGACTATACTCTGCCAACTATTGAACCATTAATCTTGCCTTGGGATGTGCTTCCAGCAGTGGAGCAGGATCTGACTCTATATTCCCTCTGTCAAGTTATTTCTTGACAGGATAGACCTGCTTCCCATCAAACCAAGTTTCCAGAACCTTCGCCTGGAGCGCCTTCTTAGGCTCCCACTCGATATCCAACACAGCCAAATCGGCCTTCTTCCCAGCCTCCAGAGATCCTACGCGATCCTCCATGAAGCAGCTCCTCGCTGCACCTTCCGTCGCACCGGCTACAATGTCACACAGTGACAAGGCAAACTGCGGGTTCACAACAGTCTCAAGCCCAGGCTCCCTCGCTGATCTCCGTGTAGTTGCAATGTAGAGGTTGCTCATGATATGATGCGGCGCCGTCGGTGCATCAGACCCAATAGCCACTGGGGCACCTCCGTCCGCGAACTCGCTGTAGGCGAAAGCACGTCCGCACCGGTCCTCGCCTATGAGTTTCGGCCAGGCGCGGAGAATGGCCGGGTCAGAGTGCACGGGCTGGACGGAAGCCGTGATGCCGAGTTTGCCCAGGCGTTTTGCGTCTTCTTCCGTGGTAACTTCGAGGTGCTCAATACGTGGGCGGTGCTCCGGCCCGACGTACTTCTCAAGGACATCAATGGCGTTGGCTACGGTCCGGTCACCGATGGCGTGGAGAGCAACTTGGAGGCCATGTTTCGTGGCCGCCTCAACGACGGGAGCCATATGCTCTGGCGACCAGACAGGCTCGCAGTTGTCGTTATTGTGGCTGTACGGCTCTTTCAAGCTCGCCGTGCATCCGTCGATGATTCCGTCGCAGACAAGTTTGATACCGACAAGCCGGCAATCCGGGTCTGTCTCGAGGTTGAACTCTCGCGCGAGCTCGGCAGCACGCTCGACCTGCTTGATATTCTCGGCATCATTGTCTCTGGGCAAAATCATCCAGTAAGCGGCAAGGCGCACAGGGACTCTACGGCCTGCTGCTTTTTCCTGCTGTCTGTACTCCTGCAGCGCGCTCCATCCCTCCTCTTCCATTGCCATGTCGATCAGGCCCGTGAAGCCTGCACTGCTGTAGTCGTCGATCGCTGTCTTGATGGCGGATATGCGGTCTTCTGGCGTGGAAACCCTTGCCATGTACAGCGGGATGAATTTCATGCTGGCTGCTTCGGAAAGCAGACCAGTTGGCTTTCCAGTCTTTGGGTCGCGCACAATTTCACCGCCAGGAGGGTTAGGCTCGTTGTCTAGGTCCAACTCCTTCAAGGCCGCCGTGTTTGCCCACGTAGAATGCAAGTCTTTTGCTGTAATCAAAATGGGGCGCGGGTCTAGGTCGTCGATCAACGAAGCCAGAGCTCCCTCGGGGGTCATGAAATGCATCCATCCGCTGCAGAAGATACGTTTATGATCGGGGTTGGCGATGCCGTACTCCTTTATCGTTCTCCGTATGTCCTCGAGACTTTTACATTCGTCAAGTCTCAGCTTCTGCAGGGTCTGCCCGAGCTGTGTCAAGTGAATATGTCCATCAACAAGCCCGGGAAGAACGGTACGTCCGCCAACATCGCGAACTTGAGCTCCCGCAGCGACGGCCGCCTTCACTTCCTCCGCAGAAGCCTCTCCAACATACGCGATTATACCATCTTTAACAACAAGAGAACTCCCGAATTTGGCTTCTGATCGTTGACCGGGTGGCGCCTTGTTTGAGCGGAAGAACTTTCCGTTTTCGAAGACGATGTACTGACCAGCTGTCATTGTATGATGCGTGAATTCAAGTTAGTGTGGGAGACCGAGAATGAATTATCCTCGTCTACGTCGATCTAGTGATCTTAGTCTAGCAAAAATAAGTCTCGCATATGCATTTCCACAAGTAGGACATGTGGCAGATAATATGTGATTGAGGGCCACCAGGGGTCAAGTTGCACGATCTCCCGATAGCTACGATAGCTTAGATGAGGGCTGAGTTGCGGGGATTATGCGGGGACAATATCCGACCCCTCGGCTGGGCGCTCGGCGTTGCAACTACACAGGTGGGGTGGTGTTCATTGGTGTTAAGAAACAACGCATGTCCTCCGTGATCGGGGCAGTATTCATAGCATGGTAGATCCGACACTTCGGCAGAGAGGCTGCATAGATAACAATGAATGTTATCTAAGGTGGTATTTCGCAAACTCTTAAAGAGGGGGAGCTTGTTTCAACCAATAGTTGAATCCCAATTCGGGTTTGAGATGAAGTACAAGCTGTGGTTCTTAAATTCATACAGAAAGCTCTGGTTTCTGTGTAACCTACTTTGATATATCAAACATTGCAAAGATTTCGACCAATTATAATTTCTCAATCAAGTGTAAGCTAAAACCTTGAAGAAGGGTGCTTTCTTTAGCATGATTACGGATGTACTGTGAAAATCAGAAAAATAGTCTGGATCCTACATTCTACCTCAGTCTATTATCGTCCGGCCGATTTCAACCCAAATGTGAAGGCTTGTGATAGATGCTTCTTCTGTCAAAAGATGAACCAGAGCACTAGCTGAAGACCGAGTCTCGAATGGCATGGTTCCTCGGCTCCGTCCATGATTTCAATCATCTTCATGGATCCCTGACGGCCCACTTAGTGGCAATTGGCAGTGACTGATTCCGCGTCTGGAAATTAGCGGGTGTTTTCGACAGTTTGACTTGAAAACAGTCAATCTCAGGTTTGGTAACGATCCAAGGTGGAAATTTTGGGATTTTTCATGGAACTAGTTGTCCATATACGTGTGCTGAATATTTTTATAACAGCGAGTCAACATAGCGCTGTACCTCAAGCAGCAAACTAGAGCTGTCAGTGACGACGAAGCCGGGGTCATGGGATACCTACTATGTCATGTGACCGTGGAGCTTCGTGTCCACAATTGTCCTTCATTAGTACGCTAATAGATGGTTTTCTGTCTTTCGTTTGCGCGCGATGCGGATGAAGGGATGCAGAATCCTGCCGCCGAGAACCGCATGCTTGAAGTATGGAGACAAACAATTTGAAGCGAATCTCGTAAGTGAACCACTCAAAGAAAGTGTACACGAAGCCAGAGCGGCTAAACGATACACCAGATGCAAGCGATGCCAGCAGAGGAAGGTACTTCAGTTATCAGCGTTTACCCTGGCCCCGTAGGCGCCGGTTCGGTTATGCTCCGGCCAAGGTTTTTGCACCCAGGCTGATTACGCAAACAGATCCGCTGCTCTCGCACCTTTCCGTGTTCCAGTTGTTTCACTGCGTTGGCCAAGTGTGAGTATCGGGAGAGCGATTTCAAACGACCGCCGGTGTCACGTGAATATGTAGCGACTCTAGAATCTCGCATCGCGTCACTGGAAAGCCTCTTAGGCAAGCTCAAGGGCGCACATAGCGACGAACGAAACCAGATTCTGAACGATTTAGTGGATGAGGACCATGTACCTTCGTTCTCTAGATTGCCCTTGGCAGATGAGATCGCGCTGAGTGAAGCCATGACCAAAGCCTCATTCCAAGAGATGACTGACGGTAAGTAATACTCCCCATTTTGTCCATCGACGCCCTGCTGCTGCATGAAGCCTGACTTCTCTTTTCAGGTTCAATGATCTATCATGGACCAACAAGCATTTTCCAGAATGAAGTCGGCAATTCTATGTACCCGGTTAGCTCGTCCACGAACTCGAAACCATCATCCTTCCACGAAGACACGAGAAATCTGGTCAACCAGACCATGCGCCTCTGCATCAGCCTCTTTTTCCATTGGCAGTATCCCATATTCATGTTTCTCGATAGAGAGGCTTTCATCCGAGAGTATGAAGTTAACCCAGTAAATGGTACCTACTGTACGCCACCTTTGATTTACAGTGCAGCTGCACTTGGCGCCCTCATGTCAAAGGATCCAGAAATCAGAGCAAAGTCGTCCGTTTTTGCGGAAACTGCACAATCAATCTTGACAAGTGAAGAACTGGGCGTTTCAAGACCAACATCAGTGCAAGCTTTCCTCTGCCTTGCTAATTATGAGATCGGTGTGGGCAATATGTCCAAGGGTTGGTTGTTTACAGGTAATATATCAGAAGCTGTCCAAGAGAATGATCGTCTAACGACGCATCAGGGATGGCTTTCAGAATGGGCCAAGACCTTGGCTTGCAAAGAGACTCTGCAGACTGGGGTCTTAAACACAAGTCGAACCTTTCAGGCCCTCCCCCATTCGATAATGAGTCTCGACGGCGGATCTATTGGGGTTCTTTTCTATCAGATAAGTGAGTTCCAAGAGCGAATATCAGTCGTCCCGCTCTAATGTAGGCATCGCAGAATGTTTAGCCTCTTTCTAGGCCGCCCCACGTTCTTATACGAGAACGATGCAGACGTCAATATCGGCGAACCTCAACCGTAAGCTTCTTTAGCTACAAGAAAATTGCGAAGCAAAGCCACTGACCGTGTTACAAGACTCGATCCTCTAATATGGGAGAACTGGTTGCTAGCCCACAATCTTGGATTTCCGCGGACTGTATGTCCAGCTGGTCCAAAATTGACGCTGGTTTTCAACCAGCAGGTCGAGCTAGGCCGGATAGTCCATGAAATGCTATCTCAGACGTTCGCACCAAAGAAAATGAAGGACCCCACATCTCGAAGATGGAACGAAGTCTCCTTGAATAAGCTGAACGCTCGGTTGGTTGCTTGGCATGAAGCGCTGCCTGCTGACATGAGATGGAGAAAGTGGTTCACAAACAAAGACGTGCTGCAGCCGAATGTAGCCATCTTGCAGTAAGTAATACCCAACTGCTTCCTTTCCTATTCTATTCAAGTATCTCACTCCCCACCTAGCATATTCTACCACAGCATTCGCATCTGTCTCAACCTGCCTTTCATCGCCTCCGTTCGGCGTATACCAACTGCCCCGGAGGGAAACCTAGAAACCTCAGGAAACCCAATTTTCAAGTTGCTTAGGATATGTCAGTCGTCAGCACAAGGTGTAGTTGATGTTTTGCAGCGCTTCAGGAACCAGCACACTCTCGAGAACACGCCTCTTCATTTTGTCGGTGCCACCATCATCGCTGCGAATGCGGTGCTGGTTACAACGCGGCGCCAGGGAAACTCGATACCTTCCATGAAAGAGACCCTGTTGCCTACTCTGGATAGAGCCTTGGAAGAAATGTCCGTGTCGTGGAAGCTTGCCGGGGAGGCCAGGCAGAAGGTTAGGAGCGCTCTCACCTCGATGCAACAACAGCATCCGGACCCAGCGTCCAAGTCTACACAGTCAGGTCCCTCATTCGTTAGTGGAGACCTTTCCTATGAGCCGTCAATGGTAGATCCAACCGAGATCCAAGTCAGTGCCAACACGCCCTTCACGACATACGAGCAAGAAACCATAAGGACGATAACACATCCTGCAGAATTCGAAAGCCCAGAACAGAGTGTCTGGGAACCTATGAGCTTGCTTGATAGCGAAGCGGGGTATTGGGGAAATCTCGGGAATGACCTTTTCGTTGGTTGGGGTTTAGATGTTTTTCATGGTGTGACCGATTTCGAGTGGCCGGATCAGTCATCCTACCAAAATGGCTGAGGCTCTTATCAAATGACAATAAATTTCATAATCATTGTGAACAGAATAATTTGGATTGGTTAAACTTGATTAAGACGCAGCTTTACTCCCCTTGAATGCTCTAGCATTAAGAACACAAAGTTGTGGGGAACCCAGGCATTGCTGCTTGGGGGCGGATTTACTGACAACCCCGAGGCGGGTTACTATTGTCTGTGAATGCTTGGTACAAAAGATCAACTAACTTACCCATACAGAAGATATAGTGAGCCGCTGACTCATCGGCTTATTTTCGTATTCACGCAAAGTATCTCACTAGGTTGCATTCTTCATCCAGTGGCTTTACCCCCCGCATTTGTTTCACACTCACTGCACCTTGGGTAGAACCATTTAGTGACGGATTTGTTCTCGTCCCGCGGCCAAATGCCATGACGATCGTTCACAGTTCAGAACACCCCGTGGCACGGAGGAAGAAGTCAATCCTCCGCTTAGGAAGTTCGCAAATGCACTGCAGTAACTGCTGGTTACATACGACAGTTTCGTATTCTCACGACACAGTTCTGACTGTCTTGGCAAGTTTTCCAATATCTGTTCTACCCGCAACTTACACTTGAAAACGACACACTTGCCACTTAGATTTCATTTCCGTACGATTGAGTGATCTCTGTTTACCTCTCTGTCCTTCCAAAATGTTGACCATGAACTTTACAACAGCAGGCTACGGGCTAGCAGCCATATCTGCGATACTTTTTGTTCGGGTTAGTTGTATCGATCACCTATCCCCTACATCTTGTCAGGTCTAAGCCTCGATATTGATATCGACAACATCAAGGGCACATCACCGGGTTCACATGTTCGATTCATCAATTACCAGGACCGTGGTATAAACGTTTCACTCACTATGCCCTCAAATGTCACATACTAACTGGCAGACGTGTACACTACGTACACTCTCTCCACCATCATATGGATCTTTGTGCAAATTGTGCCAAGGAAGTCGCTATCGCTGACCCAGAAGGCTTCATTGAAATTCACAAAATTGGTGCTGGATTCCTGAAGAGCCCGTGGTACAATATTGCGGCCGCTAATACCGGAATTGGTATTTTCTCGATGATCAACCCAAAGCAGCATGCAGCCCGTCGAAAACTCTTTGCCCGAGCACTCACGAGCGCGGCCCTACGGCAGAATTGGGAACCCGTTGCGAGGGCAAAGGTCGAGAAGGCTATTGAGCGGATCAAGACTGAGGCTCTTAGTAGCAAAGCTAATGTACTCAATCGGTGGACACTCATGGCCACCGACATCATTTCTGAGCTTTCATTCGCGAATCTTTTGAGATCATAGAGACGGAAGAGGTATTTCCCCGTATAAAAAGTTTGCATCGTTCATAAAGCTAAGATTATTTCAGACGAACGACTACATCAAGGCTATCCAGAAATCCATTGCAGCAGGCACACTTAAGGGCGAGCTACCTGTGCTCTACTACCTGATCCATCTGCTTCCCATCAAACCAGTCCTAACGATTCTCAGCGCCCAGGATGTCATTAATGCCCTTGCCAGTAAGGCAGTTACGAATTTGCGCTTGAACGGTCACTCAGCGAACCTATTCGGCAATATGCTAGCTACAAGCGAGCCAGGCGAGAAGGTGAATCTAACAGACGAAGTTATCAGAGTGAATCAGCAGACTTCATACTTTCTGGAGCCGACACAACGTCAATCACCTTGACATATCTAGTCTGGGCAGTGCTCAAGAGGCCAGATCTCCAGAGTCGACTGGAGGAAGGAGTGGCAAGTTTGAGCGACGCGTTTGACGATGCCACCTTAGAGAAATTACCGCTCCTCAACGCCGTCATTGACGAGACTCTTCGCCTATATGGGGCCGCTCCTGGAAACCTACCAAGAACTGTTTCTTCAAGGGATACCGCTATCGCAGGATTCTTTATTACAGGTGGCATAAGCGTTGAAACACAGGCGTTCACTCTTAACCGACACCCTGATATTTACCCTGATCCTCTGAGGTAAGTAGACCGTCTGCTGCAAAGGGCAATAATTAACCGAGCTCAAGGTTTGGAAAAACTCGATTCATTAAGCCGGATACCTTGTCTTTTAGGAGTGGTCGCCTGCCTGTTCTAGAGTCAAGTATCGAACGGCCACACTGGATCCAGGTACGTCAACGACAATCCAGCCCTTCACAACATCCTTAACAAACGTGTGATATATACAAGCACACGCCATCATGGTCGCTACCATTTGTACTTGCAATTTGTACAATCATCGCCGTTGCATCCATGGCGAAACTCATCGATGACACTTACGGGTTTCGTGTACTTTAGTGTCGTCTTATAGTCGTGGGGCAGACCGAACACCTTAGGGCCGGCGATTTCAAGTGCCCGTTCCGTGGCCCATAGCGGATGCCCCGCCATAATCATTACTGCGACCTTCAGTCCGTAGCGGTATTCCTGAACGCCAACGGCCTCTCCTGTGGAGGTGTCCAGAAGACATATCAGGTCCGGAACAGTAGCTAGGACCTGTGGAAGATACAACATCAGAAAAGAAATCAAAACAGAGTGGAGAGGGAATGCTTACTGTTTCACTTCCATCTTCCGACTTGCCCAGTACACCGAGATTTTCATTCATGAAAGGAACGACAACCTCTTTTAATCCCTCTCCGATTCTGTCCGTTTCTGTCTCCATCTCACTCTCACTGAGCCTCTCAATAATCACTTTCCCCAAGCTGTGCGCCGTGGTCGTCAAGGTGCTCTCGACGCTGCGAATTTTGCCTTGGAACAGCACCTTGGCGCTACCAGAACCACCAGCTGCCTCAATAATGTCTTTGGTCACGGTTGAGACAGTACCGACTTGCTGTGCTAGGGCGACGACGCGTCCGAGACGCCAGGCCAGCGAGTAAGTGTTTGGGATTCCAACCTCGCGCATGAGTTTTCCAGGAATAGGACGGCCGGCGGCACCAGCTGCGGACCCCATGGCAACGCATGCGTCTCGGATAGCGATGCCTGCCGAAGTTTCGTCGGTCTGAGTCGCTGGGATGACGACGTTGTGGCCAGTACCGCTGCAAAGAGTTACAGGTAGGAGCTCGTTGATCGACTTGGCGTGAATGTATTGCGACACCATCTCGAACTGAGGGTACGCTCGTCCTGGCAATGCATGTCAATAACTCGATCAAGATAAGGGATAACGGAAGCTTACCCATCATATCCCCATCTACAGTCGGGATGTCATAGTATCGTGAGCTTCCCCAGATCAATGTAGCAACACCGTTTGCGCCCCCGATTTCGGTAGCGATCAGTTTTTCAAACTTCGTCTTCATCTCTTTCTCCATCTCCTGCATGGCATGCCATACACCGTCTCCTCCTGGTCGCTCTATGCTCACCGCTGGAGTACCAACACTAGCGACGGGTGGCATCATCTCGTCGTCCTTGAGATCTTCAATACGGACAATTCTCATTGACTCTCCCTCAGTGAGGAGTTGCTTCAGTTGGAGGTATGAGGCGTAAGGAGATCCGCCGCCACCGCATCCGAGAATGTAGCAGCCAATGGATAAGAAATTGATATCAGTTTTGGAGAGCGACCACAAGCCGTTGGAGTCCACCATGGGCTTGTAGCTCTTGAGATCCACCTCTTCATCTTCCGGATGGTCCTCAGAAGCTAGTGAATCATGCTTCTTGGTTTCCTCAAACATCTCTTCGTCGATAAGTTGGTCTGGGGCAGCAGTTTTAACCATCTCGGAGTAAACTCGCTTATGATCAGCGGGCAAGGCAACCTCAATCTTGATGGAGGTCTGGTTCTGCACATAGGGGACTCCGGCAACTTCTTCGTGCAGGACAGTCACGGAACTGTCATCTCCACCCTTGGCTACTGCATTGTGGATTGCCCTAGCCTTTACCTCTGCGATACCACCCTGGATGTCCGAACCGTGGATGATGGTTTCGGCAGAACCATAGATCCTCGCGATTGAAGCACCAATGGCGTTGGCAACACCAGCATGTTCGGGGACGATAACCTTACTAACCCCGGTGAGCTCTGTAGGACATAGAACGGAACCGCCTCCGACAAGTATGACAGTGCATGGCTCGGGTGACAGCTTGGCGCGGTCGATGACCGCCTCCAGCATTTTCCGTATCCGGGCTCTGCCTTTATCGACAACGTCGGCCGTCAAAGACACAGCGGCGTTGCCAATTTGGGCACCAGAAGCCACGGCAACATCAGTCGCAGTGGCAACGTCGCCTCCAAAGCAAAGAGCCTTAGTGACGAGATCATGGCCAACACTGTCAGGCCCAACGCTTATAGAGCCGTCTTCCCCACTGTGTAGAATTGAGCCTCCACCGAGACCGATACTCTCAACAGAAGGCATTTCCAGATTGACCTTTACACCAGCCAATGCTGTGTAGCTCTTGGACAATCTAGGATATCCGTTGTTTAGAAGATATCCCACGTCAGAAGTTGTGCCACCGATATCGACGACGATGCTGCCAGATTTGTCGATTGAGTCTCTGGCAAGAAACGCGGCGCCCCGGATGGAGTTGGTCGCCCCGGAGGAGAAGATCCTGATGGGGGCTTGCATGGCTTCGGAGAAGGGTAACAAATGACCTGCGTTGGAAGTAAGATACAGGGGACACTGGAGGCCAATGCGGCGCATGGCACCGATGAAGGCTCTAATAGTGCGTTGCGCGAAGTTGAGAATCGAAGCGTTGAGTATTGTTGCATTCTCACGGGCCAGAAGACCAGGACCGGCGATGTTGTGCGAAAGAATAATGTTCACATCTTGACCCAGCTCGCTGCGCAATATCTTCTCCACCTCGTCTTCTTGGTGGTAGTCTTTGTCGGTGTTGCAGCCGATACCGACGACTGCAACATTCTTGAGACCCTTAGTTTTGATTTGCTTTGCCTGCGCCCTTACAGTCTCTATGTCGATCGGGCTGATGAGGGTTCCGTCAATGTTGCAACCCCCAGGGATGATGGCCGAATGCCCATTGATGATGCGCTTTAGGGCCGAAGGCCAGTCCGCAAATGGCGGGGTTCCAGTTGAAAAGTTGTGTGAGGCTAAGCGCAGAACGGCAATCTTTTCAACGCGGGATGTATCTCTCTCAATAATGGCGTTGAGAAAGTGTGTCGTGCCGATAGCAAGTGCTGTGATGTGCGCTGGGTCCACGTTTGACTTATCAAGCAGGGCTTTCAGAGTGGCCTGGACAGAGAGCGTCACGTTGGATGTGGTAGGCGCTTTGTGAGACGCAACAACGGCATCTGTACTGGATTTCGAAACATCCAGCAGGACACTGTCGGTATTGGTACCTAAAATTGTAACCAGTCAACATTCAAAGTCCGATATGTAGGGCGAACTTGGGGTCTCAATGTTTGCTCACCTCCCACGTCAACTCCCACTACTAGCGTGCAGTTCGTCGCACTCATCTTGAACCAAATGTTCGTGCGGGGTTGAGGGGATTTGTTGAAGTGGCTCGCACACAGCCAGCACGCTCTGCGAGCTCTGATTCTAATGCACGTAGGGCACGAACCAACAAGAGTGACAGCAGGCAAACAATTCAACGTACCCTCAATATGAAAAAGTCGCGCAGCGATAGCTTCACGTTACACTGGCTTTGGTTGATGCAAGAATCAGCTACGAGGTAGGGTTCAAGTAGCAACTGGGTTCGACTCCGTTCATCGGCGACCCCTCCAATCAGTTGCGCTAACGCCGAGCGTTCCTCTCGCTAATGCACACTCTACAACTTCTGCCAGGGCATTTCATATAGTACAAGAAGGGTCCGTCAGAAGTGGGTGGTCGGAGGCTCGGATTTAATCGAGACTCTCGCTATCAACGTTGCACTCTCTGATCAAAGCTATCAAGTGACGAGAGGAGCCACACTAATTACATGATGACGCGCGAAATTCATTTGTTTCATTTTTAATTCCATGCATATTTGTGCCCAAATCACCAACTTACATGAAAGCGAAGCAGGGCAAACGAACGCAGCTGTCCTGAAACTCATTGTGGCATCGCTGAACGGTATCAAGGAATATGGACCGTGGTAAATTATCTTCGCAGCGTTGCTTGTTTTAGTACGTGAGGCTACCAGACGCTTTTCGCATTTATCAAGTCTAGGCATTTAAACACCCAAAGATGGTTGATCGTCGCCCTGCCGCTGACTTCGCTCAGTTTCTAGTTAATTAGCAGCCTTCAATCATCTACATTGTGTACTTTTCAATTGCCATAGCCCATTCACACTTTTGCTGATCATCGCGGATTGTCGAAATATCTCATTCGATCCCAGCCATGGGCTCCGTAATTATCAAGTTGCCCGGCCAACATTTTCAACCGTATCTCAATTGCTCAGAACCCTTTTAAACGACTAGAAGATAAGACGCCCAGGGCGCGACAGCCAGAGGCTGGATTACTGCTCCCATGGAGAATTTATTCGTATATCAGGCCGAATGGGCAGCATCAGCATAACCCAACAATCACTTAAAGTGTCCATCGTCACGATGTATTCATTTCTCGAGGAAAACACTATTGCATGTGTCTCCGAATACCTTCATCGTCTTTTGCCATACTTCAACCACATCGTACACCCTCTTTGCCATGTCTCTACCAAGCGGGAGCATTCCCTCCGCCTCTCGTCCCTGTCCCACGGCGGTGCCCATGACGACTTCATATGTCACTTGTGCTGCCTTCAGATGATCTCCGTCAGCAGGGAATCCCTCAGTGAATGATGCTGCCATCACGTTGTACACCTTCTCCAGCGCGCTGCCTTCGTAGTCGGGAGGGGTCGGCTTACTCGCTAATTTCACCGAGGGCCCCATATTCGTGTCAAAGGACCCAAGTGCAACTGTTGACACCCGCACACCAAACGGCGCAATTTCTTTGGCGAGAACCTTGCTAACACCTATATCCAGACGAAGTCAGTCAATGTGGAGGTTCTTGGCTCTAGGTCATACTTGCCATCCATGGCGGCTTTTGCAGCAGCGTAAATGCCCATTGATTCTCCCCCTCCAAGCCTGCTCCGGACTCTTTCCGATGATATTTCATCAAAGGTTCTCGATAAAGGACTTGCTTCACAGCCTAGTCTACGGGGACTACTCCGCGCCTTGTTTGAATCCGTCGGGTGGGCTTTGCTTTACCCGGCATTCCCCAGACTCCTTCTTGTCGGCTTCAATCTCAGCCAACCATTGGTTGTCAAAGTTATCTTGACGTATTTACAAGGCCTTGAGAGTGGAGGCTGGCCGCCCAGTATGGACAACTTCATCATTTTCGCAGTTGTACTTGTCTTTCTCGGGATGGCTCTGTCCACTAGTATCTACTGGCAACTGCAACTCCGAAACCTGGCAAAGATCCGAGTGATTCTTATATGCGCCATCTACATGAATGTAACCACAATACCATCTGTTCAGACAAATACGGCCGCTGTCACTCTCATGAGTACAGGCGTGGAGAGGGTGACGCAAGGACTTCGTTTTATTCACGAAACTTGGGCAAACGTTGCGGAGGTTGCGATAGCAGTCTGGCTACTACAGCGAGAGCTGCACGTAGGCTCTATAGCTCCAATCGTGGTATCAATAGGTAAGCCTAATCTCAGTTCATTTTAGTTCAGGATCATTGAGAAGCTTAACATGTCCGCTAGCTTGCTTTTTAGCCACACTCGGCCTAAATAAATTCACCGTGCCACGCCGAAATCGATGGATGGAAGCACTTCAGTCGAGAGTCAGCAAGTACCACTCCTAATAATTCCTAGCGCTTTCCATAGTTTAACAAGAAATCATTACTGGAAAGGTACCACGATAATCCTTGTGTCGTCTATGAAAGGAGTCCTATGACGGGTCTGAGCGGGAAATCGTCCCATACTTTGTAGTCACTCCGGCTTCAGGAATTAAGACACGCAAACAAGTTCAGAATGATTCAAGTATTTTCCTTTTGCATAGGTCAGTCTCATCTTTAAATTCTCAACAAGGCACATTGTTTACAAGGTAAGTAGCTTTTGCTCTCATCTTCATTGCACCTGTTGCAGGCTTTGCCATTTTTCTCGCTGTATCTGGGAGCAACACTCATGAGCAGCCATTCGACGTAGCGACCGCATTCACGTCATTATCTCTGGTAGTCGTACTGACTCAGCCGTTGTCCAGCTTGTTTCAGTGCGTTCCATTGTTTATCGGGACGGCCAACTGCCTGGAGCGTATACAAGCCTTTTTGCAGTCCACCTCTCACAGGGATCCAAGAAAGAGAACCTCAGGCTCTGAGAACATTTCAGATGGCGCCAGAACAACCGAAAACAACCAAGAAAGTGTTTTCTCCGGTGGAACCAAAAATACTGTCTATGCCTTCCTCATCAGCAACAATAAATTCGGCTGGAAATCAGACCTAGCGGTTCTTCGAGACGTGAATATCAGCATCCCCAACATGTAGCTCACTCTCATCGTAGGTCCAACAGCAAGCGGCAAATCAACGTTGTACAAGGTTCTCCTGGGCGAAGTTCCTTACGCTCAAGGAACAATCCTCTAGGACGGTTCTATTATGGACATAGCGTTTTGTGACCAGATGCCATACTAACCAACACCACTGTTACACGCTGGATGATGAAACCTGGTATAATACAGTGGTCTATGCAGTTGACTTGGATACAGACTATGAAAGCCTTTCCAAAGGTGATCAGACTTATGTTGGAAGCAATGAAGAGGCTCTCAGTACAGGGCGAAGACAAAGAGTTGCTCTCGCTCGTGCGGTATATGCACGGAAATCAGTCATGATTCTTGATGACTCGTTTAGTGGGATGGACTCCGTTACCAAGAGTCGAATCTACTGTCGGCTTCTGGCTTCCAAAGGTCTCTTACGCGAGATGAAGGCTACAGTTGTTTTGGCATGCCACGATCAACATCCACTCCCCGGAGCAGATCAAATCATTGAACTCAACTTCATAAAGCCCCCTATCTCTGATCCGCAAGCTCAATCTTTGGGCACTGAGGCCTCTGAGATTGAACTAACAGAGCCTTCTTTCGAGAAAGCAATCGTTTCAGAAATACCTCTGGCTGAAAAACAACACCCGAATGAAAATGCCGAAGACAAAGAACTCTATACACCTAAGACAAGTGACTGGTAAACTTACAGATACTTCGTCATTACTACAGGAACGCCAAATGCCATACTGCTGGTAGCACTCGGAGCAACATTTGGGGCTCTTTACACTTTTCCGTCAGTATGGGTGAACTGGTGGACGACAGATTCAACGCCCGAGGATGGTTATTACCTCGAAATATACGCGCTGCTTCACACTGCAGCTCTTGCCTGCAGGTTTTTCTTCACACGACACTGCCTCGATACTGTAGTTTCCAAGTCAGGGACCAGATTACACCAAAGGCTGCTTTCAACCGCGTTATCAGCAACCCTCTCGTACCTCAGCAGCAAAGATTCCGGTTCTATTATATATCACTTCTCCCAAGACCTTCAGCTAGTTGATGGCGAATTGCCTGCCTCTCTTCTCAACACCGTAGCAACTACATTCATAGCTGTAGCACAAGTGGGCCTCATTGCAACAGCATCTCTGTGGCTTGCCATTTCCTACCCGGTTTTGAAACTGATCTTCTACTGCATCCAAAAGTTCTACCTTCGTACCTCACAGCAACTTCGGCCGCTGGATCTAGAACTCAAGAGTCCACTCTAGTAAGTCTCCCAATTCACAAATCCTAAAATCGGTTGCCTTTCTCTGAAACCTCATCTCTTTCCGTCCTACGCGTGAGGTTTGGAAAGAAGTCTCAACAATGCGCTTACAACGCAGATTACTAGCTCGCACTTCCTCGAAACTTTAAGAGACATAGTCACTATCCGAGCACTCGGAAGCTGCCAAAATCATATCGAGCGGAACTACCAACTCCTTGACAAGTCCTAGCGTCCTAACTATCTGCTTCAAATGATCCAGCAGTGGCTATCCCTGGTGTTGAACACTGTTGTCCTGGTTCTAGCCATTTTACTCACAACTCTTACTCTGAAGCTCCAATCAGGCTTGGGATTCACCGCCGTTGCTCTCGTCAACCTAATGTCCCTCAGCCAGATGATACGATCCGTCATCATAGGGTGGACACTTATGGAGACATCTATCACTGCAGTGGCACGAATTAAGGAGTTCGAGCATGAAACACCTAGGGAACAGGATAATGAGGCAGAAACCACCCCTACAGGTTGGCCGCTTCGTGATACGGTTGAGTATCGAAATCTGGCCGTTTCCTATGGGTGAGTAATATCTGCGGTTTTAACAATCCACTAATGCAACGTCAAGTGGATAATGCCAACCTATTCGATCAGTTCGGGTAACGAAAAGATGGCGCTAAAGGATGTAAGCTTAGTGATCGGGGCGGGAGAGAAAATCGGCATATGTGGCCGCAGTGGAAGGTGAGTCTAGGCGACTCATGGCATGCATCGCCAACATCAATCGGCATGGACTGATCTCATTACAGTGGAAAGTCGTCTTTTGTAGCGGCTCTCTTCAGGATGTTAGATATTCGACAGGGCAAGATCCTAATCGATTCTATGGACATCAATGAGTGCTCCTTGTCTGCACTCCGATCGGGCATCAACTCTATCCCTCAAGATCCCTTCTTCGCACCTGGTACATTTCGCGAGAATCTTTCTTGTTCCCTATCAGTCATCGACAGACTTGGCAATCGAGCAGGCCTTACGAGAGTACGACTATGGGACTAAATCCAAGATCAAGGCGGTTTGAACGGCGAAATGAAACCTGGATCGTTCAGTCAGGGGCAGAAGCAGCTGCTATCGCTCGCAAGGGCCATGCTGCGGCGTTACAAAATTGTTGTTCTCGATGAAGTCACTAGCAGGTACGACGCAATGCAACATACACCCTTTTTGAGGGAAGCTGTTTGTCAAGGATACACGCTGATACAAGTCGCAACTGACAGCCTTGACTGTGAAGCGGAGAAGCTTGTACGGGGAGGTCTTGCAGGTTGCTTTCAGGGGTTGTACAATCATTGCCATTGCGCATAGGCTGGACATGATCATGTGCTTTGATTGGGTAGCCGTAACGGAAAAGGGAAAAATTGTGCAGTACAGTAACCCGCGTCGCTTGTTGCGGGACAAAGACTCGGCTTTTACCCAGCTGTAGCGAGCTAGTGAGAAGAGTCGATAAGTTGGGTTAGTGATCGCCACGTCAAAGCCTATGGCTCGCTTATTCAGTACTTGCTTAGTCATTGTTGATTGAGCCTGTTCAGCCAAATTCGTTGAGTGTTATAAACAGTACGTACTACAGCTAATTCAATAGTCAGTCCCAAACATTCTTTCAGTTCCGAAGGCCATATATCTCTCAGCGACCCGCAACGCCCTAAGCGAGGTTGAGTATCGTTTGTGATTCCTGACGCTAAAGCACTCAATGAGTTTAGGCACTCGTCGCTGCACCGAACTCATCTCGAAAACGTCCCCAACTTTGGTTCCGGATGCTGGGTGTTCAATTTTGTTGAATAGGTATGATGAAGTGTGGGTGGATGAACAGCCAATTCAGGCTCGATTTTGCCGGCAAAACCCATCTAGAAAAGAGACGGTCGTAGAGTCATTCCTCAGGCTAAGTACATGATTGCAAACCACGCACGTTCTGAATTCGATAAATTGGGCAATGGTACCCCGCGTCACACTACTTACATTTTTGGACTCTTTAAGCGGCTAGTGATGTCTCAGTGACATTTGAAGAAACGCCTACGAAGGAAAACGTGTAGTTCAAAAACGTCAGTGGGAGACAACAATATGCACCGTAAATCATTCAAGCCCTTATTTGCTTCTTAGCAAGGCTCGTTTCTCACTCCAAAAAGCTACCTTTCGTAGACCCTGTTTCAGAAACGAAGAAATCACTGAACATAATCCATAGCGCTGAGTCTGCGTACCATTTACCTGTAACCACCGCAAACTGTGTCAGTAACGGTTTTTTAGAAAACATATCCATCTATATGTCATATCATGTATAATGTCCGCGCGTACAGAAAGGTTAGGCACGATATTGCGGTGAGACGCCCCAGAGGGAGCCGCGCCACGGCAACGCCGCGACCAGCACAACGTTGCTGGGACCCGTTGGTCTCAAAGGCAGTAAGATGTTAAGCCAGCGCTCGGACTAAGCCCCTGTTGTCGATGCGTAGCTGCAAGACCGCAGCGAAGCCCGTCAAGTCCGTCCAACGTAATACCGACTTAGCCATGAGCAGGGGTTCCATCGGTTTGACCGCATGCTACATCGGCAACTACATGCTGCAACCGTTTGTTACACGTCAATGCAAATCCGGGAAAAGTGGTCCCTCCAGGCATCGTACTCCTCGATTGGCACTGGTCACTGCAAATCCGCTGTGGGATTCACCGTTGCTAATCGACGCCGGCCGATTGTCCGAGGCGGGGCATGCCGCACCTGTCACCTTCGCGTCGGCCATCCCTAGGCAACTTTGCGATAGTCGCCTGGACGAATTCCCTTTTTCGTGGACCAACCGCACGCATGTCCAATTGCTTCAGGTAGCGCGTGATTAGACGAAGGCAAACATGGCCGCATTAAGAAAGAGACTAACACGAAAGACGAGACAGCTAGCTTATCTCCACGAGCCAAGGCCATAGTGACAGTGTGCCCCGCCTACCGGCCCGCTCTTCGCCTTGTGAGACTGGTCATGGTGGAGTGGGTACGGAGCAACTTCCGCGTTGTTTACCGGGTGGGATTAGGTATCATTGGGGGCGCAATAGCCTTCCTGATGAGAGCAGACTCAGGTACCGAAAGGTGGGTTCCGTGATGGAATCACACACCTTTACGTGGGGGGAAGACGACAAGCTGGAAGCCGTAGTCGGACCTTTAGGAGACACCGGGACGGCGACGCACGGATTTCTATCCCAGTCTTGTCGGAAGAGACATTGAGTGGAACGGAGTTGATGCTTGGGCGGTTTTCTTCCATCATACAGCCAGCAGGAGGTCTGAGCGGTTTGCGGTCATCGGGCCTTTGAACTCAACAATCGCTGTCTGATGATCTCTCATCTTTTTAGGCATAGGCTCTCTTCTCTCAAGGTCTCAATAAGTGGTTCTTCAGGTAGCTGGAATAAGTCAATTACCATGAGGTAACCATAGTCCCTCGCGCTGTAGTGGTATCCAAAAACGTATGTCATGCATCTCGTCGCAACTCAGCCTCCCCACTCCCCTGCGCCTTAACAAAGGAAATTTTCAGAAAGGGGAGCCGCTCCGCCCGGTCTTTGAGCTCCCAGCCTCCAACTCCCGCATATGCACTAAACTTGTCTCGTCGTGGTAATCCACAGCGTACTCCTTGGTGTACATGATGCCGTTGGGACTGCCGCTCGAGGATCCTGATTCGCGGTCCATGGTTTTGATCTTGGCCTCGTTGCCCAGGGTGCGATTTCGACTGCGGCCGTTGCCACTCGACTGGATGTAGTACTTGGCTGCGTTGGAAGTTCCGTTGCGAGTGCTACCCATGATCTTAGGGAAGAAACTAACAAGGATGACGCGTATTGAGGGCATGCAGGCGCAGATGATGCCGACGTTGATCTCAACGGTGGACCACGTTGCTACGTCGAACTGGTCCCAAGTTGGGTTCTGGGATTTGGCGAACTGAACCAGAGATTGAAGACGAAGGATACTAACAACGGTCACGCTAACGATAGGTGTTAGCAAGCAAGTCCAGTAGAGATGCAATGGTGACGGAGCTGAACTTACAAGGTACCAACAAAGAACATCATTGCCACACCAATCTTCTTCTTCCAGTGGAGGTTCAAGCTCTTAATCTGGGACAGAGGGAGCGCGAGCATCCAAAAGTCCAAGACGATGCTAATGCCAGCGTGCGCCCAGGCTATGGCGTTGATATCAAGGCACGTTCCTTGGTGTTCCAAATCCCACTTGGTCCAATAAAAGCTGATCGGAGTGCACTGGAAAACGGCGACGAAAATAAATGTAACACCAAAGACGGCGTTGAATGCGATGGTGCCCCAAATTAGCTTCTTGACGCTGCTGTTGTGCGAGAAGATGCGCATGTAGAAGAACAGAAGAGACATCTTCAGCAGCGTCACCTGGCCGAAATACATTGGCTCCATAACGAAGAACCAGTATCCAAAGTCGGTGATCCTGTCGAAAGGAACGGTCCAAACGTCCTTGCCAAGGCCATTGGTGGCGAATCCGTGTGTGTTGATAACAGTACCGGGGATTCCAGAGCCAAGGGTGGTGAGGATAAACCAATCGTCCATGCCGAGGTTGCCCATTGTCGCGAACACCTTGTGCACCAGGCGGATTATAACGAAAGCGCCAGACAGCGAGCCCATCGTGATGGAAATGGTGTTGTACATGGCCGTGCGGTCTCTCGGGACAGCGCCACATGTCGTCTGAGTGATGTTCTTGGTTGCTGCAAGGCCAAGGTTAGCCGATAGTTCATCTAGAGCCAATCTGGCTCCTTCGGGGAGGCTTGATAAAGTTTGGGGAACAAAACTCACTGAGGGCGTTCCTGAGGGTGCAGTTCTGTAAGACACAGACTTCAACTTCGGCCTGCAAAGGAGCATTCGTGCAGATGCACGTCTGGTTGGTTGGCGCACATGAGGAGCCGAGAACTGCCGTGAAGAGACATGATTGCTGGCACATAATGAGCTTCTAGATCTGGGTTTAAATCGATCATTGGTCGCAATACATACCGCGCAAGTCGGCAGCAGGCTCACAGCTGCTGTGGCATCGCCCTGGGCTGCAGCGCATGAGAGCACAGCAGCCAGAGACAGGAACAGAGCGAAAAGCCTCATGGCCGGGTTTCCGTGGACAGCGATGAGAGTAAATCTCCCCTCTTCAGAAAGTGGTTTGAAGGGGAAAACGGGGTCGTCGTGCGCGCTAGATATCTATCTCGTCGACCATGGCGTAGGTGTCATACATGAGAAGTCGATCGTCGTGATGGAGGCGTCGAAGGTTTTCCAGTGCCATTCGGAAGGGGGGGACGGGGAGACATTAAGGTTGTCGTGAAACGCCTCTTTCGCCCTCCGTCTTAGTCAACATGAGAAAGGCCATTTGGGACGAATGAGTGGTCGGTTCGACCTAGCGACATGCCATCACGGAGATGATGCTCGATGAAGCGACCCAGACATTTCTGCAGCGATCCACTTGGTGCAACGCCACAGGAGACCAGTGTGCCGGTAGCGTGTTCTGATCATTACACGGTGGCTGCCGTTATACATCACTTTGTAATGGCAGCGGTGTCTAGTAAAAACGGCACGCCCCCTTTCAGTCCGCTCTGCTCAATATGCACGTCTCAGCAGTGGTGGCGGCTGTCGACAGTGTGGTTCGCGATTTCCCTAACCAAGGACGAGCAAAGTGCAGGACAGGCATGGATGGCCGATGCTACAGGACCCTGGTTCCAGCTCCGAGAGGGGGTACCCTGGGCGTAACCAGATGTGGCAGGCGAGGGCTTCCTGCGCGAGGAGCAATACTGTGATACACCGACATGCAGGAGGTTCCCCGTTGCATGGCAGCGGACCGAGGCCCTTGAGAGGTCTAGAGTTCTCGTCTGCACCGGGTAGGGGACCAGACGCATCGAAGAGAGAGATGCGGGCTTGAGGTTCATCGAGAAATCTGGGTAAAGCCCTGTCAGCAATGGCACAAGACCCCACCACACACATGCATATCTTCAAAGAGAAAAAGAAACCCCAGGATGCGGTGGTCCAGACACGACCACTGAGCAACGCCGAAGCAAGGATCGGGGAGTAACTTATGCGCAGGGATCAGCTACAGGTCCTGCAAGAATATCTCCTCAAACTTCACCTTGAGGGGGAGAGGGGCACTCTCGGACTATAGTACTATGTACCTGGAGCAAAACACAGATAATGCATGGGGCTAGTATCCCATTCGTATATTGGTATGTCTAATCACGACGCAATTGCGGAGCCAGTCATCCCTTCACTATTGTTGCCCATTCCCTCATCCAAGTTGGCAGTACGCACAGCGAGAGATGCCGACAACGCCGACCGGGTCACGGAGCTGACTTAACATACGGGAGACCGTTTCAACGGCAGGATAACGGCACGGCGAAAAAGCTTCTCGATGTCGGAGGCTGACCGAGGCTGGGCACGGCAATGCACAATTGAGGCGAAGCTGACTCTTTTCCCCGAGAATATGGTTGCAACCTTGACGCACAGAGGGACGAAGGCGCCAAATCCTGCAGCTGATGGGAAAAGGAGAGACGAAGGGAAACCAGGTACGCACAGCAGAGGGGAAACTTCCGAAGAAAAGCCAGAGTTTTGTGTGGCGGCACTAGAAACCAGATCGAAAGGCCTTGGCTTTCTGGAAACCTGGCCCCGACAACGCCTTGACGCCCTGCTTGGCTAGCCTAATGGTACCGCCGCATGTCTTGCATTCACTCGTTTTTACCCCTTGGGACGTTAGCCTGGGCGAGGAGGGGGAGGGATGCCGCCGTCGACCGATGGTGTAGGTACTATCCCTATCCTGGTGGCACATCCGGCACACCGTGTGTGTGGAGCAGATGGGGGCGTCAAGGGCCTGATCCGGCACGATGCACCAATTGGTGATCCACGGCTGCTTACTGTAATGTAGCATACGATCAGAGTTGGGACGCGTTGAGATAGAATGAGATACGGCACGATACAAAGAACAGGAGAATCCGGTCTTGTCGCCGGTGCTAGATATGACTCGTGTTGGGGGCAAAATTGAAGAACTCTGCGTCATCGTGCGAGCCGAACACTCAATTCAGCTTGAGAGAACAGTGATTAACCCAACCTGCTCACTTGCAGAAATGGACGGGAATGGACGGTGGGCAATCTCCATGGTCCCTAAATTCAAATGTTGACGACCGGCCGAATCCTTCGGCACTCTACCCCCTCTTCGGCTCAATGACCGATTTTATCGGTTTCTTCGATCCTCCAGGTGTCCCCGTCAAAGATCAATATCCGTTGGCAGACCTTGGTTCCTGGGGACGTTGGGAATTGATTGGAGGATCGATGTTGCGCAGCAGCGAGAGTGGCCCAACGCCCTAGTCCCGGAATCCACTGCCTTTAGGGTGTTCATACCATGTAGGGGCCCTTCGATAACAGATCAAATGTTTATGACCTGTCGCCAGGGTTCATCGTATCTAGACCAAGGATGATAAATGCATCAGTTTGAAAGGGTTTGAGGTCCATGGGGAACGGGTGGAGGAGGCACAGTGAGATTCTCGTATGCCAAGTTTTGGTGGTTCAGTTCCTATCCCTCACCACCGTCACGTCATGACCATTGACAGGATTGCGCGTGCGCAGCGAATCCCTATCACCCTATGACCAGAAGGCGTTGAGAGTCGGGGAACACAGGAGAAACTAATGCAAAATCGAGTGGCGGTTCACGAAGACCCGAAATGAAGACCGAGAAGAAGCGCGGACTAGCTACTCTTCTACCTGTACTGGTAGCATTTTTCTAGTGGATAGCCGGAGCGCACTCAGTGTCGCATGACCGGTGACTATTGACGGCAACTCAGCGAACCGATCTTCCCGGCTCCGGGCGTGTGGAGCTCATGCCCGCTCATCTGCGATGGCTCTTGTACGATGTGGTTTTGTTTGCGTGCGTGTCCCCCTTCACTACCTTGGCTCCCATACTCCTCCATCTCCGCCTCGTACGACACGGGCGGACCTGGCGATGCAGTGGGTTTGCTCCGTAATTTTTAGTGATTCCATGTTCCCTGTTGCAGTCCCTCCGGGACATGGGTTCCGGTCGCCGGCCGGTGGGCGAGAGGGCCGAAACAAGAAGAGTAGGGCAGGGCACGAAATGCGATGTGCTCCCCTCAGCCCAAGGGCAAAAGCCACGCGGCGGAAGACTGGGTTTCCGTGTGATGATACTGGGGACAACTGGGGACACGAGATTGAAGCCCACCACGAGCTTATTGCTCGGTCATATGGTTGGGCTGAAATGGGAAGCCATTCAGCTTGTTTGCTGCCAGGGTTCAGTATTCCGGAGAATTGCCAATCAATAACGTTTGTTTGCGTGGCGCAGATGTCTATGATACAAGCTGTTTTCGGGCACAAATCGGAGTTTTACGTCAAATGCAACCCATCAAAAGGCACCTCGTGCCTGGTGCGGACGCTCGCAGGCAACTAGCCAGCTGGAGTCTGACTTCGAACAGTAGAGTCAGTCAATTGATTCGTTCGTTGTCGGTCCCACAGCCCCTTTTTGTTTGCGGGAAGATCGATGCTGGCGAAGGCGACAGGTTCATGCGAGCACGGACACACCTTGAAGCCAGGAACCACCATCCTTCTGCCTCGTTGCGGATTTGCGCGTGGATCCTGCTCCACCACCTTTTGCTTACCGTGGCTCTGTAAGAGTGATCGCTTGATTGACGGCTTGTTAGACATTGAGAGGCGGTCCTGTTTTTCCTCCCCACTGATTTCTGAGCATTGTTACCTGGTGTCCAATCGATATTCTCAATCGAGTCGTTCAAAAAATAGGCGAGTCGACGACTGCCAGAAGCATGCTGAGTCAGGGAGACCCGAAAGCCCGGTTTTGTGCTGCTTAATGTCCCGATGTGACCGCCTATGGGCTGAGTCGGAAAGCCAGTACGCTGGCACCAAGGTCTTGGCTGCAGCATGCAATCTATTCTGATTCAAGTACTGTTTTCGTGACGGCGTTTGATGTTTGTGTTACCCCAAAGCTCGTCGATGAGTGTTTGGGGGCCAAGCCCTGGGTGCTTGATGTGCTGTACTTTGTTCGAGCTTGGAACGGGAAATGTTGGTCCCGGGCTAGAATCGAGAGAAAGTTCAAGCGAACGGAGGTGGCTTCCTTTTGTATGCTACTGCGACGTTGGAGTGGGCATTAAGGTTTTGACGGACATTCTAACAGTATGGTGGCTCCGAAATGGGTATGCCTGGTCTTTGCTTGTGACATTCCCCCGGGCACTGCGTTTCTGCCTCAATAAAACAAGACGAGAAGCTATAACGCATTCCTGCTATCAACGGAACTGGACCGAAGATCACAAGAGAAGCGAACCGCGCTGTTGGAGTTTCACAGATGTTGCATGCTCAAATGCTATCGAAAAGATCTTTCTCGCTCGCATCTGATGTAACATGATCGTAAGCAACAACAGTCGAGTTTAATTTCTCTCCTCGGCAAGGCAAGGGTCCAAGTCACTGTTCATTTCGCCCCCAAGGGCTCGCTCAGTATCCAGGCCTCTTAGGAGGGAAGAGAAGACTGGGCCTTGACAGGAATGACTTTGCCCCTTCTATGCACGCATGTCAATAGCTCTGCCAGTCATTTTCATGAAAGCTTGGTCCTCTCTCTCTTTCCAGCCTGTTATCAGAGTCTGACGGAGTTGTTCTCGGAGGTGGCTCAAGGCATCGTGGTGTCGCCCACACTGACGCTGTTGCAATTCAGAAGTGCAAAAAGGCGTAGGTTAAGTCCGTTTTACACAACATCGTCTTGAAAACATCGTCCTGGTCTTTTCATCCTTGTTCATTTGTTCATTTGTCCTGTGAATCGCTTCTTAGTTGTTGTCGCCAATGAACAAACTTTCCTCATCAGGATGTTGATCGTGCTGGGTTGTTTCCTTCAGAGGTGTCAACGACGCCGAGTTCCTCTGGACTCATATAACCACAGTTGCCAACAGTTAACTGGAACTCAGAATCAATAGGTTGATAACTAACCCTTGTAAGCCCCGAGATGGATGTAGGTGGAGTGGATTAAGGGATGCCGTCTGTTACACCAGTTCACATGGCTTACCAACGTTCTCTGACTTCTGCAGACAAAAGCGCAACGTATCTTCAACCTTCTGCGGGACTCTCTACTTTGCTTGTGAGTTATGACGTAACAGAGGTGGATGCTTTAAGATGGGTTGAATTGTATTTCTTGAAGGTGAATCTGTCCGCAGAAGAAGTCTGCATCGTTTGAAGAGCTGATGCGACCTAGCCATGCCTAATACATAGTTGAGGCCTCTTCATCTTCCCCATCATCTTTCAACATGAGGTAACAAAAGAACTAGGACTTCAGACTCTTAATTTGGTCGCTGTGTACCGGCTGTGGGGTCAAAACTCCGCAAGGTGATAACCTTCCCAGAGAGACATCCAATAACGATGGTAGCTCCTTGTATAGCTGAGCATAAAGGGCGATATTCAACCGGCAACCACAGCAAGTTTCGTTGATCCCATGTAATCCAGCATTTATCCCGACTGATACCGATTCTGCTCAGGCGATGGGTTTTACGGCTGGTACTTGACAATTGGGATGTTGCGTCAGAGAGTACGTCTTCAATAGCTTTAGTGGCGACATTGGTGATCAGATGAGTACTGTTAGGCTTGAACGACGCCCACGTTCGAGTTTTGTCTGCTTGCATGTGATTGCTTGCGTCGGCGCGTGACGTCCTAGCCGTCTCATCATGTGATGCTGAAGCTACTAGAGCGGCATCATGGGAGAAGGCGATCAGGTTGATCCAAATACCGTAACCCTCAAGTTCTTGTATACATTCGCCTGTGCTGGACTGCCAGATTCGAAGTGTCTTGCCGTGGGAAGCTGATGCTACTAACGCCGAGTCATGTGAGAAGGATACCGAGCAAACCCGGTCCCAATGTCCTGTAAGCTTTCGGAAACACTAGCCTGTATTGACGCGCCAGATCCGCACTGTTTTGTCGTTGACGACGATGCTATAAAAGTCGAGTCGTGGGAGAAGGAGATTGAGCTAATCCAGTCGCTGTGGCCCTCAAGCTCTTGTAAACACTCGCCTGTTTTGACACGCCAAACTCGAGCTGTATGATCGTGTGAAGCCGACGCTATAAGAGTAGAGTCGTGTGAGAAGGCCACAGAGTTAACCCAACCGCTGTGGCCTACAAGCTCCTGCACACACTTGCCCTTATCGACGTTCCAGATCCGTGCTGTTTTATCGTGTGACGATAATGCCATTAGGACCGAATCATGTGAAAAGGTGACTGAGCAAACCCAATCGCTGTGTCCCTCAAGCTCTTGCAAGCACTCACCAGTTTGGGCGCACCAGATCCGGACAATCTTGTCGTGCGACGCCGATGCTACTAGAGTTAAATTGTGGGAGAAGGACTGAGCTAACCAAATCGTTGTGGCTTTTGGGTTGTTGTACATGCTTATCGGTATTTGTTTGCCAGAGCTGGACAGTCTTGTCGCCTGATGCTGAAGCTACTAGGGTCGAGTTGTCTGAAAAGGTAACCGAGCTGGCTCAATCGCCATGTCCTCTTAGTTCCTGCAAACACTCGCCAGTGTTAACATGCCAGAGCCGAACTACCTTATCGCCAGATGCTGACGCTATTAGCGCAGAGTCGTGGGAGAAGGTGACAGAGCTAATCCAATCACGGTGGCCTGTAAGTATTTTAACACATTTGCCTGTATCAATGTGCCAGATCCAGACCGTCCTATCATGTGATGATGACGCTAACAGGACAGAGTCGTGTGAGATGGCAACTGCGCTGACTGATCTACTATGATCTTCAAGCTTATGTATACACTCGCCAGTGTTGACACGCCAGACACGGACCGTGGTATCGTATGACGATGAAACTATCAAGGCTGAGTTGTGTGGGAACCTGACTGATGTGATTGAGCTACTATGCCCTGCAAACAATTTAATATAATTGCCTGTATCTGAGTGCCATATCCGGATTGTTTTGTCGTATGATGCCGATGCTATCAATGCTGAGTCGTGTGAAAAGGCAACTCAGCCAATCCAATCGGTATGGCTCGTCAGCTCCCGTATGGACTCGCCGGTATCTGTACGCCAGAGCCGAACTGTCTTGTCGCCTGATGCTGATGCTATCAAAGAAGAGTCGTGCGAGAAAGCAACCAAGCTAACCCAGTCGTCATGACCCTTGAGCTCCCGTAAACATTCGCCTGTATTAACACGCCAGACACGGACCGTCTTATCACCTGATGCCGACGCTATTAGTGTAGAGTCATGTGAGAAAGCAACTGAGCAGACCATGCTGGCATGGCCCTCGAGTATCTGCAGGCAATGGTTCCAATCGGGCTCGGTAACCGGAGGGAGTGCTATCCAATCAGGAAGATTGTTCTCAAACATTTGACGTGTTACGCTGTTCTGAGGCGCAAAGGCCAGTATTGAAAAGTATAGCTGGAGGGGTGCAGCGTCGATAATAAACAAGTATGAACGAATGAATCTACTAGCGCCACTAACAAAGTTCTGTAACTTGGTTTTTGCCCTCAGCTGTAATATGTTAGCTAATGTTGCTGCCTAGATAAGGAACACCTACTTTCCAGTTCGAACGTAGACGCTCAAGTACATCCAGACTCTCAGAGGCCTTTCCCATTAGGCTTAGAGCTTCAAGCCAAGGAAGAAAGTCTACAACGAGAAAATCATACACACGACTGAAAAGGTCAAAATCACTTCCTGCCTGATCCGTGCGATGCGTACAGTAAAGACATGCATATTGGACCTCCGGAGGAGGTAAGCGTTGACGGTCTGGGGGTTGACGGTGCTTCGGAGAGCGGCCGGAGCTTGTAAGTCGCAAATATTCTTATACAAGCACTTGGCCATGACCTGCAGGCATCTTGTGGCGAGCTGGTGTTGAGTCTTTTTCTCGTCGACCCAGAATGGGTTTAAGTCTTGCTGTTGAGGATCTACTAGATAGTCGCGGAAGGAGAGATGAAGCAGTCTTACTGGTGATGTCGAAAATTCAGGGACGCTTAAAACAGACTGAAGCATGTCGAGCCTATCGTCAACAATGTGTTTAGGAACATCTAAAAGTTGACCTAGAGCAGTACTTGAGAGAGAATTTGAGAGCATGACAATAGGACCAACAATGCAGCGAAATTACTTAATTACCTTGTCCCTCTCCAAGGGGGAAAGGCCAATGAGCAGCTGATCCAGGGCTGGTCGATATGTCAAGCTGAACTTTGATGCCAAATCGGTTACTCATGACTGTGACTTGCTTGCATAATCTAAGACCTGGCGTAGTTGCTGATCTGAATTGCCACACCTACGTTGGCTGAAGAAGCGGGACGAGGTAGCTGCAAAAATGAACAGCGGTACTGCCACCTTTACTAGGGTATAGATGTTGGTTTGACCAGCCCAGGTTGAATGTAGCTGCCGGTCTTCTGACATATCACTGTTCCATTCTTCCCTAATTCGTGCCAGTTCGTAATGTAGAAACTCTGATATATCATGTTTCACAACAGACTCAGGTATTTCATGTAGAACCATCTTGTTATAGGTGCCTTTTACTGCGTTAAAGCCTAGTCTAACTGATAGTTTTGGCCTGCTAGTAAGTAACACCTTAAGTTGGAGAGATCGGAGTTCTTTTGCCTGGCAGAAAAGATCGATGACGAGTTTAATGTCGTCTTCTTGCTCGCATTCATCCAGAGCATCAATAATGACAATAGCAGTAGCAATAGAGGCATTGACAGGAATATTTCTCTGAATTTTCGACATAGGTGCAATGATAAGTTTTTCGAATTGCTCTCGTATTGCCTTGTTATATATTGTCGGATCAGTATCGATGACGTCTTTGACGTGAGAAGCTACTATCGGAAGATGCCTCACCAGCTGTGCGGCTGTTGTAGGGAAGAACTTAAATACGTGGCTCCGATCAGACTCGCCCCTTTTGAAGAAGATGCTAGCGTCAAGTTTATTTGTCTCAGCCAGAAGCTTGGCAACAGTCCGAGAAATGGTTGATTTGCCTGTACCGGCCATTCCATTGGGCCAAAAGACTGCTTTGGCTTTAGGATCGTCAACCCATTCGATCACTTCCCTCAAGAGCTCTACGCATGTTGTTAGCAAGCAGGTTGGGTTATGTTCTTCTTCGTGGGAGTCAAATGAAGCTCCTTGAGAGGTCTGCAACTTGTCTAGTACAGCCATCTGTTCGAGGTTGAGGAGAATTGATCTGAAGTGTAGTCAATTCCATTAGCCTGAGACACAGCATCCAAGGTGGCCTGGACTACGTACGTCTGGTCGATCTGCAGACATGTCGAGATGGTCTGCGTACAACGAGCTATTTCTTATATGACTTTTTCAACATCTTTGTTCTGGAAGGGCCACATCAAAGCTCGAATCCCCAGCCGGCGCATGGCTTTGTGACTGCGAGTGCTGGGAGGTCTGAGTTCGGCACCAAGCTCTTCGAGTCGCGACACGGCTCCTTCGATAGCCCGAAGAAGCTGATGGGAAGCCCCGAGTTTGGCGCCATGAGGGCTTTTGAGCAGATTTGAGCCCCTCTCGGCAATGTCTTTGAGGGAATTCGTCTCCGCTTCAACTCGCATGATTTCACTCCTCGTATTCTTGACGTCTTTTGAATACCGGAGACATGACGAAGCAATCTTCGCGGATAGTTCAACGACCGCGAGAATGTTGGCCGTAAGACCAAGTGCCTCAAGCGCCATGGGCAGGAATCCACACGCCGTTGTTCGTTGCACGTAGAAGGCGAACAAGATGGGAAGCAAACGTTCAAGGGAATGGTTGCGGGGTATGTCTCGATTTGGCTTGACTTCCTTCTATAATGCAGCCGAACTCCTTATCAATAGCTATTCCGTTCCCTTTCTTTGCCACCTGCCCCTAATCCGGACATCCGGACCCCCTTGTTGTTCCCCTCACGACCCACACGCCGTCCATCGACCAGCTGCCGACCAGCCGGAGGAAGATGATCTCATGAAAAACACGCTATTTTCAACGCCCACCATCTCACAGGAGGGAGCAAACGCCATGATGTCAGACTCTACTTGATATACTGTTGCGACCACGGTTGGTGGGTAATATGCATTGGAAATTTTTGGTTGAATATTGGAAGTCTAGATATAAGAACTACGTAGGGTGAGCATACGTACAAACCCCTGGTGAGGGGGATGAGCTATAAATTTGGCGTGTGCATGTTAAATCACAGAAATACCCACCAGTCCTCATGTTTAATCCAACGATCGTGACACTGGTATAAAGAGTTGCAACACTGGTTACAACATCGGAAACACCCGGACAAGTAACAAGGGCAAAAGCAAGCACTAAGCCTGCGTCGCATCAACGACAGCCATAAGATACGAGACTATTGTCGCAGGTCTGCAGGCGATCAAGAATCTGTCAGTTTGGTTTGATAGGTAATTGCAATCTCAAATTACAAACAGCTACTGCCAATCAAACCATTTCCACATGTTTGGGCAGATAATAAGTCCGAAACTCAAGCAACACTGCGATGATACATAGTCAAGCCTAAGGAGAAGACATGATTCATCCAAACCCTGGCATCAGAGCATCTACTTGACACATGTGTTCTCTATATCACTAAAATCAAGTCAGAATTATTCCCTAAACATTGAGAAGCCTGTTCTGACCATTACACCACTTCTTAGGCTTGAGTCCATTTGGGATCTGTCTTCGATATTTATCTTATATAAGTGCCGACTTCAGAACAGTTCTCTTGTTTCCGGGTGTTTCTGGGGCATTGTCAACGACAAGGTATGCGCGTGAGCAAAGTCACAGATGCTAGCCGCACTCAGGAAGCTTTAGCAACCTCGTATGAACTAAAATCGAGGTTCTGGGTAAATCGTCACGAACACTGACGGCAAAGTCAACGATGGTTATTCCGAATGATTCCATGAGACCACCGGAAAGATTGCGCTGAGCGATGCTACAAATAGCCCCAATAAGCATCGTCGGTTCCAATTGTATGATAATAGTTATAGCGTTAGCCTCAAGGCAAAGCACTGCTTATTCTACTTCTCAATTGGCTACAGATGTGGCTAGCTACTTGTGCTTCCATCAAACTTGATGGCCAATCAGAGAAGCATGACATTGCTCTGGATTTAGAGTTGTTTGAGACTAATTAAATAAAAAACAGTATAGGGAGGAATGAGCCAAAAACAAAGAAAGCCTGGACAAATACCAATGAAGGTGCTCTGATAGAAAAAACACTGATCAGTGGGAGGCTTGAACTCCCGGCCTTGGCATTACGCAACATTTCAGGTGAAATATTAGTACCACGCTCTAACCAACTGAGCTAACCGACCTGTGGTTACTGACGATTGCAATCATGTTTAATTATCACTACCCCACAATGCTGCACCTAGCCCACCCACAAGAAGGTAACATCTTGGTAGAGTCAAACAAGAGATGCTTTGTTCAAGACGATACTCTGCACCTCGAAAGAGCAGTTGCGACAATGCTCAATTCTCACACTGCCTTCTCTCAAATGACATTGATCTGGGTATCATACAGCGCCGACCTAATCCTGCGAGGGCATTTCGCTCCACGAGAATTCTGGTCGCATCCACTCGAAAGTGTCCAAAAGATCAAAGTTAAAATCTAGCTGTGCAGGAAAGTCCCATTCCGTTCCATCCACTGCAGGATTGCTGCGGGGCCCCATGTTGAGCGCCTCGTCGAGCACTCGTTGCACAATGTTTCTACAACCGAGGCAGATGTTCCCGTTGACTTCTTGTGGGCCGACCCATTTCAAAAAGCCCACAAGGAGACTCAACACCTGTACGATGCTGGATCTGGTTATAGGGTTTCCTTTACTGTCGGTGACTGCAACGCCGGTATTGTTGGTGGTCACCGCTGGTTGTAGGAGTTCCAGACACAGGATACCGCCGCCTGGAGCTGCATATGCCATTACCTAGTTTTACACGTCAGAACTAGTACTGCCCCAAAAAAGCGAGCTCTCTTGGAGAAAATCGCAAGAATCCTGAGGTCAACTCACCAGCCATTGGAAGTCTTCATGGAAGCCGAGTCCGTCCATGTTCGTCCAGAATAACAAGGTGGCCGATGTCAACTCATAGCTGACCGCCAGTAGTTCCCGCCTGTTAGAGCAATCTAACCGATTGAGGAGCCGCTCAATGAAAAACAAGTTTTGGAGATGCTCCAGTAGCATGAGGAGCCTGATGTAAAGGATCTGACCGCTGATTTTAGGGTTCCTTATGTCCGATTCATCGAACTGCATAATGATTGGCAACTCAGCAGCGGCTTTGAGTTCCTTGACCTTGAGGGCACTATCGACGGCTGGTTCAGCGCTCACAGGTTCGAGTTTAGAAGATGGCTGTTTCTTACCGTACGGCATCACCCGAGATTGATGATTCGGCTCCCAGTGCAACCTCAAAGATCTCGTCCCGAATTTGCATGAATCGATACCGGGCACGCCACATTGTAACCGAGTACAGAGCTCCGTCCGGGTTCCAGCCCTGTGCATCGAGGGAGCTCGTGGCCTTGGCAGTTGTCTTCTCATCTCCCGCCAAGACCTCATCGCTGATGTCCAGCGGTAAAGGCGTCAGGACATAGCGACGACTCAACGCAGGTGGTCTCCCGGTGATTGCAGCAACCACTTTGTCGATGCAAAATACCTTGAGAAGCAAACGTCTTCGGAGTTCTGATGCCAACGTCGGTTTGTAAGGTTTCTTGGTCTGTTCGACATGTAAGCCCAGAAAAGTGAGCAATGACACGGTTTCGCCGTTGGACATCCAAGTTGAGAGACCTGGTTGAGGATATTAGAGCTGACTTTTGGTATGGATTGGACAGAAAGTAGCACGGCAAAGCCATAATAAACTCACTGGTGTCTCCGTCAACTACAGACTCAATAATGGTTCGTCTGAGGTAAAGGTAGAGCAATATGCTATTTCCCACCTCAGTAGCCTGTCTCGCGAGCGAAATGCAATCGAATATGCATTTCCGGAACTTGCTCTTCTGTCCGTACCCCATACGCCCAACTTCTGTGCGAGCGAGCTGCTGTCTTCTTCCCTTCTGCTCCCAATGGATGAAGAGAAGTCCCAGCGTCTCCCAACGCAGGTTATTTCCCATGAATTGCGCCATCCACACTTCTGAGTTAGGTTCGTGCTCGGAGAACGGCCGAGCAGAGTTATAACATAAAAGTCGAGCAAACTCTGACAGTTGCGATTCTTCCCTGACAGCCCCAAGGCAATATCCAAATGTTTCATACAAGGAGTCTAAGGCCTTTTGCGAAATAGGGTGGATGAAGGCGTTGTGGGGATCAGAGTACGGATCGAACAAAGCCCTGCCCTTATGTTCCCTGGGGACTTGTCGTAGAACAAATAGACAAGTCTCTAGTGTTTTCGCATCTTCGGCCAGAGTTGCAGCGTCTTTTTGAACTTGAGAACCTCGACCATTGGCTTCCCCACCTTCACCGGTTCGTAAGTCATGGTTGGACAGGCCATTTCCGACCTCCCTGTATACGTCGCTCCAAGAGGTGAATCCAAGGTGACCGGACAAAGTGTCCTGAACACTTATTTCATTAATTGGCATCCGCAAGTCCGTAGTCTCCTTCTCTTGACTCGTCTCTAACCCTTGATTAACAAGTGTGGATGCAGTTGCGTGGTCATGTTGTTCGGTAGCCGTTTCCGAGTCCGTCACACTGACCGAACGTGACGTCTGTCCCGAGGTTGCACGGGTTCGCATCTGCGCAGGCGTACTCATCGTATACTCACACGGCTCAGCCCGGCGGCGTCTTTTGCAGTTACTGCAGACAGGACGGGCGTGATCGCAGGCGACCTTGCGACGTCGACAGGGGTCACATGCCTGGAGCCGACCATTCTTTCGGTATCGTAACGGTGAAGACACGGGCTCCATGATAGTTAGCGACGACCGTTCAGACGGAAAATGACCAAACCGATTACTTGAAAGGGACAAATTCCGGTATGGAATTTGTAGGTCCTGGTCGCGACCGCTTTCATTGTCGGTGTTGGTCGTCGTCCAGGGTTCGGCAGGGCATGTCAGCAAGCCGAACTTCTTACCGAACTTGTGGCCGGACTTGTGGCCGAAGTTCGGCTTCGGATAAATTCTCCAATTTCTCAGAAAGTGGGTAATCTCGAACGGCAGACCCCCGGGTTGATATTCAAGCCTCCCACCACTGAATGACAAATTTCATTTCCTTTTACGCAATTCTATTTTGCGGGTCTTTGTATGGCGTTTGGCACTCTTCGAAGTTTTAACAAGGTGGGGTGACCTGTCACAACGTCAATTGCGCCTTACGGGGCTGCAGTTCATCATGACTCTGCTGGTGCCCCGACGCCAGACGCCGGCGTCGGGGCGGAGGGAAGCGGAAGAAAGATTCTTTTATGTCATAGAAAGCGTGGGATGGCTGTTTTCGTTGAAGTAGAAACGTGTCCAACGATTAATTAGTGTATGCTCGACTTTCTCAATCCATGGTCAAGAATTCGCCTGTCTCCATGCTGTTTTGCTTGTCAATTCCTCCATGAACTTGGATCGAGTAGCAACTACTCCGCCATTATGTCTGTCACCGCCGCTACTCAGCAAATGCCTCCGGTCTCGGAATCCGCTCTAGAGCAGCCGAAAGAGAGCGTTACTGCCGCCACTGTCATTGTGGCTCAGAATGCTAAAGTCACGACGCATTCTCCCGACGGTGGCCGTGTGGCTTGGCTGCAAGTCGCGGGCTCATTCTTTTTGTTCCTCAATTCGTGGTTAGTACCCCTTCCATGACTGCTCAGTCAGCCTAATATTTTGCGACGTGAAAGACAAAAGTCGCTGACTTCTTGTGCAGGGGAATAATTAGTTCCTACGGAGTGTTCCAAACCTACTACCAGGCGAACATGAAAGGCACATCTGTCGACGCCATCGCCTGGATTGGTTCCATTCAGTCATGCCTTCTCCTCTTCATTGGCTTTCTTGTCGGCCCGCTTTACGATGCAGGGTACTTCCGGAGCCTAACATTGACTGGTATTCTCCTCGTATTCCTCGGCATGTCCATGACAAGCATCGCAACGCAGTACTGGCAAACGTTGCTTGCTCAGGCTTTCTGCGTCGGTCTTGGCGCTGGCTGCATCTACATACCGTCGGTAGCAATCATCCCCCAGTACTTCAACAGGCGTCGTGCCCTGGCCACCGGTATTGTCGCAACGGGCAGCAGCTTCGGTGGCGTCATCTATCCGCTAGTCATACAAAGTCTTCTCCCGCGAGTGGGCTTCCCCTGGGCGACGCGGGTTGTTGCTTTCATCTCACTCGCCACAAACGCCTTCTCATTTGCTGTGCTCAGACAACGGAGCGAACCTCATCCTGAGAAGCGTCGCCGTGCCATGCTAGACCTTTCCGCATACCGCAATATCTCCTTCGTTGTCTTCTCCGCTTCCATGTTTTTCAACTTCTTCACATATATGGCACCCATATACTACCTGCAACAATATTCTCTTACCCATGGATTGCCCAATCGAGGTTCGTCGGGGCTGGCATATTATCTCGTCGCAATATTGAATGCGGGCTCTATCCTCGGTCGGGTCTTCCCAGCGTGGCTTGCAGGCCGTTACGGGCCAATCAATGTTCTTCTTGGTGTATCCGTCTGCATCGCCATGGTCGCGATGTGCTGGCTTACCGTCCACACTGGTGCCGGAAGTGTGGCGTTTGCCCTCGCCTACGGGTTTGCATCTGGTGGTCTCGTCTCCCTTCCGCCTACTGTCGTCTCGACTCTAGTGCCTGACCTCCGCCTGCATGGAACGTGGCTGGGCATGTTGTCAACGACGAATGCATTTGGCTCGCTGGCCGGCCCGCCCATTGCGGGAGCTTTGCTTGAGGCTACTGGCAGTTACTTGGGTGTCCAACTATTGTCAGGTCTCGGGATGACTGCAATGGCAATCTTGGTCCTCATATTAAGGATAACCAGGATAGGAAAAGGTCGGACTTGGACCGTATAAAGATGAAGGGCGAAGGATTTCGATGTGGATGGTTGTCAGGGCACGTCAACATTCATACACAGTAATAACTACGCGTCTAGATAGTCGAAATACACCGAACTCGAATCTAAGCGCTGTCCCCAAAATTCGGTTTGGGAGTCCTGAAACCTTTATTCGTCATGAAAGTTGTCTATGTCTATTATTATCTGTCTACATTGAACCGGGCAATGCTCCGTTTGTATGCATTCCTCATTATCAAGTCTCAAGTTGGGCTTCTTCAGCTCTCCCCTCGTTCCTTTTCGCGTCCCTCCGGTGCCGCAATTCTCTCGCGAGAAATGTCAAGGCGATGCCGAAGCCCAGTCCTGCAAGTCCGACGCCCATATATAACGCGCCCCTAAACCCCCTAAATTGGTCTTCTTTCGTCTCGCCGCCGTTGTTAACTTGCACCTCCACGGTACCAGCGAAACCAACGCCGAGTGCAATGCCGTAATTGACAACGGTGTTAACTAAACTAGCTCCGATACCCTGATGCTCCTTTTTGACAGCGTTTGACAAGATTAAAGTCGCGGCAGGGAAGCTCATATCCATGCCAAAGGGCATGACAATCATTGATACAAAGATCTGCGCCCAATAGATCTGATTTTCAGGGGCCGTAGCCGTAAGGATGATACCGGTGGTGAACGCAGCGAGCGCCATGGTCATGACGATAGGAGGACGGACCTTCAAAGGACCCAGGAGCTTCCCGGTGATGACGGCCGCTAAACCACCCGTTACCACAACGGGCGCAAACCAAGCACATGTGAGCAGGGGCGAGAGCGTTCGGATCTCTTGGAGAATTTGGACGAGATAGAGAGTCCATATGCCGAACGTCGCCCATCCACAGACCACAGCTCCGAGAACAAAGCCAACATCAGCGTTGACGACGTCAAAAGGAAGAAGCGGCATAGGCGCAAACTTGAACTCTATAGCGGCGAAGGCGCCGAAGAGGATGAGCCCGAGGATCAGCGGGACGAGAACCACGGGCGTCTTCCACCCATCGATCGGGGCCTGGTTCCAAGCAAAGTTGAACAGCACCAGCGCCACGATTCCCGTCACCGCGCCGGGAATGTCAAGCTCGACGCACATGGCCTTGAATCCCTTCGGGGGCGGTAATTTGGTAGGAGGTTCGGGAATGATGAACCAACCCGCAACAGCTAGGATCGCAAGCCAAATCGACAGCGCCCACATCGCCCATGGCCACCACGCCAACTCCAACGTCAATGCAATTGCAGCGCCCACGATTCCGCCCATGGGCGCGACAGCGCCGAAGAAAGAGAAGACCATGGCCTTGCGATGGCCCGGGGGGTAGGCGGCGCCGAAGAGGGCGAGCGCGTTGGGGAGACAGATAGCCGGGCCGATGCCCTGCAGGACGCGCGAGAAGACGGCGAGGGTAAAGTTGGAGTAGACACTAAGGCCGGCGATGAGGGACCAGATGGAGAACCAGGCGAAACCGATAATGAGCATGCGCTTGTAGCCAAAGGCATCACCGAGGCGGCCCGAAAAGAGGATGAAGGTGCCGATGGTCAGGGAGTAGCCGGCGACGAGCCAGGCGAGGCGCGCCGGATCCTCTACGTGAAAAGAGCTGCCGATTATGTGAAGCATCATGAGGGTCTCAATGTATGCAGCCTCTGGCAGGAGGAGTTAGCTGCGCTGTATGTTGTGCATGGCGATGCCTTTTGGAAAGAGATGGTGGTGTAACTCACGGGTACAAAATTGCGCCATGCAGCAAATGATGACGAACAAAGTTTCGCGGGGGAGGGACATGGTCTCAGAGAGCCATACGGAAGGGGCATTTGACTGCTGCGGCGCGAGATTGAGGCCATTACCGTCGCTCGAGTCGTCTTCGTTGGATCGATCGTGCGTTATACTGGAGTCGTCAAGGATTTGTTTTTCATCGTTGCGCATGTTAACGTCGGGAGACGCTGTCGCTGTCCTGTCTTCCGACAACGTGTCGTTGCTCTTCCGAGCAGGTTGCTTCTCTGATTCCGATGGAGAGGCCATTTTAAATAAAGGACTCCGGCCTGTTACGTTTACTCAGACAGCCTTGAGATCGCAGACAGACCAGGGACCGTCATGGGAAGATGTCGGCAGGCGATGACCGAGTTAAAGTAAAGAACGATCTACCCGTCGGTGACGCCAAACGGCAGAGCAAAGCGGGAACGCCCCGAAAGAACTAAGGGTGAGGGATCCATCTGTAATCTACAAGCATCACCATTCCCTGTCCGGGAATGGAGTTAGGAGAACGGGACTAGGGAACGAAAGAAGATCCCCGAACCGGTGCGACATGATGGGCCACAAGAGCACCAGCCTTCGGAATTACACGTGGAATTCCGGTGGGCGGGGTGGCTCGGGACCACATTCTAGCGGCACGAGGGGGCACGCTTGACCTCGATTTGTAAGGGTCGATTTTTACGAGCAAGGGTTGCTAAATACGTGTCTCGTTTAGATGGGTGTTTTTTCCCTAGCCTGATGACAGTTGGCTGCTCTTTGGTGCATTGTTTTAGAGTGTTACTCACGTATCGCGCGGGACACGAGTCGGCAGTCAAGCTGTGTGGCATCCATCCACCGGTCAGTGCATTTCTCGAACAGCCCTTTTGTGGATCCCATCAGGGGGTTTTTCCTTGTTTGGGGTTGCAGCGAATAGCATGTACTATAGTATCTTATCAGATCTAGTTCCATTGACTCGGTGCATCATCCAAAGGTACGACGAATGGCGTCCGATGTGGTACATTGAACTTTCAGCGACATGAGACGAACAGGTCTTCCCCTCTATATTCGAGAAGGCCCAGAGAGACATTCAGTTTTGTCTATGGTTGCATCTGACATGGTCGAGTTCTGGAACCTGAAGGAAGAAAGACTAAGACACGAGAGCCCAGCACCATGGCCAGACAGACCATCGGCGCATCCGCTCATCCGGGAACAGCAGCTGTGGACCCTCCAAATAAAGAACATGGTCACGAGGTCGCTCGAGTCCTCGTTAAGCTGGCAAGCATGCCAGCAAACTTGCATTACCTTTTCGGACAGTTGGCAGAGCTTAAGTTGCCCAAAATGCACAAGGCTGGAGACAGAAAGTCGGGCCAGGTTGGTCTAGTGCGAAGGCGCAAGACTCGTGGCGTCTGGTTTCCCCGCGCGCGCTCGGGTCGACGCCATCAAGAAGAAGCCTAGACCCAAATTAAGACATACTTGACACTTGACAATGAAAAGTTTGACAGGGCGGACGGCACTTTCGACCCTGGGCTTACCGCTCATCATCCTTTCAAAAAAGGTCAGGCTTTTGGTCAGTGGACTGCTAATCACGAAGTGGTGGTAATATGAAAGTCGAGGAGATTAGTAATTCGTTGGTTATATTGTAGCGTAGATGAGACGAGTAAGTAAACTCTTGTTACTGCCGCTCCTCTTGCATTATTGCCAATCATCCATTCCGTAGACTTGGAATGGTTGATTAGTTGGATTTTGTTTTAGTTGAAGAGCTTCACCTAGACCAAAGCAGCACTCTGACGACCCGGCCGACTCAATGTATCGAGAAAGAACCTCGGCCCAAAAACTCCCTACGCCTTGAAGTCGGATTAGCCCCGCGACCCTCCAACAGTCGTATTCCAGTCCCTTAACAGTCTTCAAGTGACTCGTATTATGTTTGCTGCCAAACCTTCCCTTTAAGATAGTGGATTAGCCGCCATATGGGCAAGAGGACTAAACTAAGAAGAGAGATCGTGGTTCCCAGGTACCCGTCAAGGTTGAGATCCTGCAAAACAGAGATGCGTGTTAGTGAACTTGCAATTCTCGGGAATCTGAACAAGAGGTAGGTCTCGAAGTACAACACGATTGATAGCAGCTGACCTTGAGTAGGTCGGCAGCTGTGAAAGATCAAGAACGACTTCAAACTGAGATGTGCAAATAATCGGTGCGGTGGATGAACGGTTCGCAGACTGCCCGAGCTTTTTGCGGATAGAATCAATGTGATCCGGGTTCAAACAAGATTCAAAGGCTTCCATAGCAGGGTCGCCCAGGCGAATTTGGTATCCCTCCCGCTTCGAGTCGGCCAACTCCTTCTCATCAGGGTGAAGTTAACGCCGTTGTTCAAGAGACCATGGCAAGAAGGGAACCACTCAGGCCGCCACCGACAATGATAACTTTGAAAGGTTCCATTACAATGAAGCGGTGGGTAAGACTTGCTGATAGACTTTCGTGATATGCGGAGTTGGTTTGCAGGCATTCTAGGCATGCCTGGATCGTGTGGAAATATTGTTTAATTTGAAGTGCCTTGCAACTTGATCTATGGTGTCAACTATGGGGGTAAGCCATATATGTCAAGAAAGACTCTAATGCATTTGAGGTTTCACTTTGTCTGATGCTCTGCTTCGTCTAGAACAATTAATGTATAAGTTTAGCATCCTATAGGCGGAGGGAAGAGTCACCGCGCGCTGAGGGCTTCGCCCCCGCACCCCCGCCCCCGTCGGAGAAAGTATCGATTTCGTGGAGCCGACTTTGCCCGCCTCCATGGCATCGGCTCCTCAAAGCCTGGGCCGCAAAGCGTACTTTCGGGGGTTAATACAGCCCGAGGCCGCATCCAGTCCGGTAGATTGTAGGCATCATGGTAGGTCGCATGCGCTGCCGGTTTGTCTGAATGCAAAGTATCAATATAAAAAAGAGCATTGCTCTACGCTCCTCTCGATTCTTTACGCCGCTGTCTTATTAATGCTCAAGGCGCCTATCTAGTCGATGTTCAGATCAAAGAAGTCATGGGCATTTCTAAGAATTTCCTCGAGTTGGGAACTAGCTTCCGGCACAGTCGCTGGGCCATCATTGAATATCACTGGTCTCCCACCACAGTATTGTGTGTCGTTATTACCCTGTATATACTTTACAGGGGATTCATCTTTAATCTCGGATTATACCGCCGGTACCTCCACCCCCTAAGCAAATTTCCTGGTCACCCTGAAGCATGCGTTTCCACCGCTTGGGCTTATCGCGAAGCTGTCAAGGGCTTTCCCGAAGAGGCCTTTGAAATCTTGCACAAGCAATACAGTAGGCTAAATCAGAACTTCAGTTTCCTGCTCTCCCTTGGGTCTTCCTTTTTGATATCGTTCTGGACTTGACGACAGCTAACAGCTGTGCCACATACCTCAGACACGAAGGCCCTCCGAGTCGGCCCCAACGAGCTACACATTTCTGACGTTGAGCTTTATAATGTCATTTACAGACAGGTCGACCCCTTTCCAAAATACGAGCCATTTTACATGTCGTTCAACGCGCCTCACACACTTTTCTTCGAGACAAACACAGTCAAGCATAAAGAGCGCAGGCGCATCTTGAGCCCGCTATTCTCTCGTGCTGAAATCCTCAAGCTGGAGCCCCTCATCCTGGAAAAATTGTCTCTGTTAGATCGCAAGATCGAGAAGTTGTGTCAAAAAAAGGAGATCAATGTTTACGATGCTATGAGGTACGTCTCAACGTGGCTACACAAGTGATTAGGCCTTCATACTTGAGCAGTTACTTTTGTCCCGCGTCAGAATCAAGGCTAACCGCTTTGTCTTTACGGTTCAATAGGCTGTTGACAACAGAAATCATCATGCAATTCGCCTTCTCGCAGCCGGCCGGAGTGATTGACGAACACGAGGATGATTTCAATTCCGAGTTTACCGACACCGTGTCCACTGCCAGCCACTCCGTGTACCTCATGTATGAGAAACCATGGATTAGGCACTTTGGAAGCGTCGTGCCCACCCGCGTTCTGTGTGTTCTCCAGCCTGCACTCGGCAACATCATGAAATTGCTCGGGGTAAGCATGCGCCTCCCAGTTTTTCCCTATTCCATGTGTTTTGCCACGATCTGTAACGTTAACCTCGTTTACTTTCTTGAATACAGTTCGCTCTCGGGGCTTTGCGATGCTGGCAGGAAGACCAGGGTAACCGCAAAGAGTCGTCGCATCCTATCGTATTTGACCGTCTTCATTCTTTGACCGATACAGAAAAGATAAGCGAGGGCGCCGACCTTCTTGCGGCTGGCTCTGATACAACTGCTGCAACAGTCGCCACCGCCGTTATGCAGATTCTCTTAAACCCGGAAATAGAGAGAAAGCTAGTAAACAGCCTGAATGCCGCCATTTCTTCGGCTGATAATCTATCCCGACTCCTCGACCTGGAGAAGATTGAATATCTGGTGTGTAGGCCTAGCTGAGGTTCACAACAATAACCATGATCCAGGTGATTGCTGACTTGTATCTTCCTCAAGACTGCCTGTGTAAAAGAATCCCTTCGATTCACAACCGCAGCGCCATGTTGTTTGCCTCGAGTAGTGCCGGCCGATGGAGAGCCTTTTGTTGTTGACGGATACGTTGTTCCACCTGGTGTGAGTGAAAGTCAATATACCTCAACTGGCCAACCCCGAAGCGCTTGTTGTATCAGATGCAACACATAGAACACCTTACGACGTAACTTACTTGCCCGCTGACACCGGGTCGTTGCTTACAGACGATTGTATCCATGTCCCCACACACAGTGCACACCAACGTTGGCGTCTGGGGGCCTACTGCTCGCTCCTTCAACCCCGACCGTTGGCTTGTTCCAAATGCCAAGACTCTTGAACAGTATCATGTTCCCTTTTCCAAGGGATACAGAATGTGCATTGGTCAAAAGTAAGTTGCAGAAAATCCAAGCTCACGACCTCCATGACTCTGCTCTGGAATTTTGCACGTTTTGATATAGTACGCTGATTGCGATAACATATTTGCAGTCTAGCTACAGCTAAGGGAATCACCATCTTCCACGAAACTTGGCTGGAGAAACCCACTTTGATGAAGCGATACCTAGAGCTTGATGACGTCGAAGAAATTGACTACATATTGATATCTCACGCCCACTTTGATCAGTGAATTACATTTTGTTGCTCTCCTACCCGTACTGCATTTGACTAACGCTTCTTTTGTGATCAAGCCTACCAGGTGCTGATCGACTAGCTCTCAAAACCGGCGCGATAGTCATTGTCAATTGCGAGGCCATTAATCTGCTTCGACGAGCCGGCGTCCCAGAGTCACAACTTCTCCCCGTCTCAGGCGGCGAGCGCGTTCCGATCTTTACGCGCGCCAATCGCGAGCAAGCAGCAGCTGGTTCTTGTGATCTCATGCACGGTCCTCCTGGGTCACCGGCCAGGCCGCATCCGAAATTGGGCTCTTTCGCCGTCCATGTGTGGCCTGCTTTACATTGCCTTTTGCCCGGGTCAAGCCCGAAAGATGTGCCTCCCATGTTTGACACGGGTAAAGTCTACTCGGGGACAGCGACGGAGTATGATTGCACTGTCGACATCACGAACAACATGACCTGGGGGTTACTACGGCTTCACGAAATCATCTCTGCGGATAAGATGGATGATAAGTTGCGAGCGGTCGTAGACTTTATGAAAGATCGCGAACGAAATGTTATGAGCGGTTGCGACGGCGGTCAGCTGATGTTCAACGTGGTAATCGGTGACAAGGCTCTGCTCTTCAACTCGCATCTGGGAGCGTACGAAGGTATCATGCGGATGATTGAACCGCGACCGCAGGTGGTTGTTCTGGGCATTGCCGGAAGGGCGAACCACAACGGTCGGCCATTCGAAGGCTCCGCAGCACAGTTCGCGGTAAAACAGCTCCAGTGGCTTGAGGAGCCCAGCAAGGTCATATGGTGCTTACACGATGAGAGGTACGTGATTATGAACACTGTTTGGTTCCCCTTTCGGGATGCACTCTTACTGACGCTTGGTCAAACAGCCTTATCCCACCGTTTTCTGTTGATACGGCTCCGGCAGCACAGCTTGTGAAGCAAGAGACGAAAGTGGAAGTCGTAGAACTGCCGTATGCTCAGCCATATATAATTTTTTGAGATCATGCTCGAGGTGAAAATGGACAAAGATGACAAGATTCATCTGTTAGTTAGGTACCCATCATGGGCTAAACTGCTTTGGACATCTGGTTGGTGATAGGAGAGGGCCGGGTCGGAAATCTTCTCAGTCAACTATAGGTTTCTTATCCAGCAACATCCAATCAAACTTTGATTAGAAACAACAAAACGGTAATCAGCACAAAAGCTGAACTCTTGCATCCATATCTCAGTCTACAATCTAAAATATGAGTTTTCCTCCCGCACGCTCCACTCGCAGAGTTCGAGAGCTGTTGTTGGACAAGATTTATTAGTCGGACAGTGTAGGTAGTAATAGGTTACTACCTAACCTTTTCCTCCAACACATAGCTCAGTGCCACATACAATACAGATGAAATACTGTGAGCGAATGTGGTCGAGTACTTAGTACTTGGCTCAGGCGGATGGGTTAGCAAGTCACAAACACCAAATTTTGTTAGAAAAAAGCTTGTTCGGACGCTGTCTCGTGATTGCATTGTCAGTGATGGTAGGGACGTATATCCACAGCCCAAATTCCAATCGTCACAATGCCCATCCTTAGGCGAGTCGGTCATCTTCTGCGTTTTGAGTAGCATAGGATAGTCCCGTATCTCCGTATTTGCGTAATCCCGTTATTCCGCTGACTGGGATTGGGCTACTCCCCTTCGAGCTTCGAGGAGCACTCTGAGGTGTCCCAATGCTTCCCGTTTTTCATCGGAAGTTTGTCCATATTTCTTTGAAGTACCACACGGATGACTGCTCATGGATCGGAATGTTTATTTCTGGAAGGTCAAAGCAACCTCCAATCACGGCCCGCTTCCTGTCATTCTTGGGCAATTTAGGAGACGCCGCAGCAACTCATCAAGCGTTTGGAGAAGACGGCGATGTTACATTGAGGACCCAAAAGTATCCGACTGGAGCACAGTACGCCGTACAAAGGCATCTAGGAGCCTTTTGTAATTATATATATCTCTCTAAAGATTAGGTGTTAACTTATAAGTTTTTTATTGGATTTACATAGTTGGCTTATGGTATAATAAATCTATGTACTTAGATATCTCTTAAAAGACTTATTACTGCTTATATACTACTTTTAAAAGAGAGTCCCAAAAAAGAAAAAATATCTTAGTAATAAAGCAGTGTTAGCTTTACTGTATTTCTCACTGTAACACACTATATTCTAAGATCTTAGAAGCCCTTTTTTTAATGCAATATAAGTAATTATATATATAACGTACATGCATAGCAAGTGGCCCATCATAGCAAGTGGCCCACCTCTACCTACCCTCCAGCCATTTATATAAGTTAATTAAGCAGCATTATACAAAATCAATTAAAACTACTCATTATCCTCTTTTTCAGAGGTCTCTTATACTACCTAACATGTTTATACGTTATGTCTAGTCTTTCCGCAATTACCACATCGCCAACCACGCAATTCACCCCCCTCTGTATAAGCCCCCTTTTGACGCATATTTTTGCCTCTAGCATTAATAACCCTTTTCTTTACCTAAATTGCCTCTACTTTAACTACATTAAGGGACCCTCTAAGATATAGTTAGGTTTTTTTAGCTCTTTAACGTTTACTTAGTATCTTATTTATTATAAGTAAGAATAACAGGGGTTATTCATAATAGTCACAAGGAAAAGTAGAGAAGAATAAAGGTAGACAGAAAAGGTATAAATATATTAAACGTTAAGGTATCGTTATTCTTCATTGTTTTTCTAAAACTGTCTAAGTAGAGGGAATATCTCTTAGTTATATAGAAAGTCCCTTAGATACGTATAGTATCTAAGCGTATATCTAAGCGTATATCTAAGCGCCAAGAGGTACTTATATGTTTCTTATATATATATATATGCCCGTATATGCCTGTAGATAAGCATAAGCGCCAGCATATATAATGCTTAGAAGTATATGCGTTTATATACAGTAGACTATATTAGTTTATAGTAGTTTGTATTAGTATAGTTATATATAGTAATATATACTTTTATAGGTTATTTTTTAAGAAGAATCTAGAAAAGATAACTATATATTTATAGGACTTTTAGTTATAGAGTTATAAAGAGATTTATATATAAGAATTATAAGAATTTTACTTCTTAATTCTTAGTTTCCTCCTTAAGTTATATCTAAGTTATAGATATAACTTATTTTATATAAAAACTTATAAAAACCTTATATAAAGAAAATTATAAGAAAAATAGTTTATAGTTATAGTTATAGTTAAAAACCTTTAAAGGAAAAAAAAATTTATAAAAGGGAAACCTTAGTATTTAAGCTATATTACTTTCTTTTTAAAAAGTATTTCTTTATTATCTATAGTTTCTTTAGGTAAAAACCCCTTTTTATTAAGATTTATAGTCTCTATAAAGTATTTAAATACTTCTTTATTAACAGATTTAGTAAATATATCTGCTATATTATTCTTTATATAGATATAATATAAAGAGACTTGATTATTATAGATAGCTTGTCTAGAAAAGTGATATTTTATATCTATATGTTTAGATTTCTTATGAAGCTCTGGGTTTTCTGTTATACGTTGTGCTGCTTTATTATCTATTAAAATAATAGGCTTATTTAATGTTATATTTAACCTTAAGTTATTATATATATAGGAAAAAGAGTTATATAAGTATATAGATTCCTTTATAGCTTTATATAAAGCTATATATTTAGCTTTATAAGTGGAAAAAGTAATAGTCTTCTGTTTTATACTATTTTAGCTTATTATATTATAGTACCTTAAGGTACTTATATATTTAGTAGTAGACATTTTATTGTCTAAGTCTCTAGCCTAATTAGAGTCTGAAAATATAACTAACTGTAAATTAATATTATAGTTATATATTAATCCTAGATTAAGATATTTATTTATATATCCTTATATTTTATTAAGCGTAATAAAATACTCTTTAGATAGGTTACTTATATAATAAGTATATATATTTACTAGATATTAAAACTATGTAGGATAAAGGAAGCTAGTAAGTAGGCAGTTAATACACAAACCACACTAAACACCAAGGTCTTAGTATTATTATAAGTGCACCTAAAGTAACCGATTACCTTAAGTGACTACCTTAACGCCTAGACCATAAGATACTACTTTTTTCAGGTTCTCCTTAGCTTAATTAAGGCTATAAGTAAACTAGAAAAGTATATCTTTTACGTTTTATAGTTTATTTAGATTTGTTTTTATTACTAAGTAGTATATATATATATATTATGATCTCTAGAGGAAAAGAATACCCTTTTAGACCTTAGAGGTCTAGTTAGGCCTAAGGAAATAAAGTAATAGTTACTTATTATATATCTTATTTAGATATTAAAGTAATAAATTTGTTTATATTTATCTAAGTACTTATCTAAAGATATTAAGCTTCTTTATCTATTTGGTTATAATATCTTGATTTCTGTAATAGTATCTAACTAAAGCTTTCTTTTATACTTAGAAGAGTCCTGCTTAGTTATGTTTAATTAGGCCTATGATTGTGTTTATAGGCTAATAAAAGGAAAAATAAAAATATAAAACTTTACTTTTTTTTAATTATCTTTTAGTTTTTTTTTTTATATAATATATTAAAAAAAGAAAAATATAAAAGTATAAAAGTAGATAATATATAAAAGTAAAAACTAATTCTTTTTATTATATCTTTTTTAATTAGACTTATAATATCTTTTTAGTAGTAGTAGAAAGAGTATCTTAAGCTACTTGTTTTATTATAAGTTACTTTCTTCTTAGCCTTAAGACGCTTCTCTTTAAACTTAGTATCTTACTTTTATCTCTAATTATACTACTTATAACCCTCTTATTTAGGTATAATTATAGGTTATAAAAATAGTTATTAAGGGTACTATTATATTACTATTGTTTTATAAGGGTTCTTAAATATATTAATATATTTGTTCTTAGTGTAATTAGTAATAGACTTAATTTTATACTCTTTTAGCTTATAGTATTATTTTTATGTATTAAATAAGGTTTTTTTATAAATATTTTATTGTCTTTTAGCTTTTAAATATATAGTAAAAGCTATATTAGATAATTACTTAAGGTTAAGGGGGTAATATAAAAGCATAGGCTTTATAGTAGCCTTAGATTTAGTATTACTAACTTCTTTTTTGTTGTTTATATTCTGAGCTTGATTAGGCTTAAGAGATAGCTTTATTATGTTATTTTCTGGGGTTAGTGTAGTAGAGAAGCTTGGTTAGTCCTGTGGTGTATTAGTATTTAAGGGGAAGCGTATTAAACTAAAGAGATTGGTAAGATTGTTGTTTTGAGGTACTAAAAAAGGCGTTTTTTTGATAGGCTTAAAAGTCCTAGGAAAGGTGTTAGAGAATTCTAGTATGTTCTTCTTAGTCTGATTAGGTTTGCTAAATGCTTTTTATTAAAGTTTTTTATTATAACTGTCTAGTATAAGCCTTAGCTTATTATAAAGGTCCTTTTTATTATAGTTTCTTAGTTTATTAAACTTTTTAATAACTTATTAATGCTAGAAATAGTTAATATAGTTAATAATATTACTTTTATTATTGTTCTAAACTTTTGTTTAAGTTAAACTTTTTATAATATTAGTAATATTATTTTAGATATAGTATTTAATAAATTCTACTATATATATTTTATAAGTCTACTTATTAAGCTATTAAGGGCTAATTATAATACTTACTTTTATATAGATTACCTTAATTAGGTTAAGAGTAGTATTAATGCTCTAATAGAACTTATAGAGATAGTCTATATTAATAGTATACTAAAGGGTTATATTTTTGTCTTTTTATATATTATTATACTAAAAAGATTATTTAGTAACTTAGTTAATAAAGAGGGTAGTGAAATAATTAATGTAATAGGTAATAAATGCTAAGTAGTTTACCTTTTAAATCTGGTCTTTTTGATTAGGTCTAGCTGTTATAGTAGAAGTATTATAGCTCTAAGGAGAGCTATTAGTAATAAAATAATTAACTTTAGTATTTTAAGCAGTAAATACTATAAGACTTTAGATATTATTAAAGGCTATTTAAGACTATTTAACTAAATATTTAATTATATTATAGATACTAAGAAAATAGGTTTTTAACTTATTATTTATTTTATTTTTTTAAAAACTATTTTATAAAAAGCTTTTACTTTAGTAATTATATATTATACTTATAGTAAATATGTTATTACTTAGAATCTATATAGGAGTAGGTCTATTACTTTAATTAGATAGACTAGGATAGTTAAGAGGTCTTAGTAGAGTAATAAGGTCTTTAGTAGCTAGGTCTATGAACTTTTTAAGTAGTTTAAGGTCTTTAGGATATATATATTATGATTTTTATAGTATTTTAATAGTGTTTATAGTTTATTTAGTTAGATTAGGGAGATTATTACTAAGATTCTAAATATAGTATTTCTTAAAGAGAGTTTAGTAGTACTTTAAAACTTATATGTTATTAGTTTTATTTAAGCTAATAGAAGTGTTTTAGATAATATTAATAGCTTAAAAGAAAGATATAATAAGTTATAGATGTGTATAGATAGGTCTAATTAGGGTAAGAAAGTAAAAAGAAAAAGGGAATAATATATTATTAATTATTAGTTAGCTTAAAATTATATAGCTAAAGTTAATAATAGTAGTAAAAAAAGGAAAAATAAAAGTTATTATTAGTAGGTTTTTTAGGCTTATTTTATAGCTTTGTTTTTAATAAATTTTAATTTTATTATAAAAGAAAAAGTAATTTAAAGTTATTAAAGAGAAAAAGTAAAAAGGTAAATATAAAAAAGTAAAGAAGATAATTGTTTATTTACTTAATGTTTATAAAAGTAAATAACTTTTTCTTGTTTATAATAGTAGATTACTTTTTTTTTCTTAGTTCTTTTTCTTTAATTAGTAAATTAAAAAAAATAGACTATAGTTAATAGAATAAAAAAAAAGAGGCTAAGAATCTTTTTTTAAATTACTTTTTCTTTTTTTTTATGTAACTTTATATTACTTTTTAAGCTTTATCTTTTTTATAACTTAAAACTATTTAATAAATTAACTTAATTTTTTTATTATAGCTTTAATTAAATATTATTATACCTCTTAAGTGTAAGCCTAAAGCTGCTTAGAACCTATGGTTTTTTACTTATAACCCTTTTACTAGAAATAATTACTTAGCTATAATTCTTATTAATACTATAATAAGTTATTTTTTACTTTTTATTAAAGGTTTATAGTTTTAATTAAATAAATTATAACTTTTTTAGTATAATAAAAACTTAAGTCTTTAATTAATAATTTTTACTATAAAGTCTAGTTTATTAATAAAATTCAAAATAGTTAGATTTATAAGAAAGTTACTTAGGCCTTTTAATAGGTTATTATAAGAGGTAATATCCTTTAAGTTCTCTAAGATTATACTAAGACTAGCTTATTTAAGTATTATGTTTTTATTTATACTAGTTATTAAGGTACTTTTAGATCCTTAGCTTAGAAGCTTACTAGTTGTATGTAGGCTAGTGTTGCCTTAGCTGTCTATGGCCTTGGTAGTTATAATACTGTCCTTTATAAATACTATGAAAAGGGTTGGTAGGCTGTCTGGGCTAGGCCTAATCAGGTTACTTGTTTTGTTCTTTTCTAGGAATATATCTCTTTTCTTAATGAATTTAGTAATATATACTTTAATTGCTTTTATTATAAGACTTAAGTCTAATGTTACTATTAAAACAAGGACTTTTACTAAGAGTTTAAATATATAGGTTAAGTAAAGGGTATTAAAAAGTAAAGAGCTAGTAGTAATGATGTCCTTTTAAGTATTTCTAATAATATTTTTTCTATTGATTTTATATAGTTTTTTTAGTTTAACTTTATAAAACTTATTAAGGATTAGTATAAGGGGCTTTTTAAGAAGAAGAGAAAGTTGTTTAGTATTTTAGATAGTTTTATCTAAGTGTAAAATAGTATTAACTAAAAGATAAAAGGTAATAATAAGGATTTAGACTAAAGATATAAGGTTATCTAATAACTTAGTAGTTTAAGCTTAGGATTTAAGGTAATTCTAAGATGTTTCTAGGTCTAATTAAGTATTTTTTTTCTTAAATAACTTTATTTCTAATTTTATTAATAAATATAATAAGGGTTCTAAATTAATAAACTTTTTGTAAAAGGAAATATATATAAAATATTATAGAAATAATAGTATAATATAAATATTAATAAAGGAAAATAAAAGGATATAATAGTAGGCTTAATTAAGCTTATTATATTATATTAGTATATTATGTGTTCTTTGTTAAGTTTTTAGGTTAGATATTAATTATAAGTCTAGATAATAACTTTTAATGCTTTAGTTCTTTGTGGAGTATATTATTTTCTTTTTTAAGGTGTAGCTATTAAAGCCTTGATTGTGTTTGTATGATGTTTTTGTCTTGATTAGGGCTAGGAGCTATATTTATTTCTTAAAGTTTGTTTTGGTAGTTCTAGGCTAGGAAAAAAAAGGTTATTTTGTCTTTAAGCTTGGTTTTAGTTTATATAGGATCTTTTAATTCCTAGAAATTAGTGTTATTCTTAATATATTTCTTAAGATGTTTTTTAGTGTATATAGCCTTTGTAATAAGGTTATTAGTAAATATCTTTAGGTAGTATAATGCTGAGTTCTTAGACATAGAGTAGACTTATAAAGGGCTTTATTAATAGTATATAAGTTTCTTAGTTTTTAATTTGTTAATTATGTGTTTCTTGTTAAAAATAAGAACTAAATTACTAGGCTAAAGCTTTTTTAATTATATTATGTGTTAATAGTGTATGTTATAGTAATTTATAGATTTCTGTTTTATAAGAGCTATATTTTTAGCTATAGTCTTTTTATTAATTTTAAGTTATTTAAAAGAATATATTCTAGTAGTAAGTTCTTAATTAGGGTTATAAATTTATTCTTAGTTTAATACTCTTTAAGTTAAGGTAAATTCTTTAATAGGTGTGATTGCTTTATATTTTGTAGTTAGGAAGAAAGGTATATAGCTTATTAGTGTGTGGACTATTGTTTAGTTTATAAACAGTATAGTAGGTATAATTTTCCCTTAATCTCTTTTTCTTTTATTTAATTAGGTTAAAATAATATATGTAATAGGTTTATAGCTTTGTTTATTAATCTTATTTGCTTTTAAGTTATATACTAATATAACCTTTTTTCTAATACTATACTTTTTATTTAAGTGGTTTATAGTCTTTTTATTTTTTAGTTTACTGTTAATAATAATTTTTTTATAGATACTATAGTAGCAGAAAAAGTCTTTCTAGATAAAGTTAATAACCTAATTAGAGGTAACAGTCCTTACTCTTCTTGCTTTAAGCTAACTTGTTATATTATAATGTCTCTTAATTAGTGCCTAGGAACTAATCTACTAGACATTAATAGATATCTTTGTAAACAGTAATTCCCTTAGAACTATACTAATGTACTAGTTGTTTATCTGGGTTAATTAAGCCTTTTGATAGGATAGGTATAATGTAAGCTAGGCCTGTACCCTCTGGTACATATCTTTTTAGATATAGGATACAGAAAGCTGATGGAATGTTGTATTATGTTCTTAGTGTTCTGATTTAATGTGTATATTCTTAATCAGGTTCTTTTAAATCTTTAGGTTATTAATAAGGCGTTTAGGGATTAGGTATTTCTTTGTTAGTTAATAGTATAAATAGCTATTTTAAGTAAGATAACACTAGGCTTTTATTTTAAACTTTCTGAAAGTATATAGTAATATTTTATCTGGGTATAATAGTGTCTTTAGATAGAAAATGATTTGTTTTATTTAGTTAGTTTAGTATTAATTAAGGTAAAGCTATGCTTTAGGGAGTTAATGTAAGTAAGAGGTCTTTAAAATACTAGATTTAGATTCTTTGAATGATTTATATAGTTAAATAAAATAGAGGTTAGCGTTAATAAAATCTTTAACTTAATTAAGGCTTTTATATTCCTTGATATTAAATAGTCTTAGTGCTTTTTATAATAGTGTATTTGTTATTATATTCTTTGTTCTTAGTATATACTTAATATTAAAGTTAAAAAGATATATTTAAGTAATTTACTTAGTGATTAGGGTATTAGGAAGATTATAAGACTTTTTGTTAAGCTAAGTAACTAAGACTTATATATTAGTTTCTAATAAAAATCTAATACTATAGATATAGTTTTAGAGTTTCTTTAATGTTATTAAAACTACTTTTAATTCTAGTTTCTTAGAGTTATATTTTAACTTAGTGCCTTTTTAAATACTATTTTTATACTTTACTATAGCTTTCTAGGTATTAATTATTTAACTTAGTACTATGCCTTAACTTTATAGGCTTGTATTTATATTAATAACTATTAACCTAGCTTTTAGGCTATAAGATAATAAAATGATTATAGGAGAAGTTGTTAGTTTAGACTTAAGGGTATTTATAGCGTTAACCTAATTAGGCCTTTAAGTAAATATAGTGTTTTTTTTAAGGAGTTTCTGGAAAGGTAAAGTGATTTCTAAGTATTTATTAACCTATGATTTATAGAACTTAGTTATTCTTATAAATAACTTGATTTTATTAATGTCTTTGTATTCTTCTTATTCCTTAATCTTAATAACGTTTACCTGATTAAGGTAGTAACCTCTAGAACTATAGATATAACTAATAATAATAGCTGTTCTTTAAAGCTATTATAATTTCTTACTAGCTATTATATAGCTTATTAACTTAACATTAAAGAGTATTATATTAATATAATAAATATGTTTATAGATATAGCGTTAAATGCTAGCTTGATTAGGGAGCTTCTTATTGTTATATATAGTTATAGGCCCTTTAATAATAATATTATTAAGAAAAGCCTAGTAATAATATAGTATAAGGTTATAGAGTATTTAGGTAATAACTCTTATAAACTATACTATAGAATTAGTATTATCTTGTAATAAAGTGTATATATATAGAAGTTTAAGGGAAGTAGTAAATGTTATTAAATCTTTGCTTTTTTTAGCTAAAAAGACTTAATTATATCTAAAAAAGAAGTCTAAAAGTGAGAGAATTTAGTATATATTAAAGTCTTTTAAGAAATCTTTTGCTTTTAGAGGAGTAAAAGTATTATAAATTATAACTTTATTTATCTAAGTAGCTAAATTAATCAGGTATAAGGAACTATTCTTCTTTTTTATAAGAAACTAAGGGTTTTATATAGCCTTATAACTTTTTTTTAGGATATTTTTATTAATTTATACCTAGATAATATTTATAGCTTATAATTTAAGTGCTTTAGGTATTAGAATCTTTTTTTCTTACTAGGCTTTATAAGGTATAGTCTTAATTACTTATAGGGAGATAACTTTTAAGTTAAGTGTATTATTTTTAGAAAAGTCTTAAGTAAAAGCATTTTTGTGGTTTAGAAGGACTTAGAGAAATAGGTCCTTTTTGTAAAGTAGAAGATAACCTAGTATATTTATAATAGCTACTAATCTGTCTAGCTTAAGGTATAAATATAGCTTAATATTTAAATACTTAGGCCTAATTAGGCCTTGGAATAGTCTTTTATTAGGTTATATTATCTTTTTAGCTTTAGCTAGGTTCTTAACTTTCTAGAGGGGATTGTTGTTAAGGGTTAATTTATTAGATAGTTAGTTATTAACTAGATGTATCTTTTTTTTTTTTTTTATATATAGTAAATACCTTTGTATTTTATTTGGCTTAATTAGGCTAGGGATAATGTTTTATTAGATTTACTTTATAGTTATATGGTTACTTTAAGGGTAAAGGTGTTCTCTTTTTGTTAATTATGTTAAAGTATTTAACTATTTGCTTTTTGATTTTCTTTATTTTAATTTTTTTAATAGTTACTAATTACTAGTTAAGGTAAACCTTAGGATAGTAGGCCTAATTAAGATAATTAGTGTTAATATAAAGTAAGTTAGGCTTTTTAATACAGTAAGAATATCTTTTATTATTATGCTTTTTAACCTTTATTATAGTCTTATAAATGTCCTTTATAGCTAGGGTAAGGAGTATAGTTAGTACTATTTTCACTAGATAATCTAATTCTTTTTTAGATAATTAGATTACTTTTTTATTATTTTTTTATAGCTTATATCTAGGAATTTTAAGCTTTTTAGTAATAGTCTTAGTATTATTACTAGAGTCTAGTTTTCTTAGTCTTAATGTAGCTTGGTCTAATTAGAGAGATAGTTCTTAAGAGCTCTTATATAGTTATCCTAGTTTAGTAGATAATCTAAGAACTTTCTAGGATTACTAAACTTTAGAAATATAGCTAGGATATAAAGATAAGTTTACTTTATTATTAGTATTAGTGTAATCATGTTAAGGCTATATATATAGTTGATTTATGTATAGAACTTAAAAGGTAATTCTAGAAGAAGTAGTTTGTTTATTTTTTTATTATTAGTAATGAATATATTAGTTAAGAAATAGTGGCCTTTAACTTAGATAGGTATAATAGCTATTTTATTAAAAGATATATACTTTAAATTAGGATTAAAAGCGTTTATTTTAAATAGTATAGTTATAAGTTTAATAGTATACTTGTTTATATATAATCTTGAAATAATATTGATTTGTGAACTATTATTAATAATACTTTTAATTAAGTTATTCTAATTAAGGTAAAGACTACTAACTTAGATATTAATTACAAAGTAAAGTATTATAAAGTATAGAATAATAGACTTAATAGTAGTTAAGTTAAGTATCTTAATAAGTTTAACTTTAGTAGTTCTGCTTATAAGGTTTAAGATGTTTTTATTATATCTATTAATTGCTTTGTAGGCTTCTGATCTTTTGTATGGTTTTATCTCTTTAATTAGGTTAGAGAGAGCCTCTAGGTAGATATCTAAATACTTATTGCTGTCTAGTATCTAGTGTATTATTACTATTATATTCTGGTTAAGCTGAGGCTAGACTTAAAGTGTAACTTTAAAGGGAATAGTAATATTCTTTTTAAATTTCTTAGTAATAGCTTAAGTAGATATAGCTTAGTCTATTATTTTTAGTTGATTTAGAATAGAACTCTCCTTGGTAGCTTCTTAAGTATATCTTAGGCTATATATAAAGTTAGTGTGTTTATTTGTTAGTATAGTTTAAATAGAAGAGGACCTTAAACTTTTAAGAGTTTAATAGGCTTGATTAGGGTATACTGGACTAGTAGGTTGTGTTAGTAGAGAAGTCTAGGTATAGGTATTTATGTTTATTTTTTTAGCCTAGGAGCTAGTACTAGAAGTGCTTTTTCTTTAATGTATGTTTTTTGAAATAAAGCCTTAGCGTATTAAATAAGGCTTTACTTAATTAGGGTAGTATAAAATAGGTTATAGTATTATGTTTAATGACCTGGTAATTGTGTTTACTTTTACTTCTTAAGTTAGGAAGACTTTAGTGTATATCTTAGGGGATATTAAGATGTATTTAATAAGATTTACCTAAGTATCTTAGGTGTATAGTAGTAGGTAGTACTATATTTTAGGTTAAAAGGGACGTTTAATACCTTAGTTAATTATATATTTTGCTACTTTTATGGCTTTTAAGAACAAGGTGTTATTTATTATATAAGTGAGGATAGTAACTTAGTTAGGCTAGTAGTTTTTATAGGCTTTTTAGATAATAATATTAAGAACTTTATTTATTTTAATGTTTGATCTTTAAAGTACTTTATACTTATAGATATTATAGTTTAATATAATTAAGTTAGCTTTTTTATCTTTTTTAAGTTATAGGTATATTTAATATTTTTTTTAGTTATATATATTATATTAATACAGTAAGAATAACAAGGGGTTATTTATAAATAGTTATAAGGAAAAGTAGAGAAGAATAAAGGTAGATAGAAAAGGTATATATATATTAACCGTTAAGGTTTCGTTATATCTTACATTATTCATATAAAACTGTCTAAGTAGAGGGGATATCTCTTAGTTATATAGAAAGTCCCTTAGATACGTATAGTATCTAAGTGTATATCTAAGCGTATATCTAAGCGCTGAGAGGTACTTATAGTTTCTCGTATATATATATATATGCCCGTATATGCCTATAGATAAGCATAAGCGCCGGCATATATAATACTTAGAAGTATATGCGTTTATATGCAGTAGACTGTATTAGTTTGCAGTAGTTTGCATTAGTATAGTTATATATAGTAATATATACTTTTATAGGTTATTTTTCAAGAAGAATCTAGAAAAAATAACTATATATTTATAGGACTTTTAGTTATAGAGTTATAAAGAGATTTATATATAAGAATTATAAGAATTTTACTTCTTAATTCTTAGTTTCCTCCTTAAGTTATATCTAAGTTATAAATATAACTTACTTATATAAAAACTTATAAAACCTTATATAAAGAAAATTATAAGAAAAATAGTTATAGTTATAGTTATAGTCAAAAACCTTTAAAGGAAAAAAAAATTTTATAAAAGGGAAACCTTAGTATTTAAGCTATATTACTTTCTTTTTAGAAAGTATTTCTTTATTATCTATAGTTTCTTTAGGTAAAAACCCCTTTTTATTAAGATTTATAGTCTCTATAAAGTATTTAAATACTTCTTTATTAATAGATTTAGTAAATATATCTACTATATTATTCTTTGTATAGATATGATATAAAGAGACTTGATTATTATAGACAGCTTATCTAGAAAAGTAATATCTTATATCTATATGTTTAGATTTCTTATAAAGCTCTGGGTTTTCTGTTATACGTTATGCTGCCTCGTTATCTATTAAAATAATAGGCTTATTTAACGTTATATTTAACCCTAAGTTATTATATATATAGGAAAAAGAGTTATATAGGTATATAGATTCCTTTATAGCTTCACATAAAGCCATATATTCAGCTTCACAAGTAGATAAAGCAACAGTCTTCTGTTTTATACTATTCCAGCTTATTATATTATAGTACCCTAGGGTACTTATATATCCAGTAGTAGACATTCTATCGTCTAAGTCTCTAGCCTAATTAAAGTCTGAAAATATAACTAACTATAAATTAATATTACAGTTATATATTAATCCTAGATTAAAATATTTATTTATATATCCCTATATCCTATTAAGCGCAATAAAATGCTCTTTAGATAGGTTACTTATATAACAAGCACATATATTTACTGGATATGTTATATCTGGCCTAGTCTTAAGACTTAAGAAGAGTAGAGATCCTATCTCTTGTTGATATTAAGTTATTTCTTCTTTTGTTGCTTACCTTATATTTTTCCTAAGCTTAATAGCAGGATTTAT